TTTGTTAGTTCTATGTTTTTCTTTTTTCTTTATTTCTTTTTTTTGTTTTTCTGTTTTGTTGTGTTTAAATGGTTGAAAATTAATAAATATTATTTTTTTAAAAAAAACAAAGCAGAAGCCATGATGGCTTTGACATTCCAGGGCTGTATCAGAAAAATCAGAACATTTGAGGGGTATGGAGATGTTTGATTGTATGGACAGACTCGCCAGAAGACTGGACACTGAGGTCCAGTGCCGAGGGCCTTCTGGCTGTTCCCTCACTGCGAGAAGCGAAGTTACAGGGAACCAGGCAGAGGGCCTTCTCGGTAGTGGTGCCCGCCCTGTGGAATACCCTCCCTTCAGATTTCAAGGAAATAAACAACTATATGACATTTAGAAGACATCTGAAGGCAGCCCTGTTTAGGGAAGTTTTTAATGACTGCTGTTTTAATGTCTTTTTAACCTTCTGTTGGAAGCCGCCCAGAGTAGCTGAGGAATCCCAGCCAGATGGGTGGGGTAAAAATAATAATAATAATAATAATAATAATAATAATAATAATAATATACTGTTAGCCACAAAGTAGATAGAGAGGCCTGGAGGGCTGTATAAGTCCCCTGGGCCTAAGGCATTTCACATACAAACACTCCTTTATAAGAAGTCGCTTTCCACAACCAGAGAGACGAGAGTGTTTGGTTTATACTGCTGCAATTTGAGGTACCTCACATGTGTTTGATTGCAGCAGTGCTCTTCTTTGCACATAAACTGCAAGCAAGTTTCCAGGTGAAATAATTGGATTTAAACGGATCTTGTTGTCTTGCGGTTAATTAGAGCAAAGTAGTTAATCCAAGTAGATCAGTTTAACTGAATCATGGATTTGCATGCTAACTCACAGAAGACTGTTCTGGTGAGATCGACAGCATCCTGAACGCATAATTTTGAGGGGCTGTTTGATTGGCACGAGGCTGCATCTTGGAAGTCTCACTGAACTTTGTTCTGAGTAAAGCATAACACAGAGAGATCAAAAGTGAGGTTCACAACTGTAAACAAACAAGCACACTTGGTTTGTGGGACCCACCCCCTCTGCGGTTTTTCAATCTATTTTTTTAAAAAATTAAGTACTGAGTAGTTTAACCACTTCTTGACACAGTTCACTCCCACAAGAGGCAGTGATGGTTATCCACTTGGGTGGCTTTAAAAGAGGATTAGACATGGAAGATAAAATGATGCTCTACATCCACTGTCAGAGGGAGGAGGTTTCTCCACAGTTGCTGGAAGCCACAAGAGATGAGAGTACTGTTTCGCTCAAGTCCTATATGTAGGCATCCCATAAAAATCTGGTGGCCACTGGAAGAACAGGATGCTGGACTAGGTGGTCCAGGGGCCTGATCCACCAAGCTGTTGCTATATTTTTACCTTGTGCTGCTTTTGCTTGCCATTGTTTTACTAACGGTATATAAACTGTTACACTTATTTTTTGTTGTTGTTTAGTCGTTTAGTTGTGTCCAACTCTTCATAACCCCATGGACCAGAGCGCACCAGGCACTTCTGTCTTCCACTGCCTCCTGCAGTTTGGTCAAACTCATGTTAGTAGCTTCGAGAACACTGTCCAACCATCTCGTCCTCTGTCGTCCCCTTCTCCTTGTGCCCTCCATCTTTCCCAACATCAGGGTCTTTTCCAGGGAGTCTTCTCTTCTCATGAGGTGGCCAGAGTATTGGAGCCTCAGCTTCACGACCTGTCCTTCCATCCTTAAGAATGGATAGGTTTGTTCTTCTTGCAGTCCATGGGACTCTCAAGAGTTTCCTCCAGCACCATAATTCAAAAGCATCAATTTACACTTATTTTACTTGTTTGTAATTCTATCATTATATTGCTGCAACCTGCCCTGAGACCTTACCATAAAAGATGGATAAGAAACCTTAGAAATAAACACATAAGCAAATAAGTCTCATTTGATATTTTTAATTCTTCATTAAAAAATGTTCATACTACTCTTTAAAGACAAAATTGGAAATTATTACTACAGTTTCTGGATATTGTGCCATTATTGATAAGGACTGAAGAGGAAAGTTATGCAATAAGTCCCTGTGATAGTCTCTAACAGTGATTTTATACAGTTTTAAAATTATTTTATCATCGCTTCTGAATTACATTTCAGAATGAAAAAAGTTATATATATTTATTTATGGATTCATCTTTTTTTTGTTCTTGGCAACAAAAATGCAACATGAATCTACTGTCAAGAAATGAAAAGTTCCACATGAAAGTTACAGTTGCTGCTATTTATGGTATAGAAAAGGACAGCAATATAAGATGGCAGGATTGATGTAATTACTACCATATTCTGCTCTCCCATCTTAAATCCACAGATATGTAATAACCCTAGGCAGTCTCGGGGAGAACTGTATGTAGTCAAAAGGGTTGTTCCACTTATCTGTCTGTTCATTTAAGCTTAACTTGTTTCACATGGAGGAAATGTGTTCAGCCTTTGCCTGCATATGTACCATCAACTGACATGTAGTCAAAAATCTCCAAGTGAGACAGATGCTACAAGACAGAGACTGTGTTGTATCAAACTTCTGTGTAGATGTTTTAAGTAGTCCAAATCTGGAACTGTAAGAAAAATAGCGGTAATTTTTTTAAAGGGCTAAGATCTGGAGTGTGGAGGAGCAACAGCCACACAAAACCTATACAAGAAACTATTTGGACTAATTATTTCTGTTGAGAAGATACTCGGAAATACAATAAGCTTGTTCCAGGTGTTGACTCTGACATTTGGAAACTATGAAGGCCTTGAGTGCACAGCTGTATACACAAAGGTTTCCATTTGATTAGAACCCCAATCACAGAAGGGTTCTGATCACATGGAGGCATTTGCATGAATAGCTTTTCCTTTGCAGATGCCTGAATCAAAGAATGGATGCTTAGGGGGGAGTAGTAGCTGGTGGAGAGCTGGTGGAGGCACTGGGTTGCCTCCTGTCTACAACATTGCTGGTGTTTAGCAGGATGGAGAGGGGCAAGGCGGTGGAGAAATCTGCGCTGTGTGGGTGCACCTGTGGACCCAATCCTGCGCTCCTGCCAGTGTGCCCACATAGTGCTTAGCTCCCTGGTGCCTTGCTCTTCCACCTCTCCCACCGACCTAGTATGGACCAGTGACTCCACACATAGGAGCCCAGGTGTGTGGCACCCCTCCAGTGGCCTCTACTGCTAGAAGGTGGAGGGCGTGGTCAGATGTGAAGGTCTCCCTCCAGCCCTCATTTGGCTCTGTTTGTGGATGGCAACATTTGAAAGCAGTTAATCAGAGTTTCAATAAGAGCAAGAGGTAAACCATTAAAATAAATATTCAGAATGTACCCCCAGCCAAGCTAGGTTTTGGATATTTGGTCTCCAAAATGTTGACCGTGCATGCTCAAACTCTCATTTTATATTCTCAGTCAAAATGGAAAGAACCTCCAAGGGAATGCCGCTTAACTTGGAATGTTGTAAAGTATTGTAAGTCAGATATATCCATATTCTGATCATGTTCTGAGCTAACAATGATTTTTTTTTCAGATGCTACTCACTGTTATTATTATTATTTATTAAATTTGCATCCCGCTGTTTATCCCTGGATCTCAGGCTGGTTCACAACATAAAAACACAATATAAAACACACAAAAAGCACTAGTACTCACTCTGAGAGTCGTAGGGGCATACCAATTTAAAATTTGATGGTGGTTGAACAAGGCTAATTTAATATATCTGTACATTATTGCACATGTATCTCTTTCAAACCCAAGACAGACCCCAAGGAGGGTAACAGAGAATGAATTCAACATTAGCCCTGTTTTGCATTCTAGAAAGGGGTGGCAGTGCAGTGATGATATGGTTATGGTGGCTGGGGCCCCCCTATTCACATAGTAACTGGAAAGTGAGAGAAGGGAACTGTTGTCCCTAGACTCCAGAAACAAGAGGCACTGCAGCAGCTATGATCAGTGCCAGATTTACATATAAGCTAAACAAGCTATAGCTTAGGGCCCCACTCTCTAGCCCCCCCCCATATACTTCTTCTTAATTGTGTTTCAGTTCAACAATTACTTTGATAAAATACATATTTTGTTATGTGCAAATGGCTTCAGATACCTATTAGGTCCATAAATTACCATATAGCATATATTGAAGACAAAAAACAGTGACAATTTGTTGTTGACAAAGGACAGCTGGACATATAAAGGGCCCCATTACTTTCAGTAGCTTAGGGTCTCATCAAACCTAAATCTGGCCCTGGCTATAATGACTTAAAATGAGCGTTCCACAGAATGCAAACATGCCCCATAAACTTGGGGGTCATATATGAGGCGAATTTAGTTTTCTAGCTCCAGGTTTCCAATTCTTCTAGTGGTTTTTTTTTAAAAAAAAAGCACTGACAGTGATGATAGTAAAGAAGCACATAGAAGCGTCTCAGCAAAACCAATAGTCGTCAGGATTAGCTGATGTCAAATAAATGAGAGAGTCTAGCAATTATCCTTGGTGGTCTATTAAATTAATTTACTATGCAGCAATCTAAAATCTCCTAATAAAATGACACGCTGCGATCCCAGATGTTAACATTTGGATTGATGGGAGATGATAGCCTGCTTAATCCCCCTCCATTGTAGTCCTCCTGGCAGTTTTGAAATCACATCAAGGAGGCTTAATGCGGATGGAAGCCAGCATCTGATTTATGTAGTAACAAAACCTCTTCAAAAAGATGAGATCTTTGTGCCAGTGGCTTTGCTGTCTTTTAAAAAAATGTATCCATGGCAATTGACAGGTTGACCATACATGAGTGCAGTATCCACTCATTATCCACTTAACATGCTACAGCACTCGCAACGGCAACGCACACAGCCCTGTGCCTTGATATTGACACTGGATGATCCCCTAGAGACAGGGAAATGACCCTCATTTTAATTTAGCCCCACCAGTGCATACAAATGAGCTTCAAATTAAACTGAGTACCAAATAACTAAAATCCATTTTACGATAATTTGAACATGAATTGTGGCAAGAGTTTTCATTCAGCACCAATTTCGTATAGATTAGCAATGTGTAGCTGTCCTGGTGTCTGGGAAACTCAGACTGCATTGCACTTCTGTTCCTGGCAGCATTTTTCTTCTTCTTGTATGGAAGAGGAAATCTGTAAGAAATGCACATGGAACCTTTTGAAGACACAGGCAGTGATCTTAGATGCTCAGATTATATGCAAGCAATCGCTTATGATTTTTTCAGGATTGCCTTCAGTGTGCCAAACCAGTGTTTAGTAATTTAAACTGCAATCCTGCACAATCATATCTCCAGGTAATTCCCACTGAACTAAGTGCAGTTTACTTTAGAGTAGGCATGTACAGAATTGCACTGTACATTCAGACTGTGCTAAAAAAAGAAAACAGTCATTCTAAAGCATGGGTAGGTAAACTAAGGCTCAGGGGGCGGATCCAGCCCAATCACCTTCTAAATCAAGCCTGTGGACGGTCCGGAATCAGTGTGTTTTTACATGAATAGAATGTGTATTTTTATTTAAAATGCATCTGTGGGTTATTTGTGGGGCCTGTGTGGTGTTTTTACATGAGTAGAATGTGTGCTTTTATTTAAAATGCATCTCTGGGTTATTTGCGGGGCATAGGAATTCATTCATCCCCCCCCCCAAAAAAAAATATAGTCCGCCCCCCCAAGGTCTGAGGGACAGTGGACCAGCCCCCTGCTGAAAAAGTTTGCTGACCCCTGTTCTAAAGGTACCAGAAATAAAGGTGATGGTGGGGATTGAAACGTAGAGAGATGGGAAACTTTCACATCACACACTTAAAGCACTACGATACCCCTTTGAATAGTTGTGACTTTCCCCCAAAGGATTCTGGGAGTTGTAGCTTTTTAAGAGTGCTGAGAGTTGTTAGGAGACTCCCCATTCCCTTTGCAGAATTATGATTTCCAGAATGGTTTATCAATCCCTCTTCCCAAGGAACTCTGCAAATTATAGCTCTGTGAGGGGAATAGGGGGGTCTTCTAACAACTCTCGTTGCCTATAATGACTAGCTTCCAAGATTCTTTTGGCGAAACCACGACTGCTTAAATTGATATCATAGTCTTTAAATGTATTGTGTGAAAGTGGCCATAGTTCAACCTTGAGAACCAGTGCATGCTTTATCTTTCTGCAAGACACATAAAGCCAATTTACACAAGAGAGTTATATTAAGAGTTAAAGATGTCATTCTTGCTTGCACATTAAATATGTTCATCCATCTACATATGCTGGAGCCCAAGCAAAGACTTGTAATCTAGTATCTTTGCTGGATCAAGCTTTTGAGTGGGGTAAACAGGTATACATGCAAAAAGACAGGAGCATTCAAGTGATTTTCACACATATGCCCACATTCCATTTTTTGGCACTTGTGCAGGAAAACTGCCATGTGTAGATATAGTTTTTTTGTCAAGTGTCTTTTCCAAGCATGTTTGTCATTGCCAGATACCCCTGATTTGATTTCTCTGCATATGGCACTACACCCAAGGGGTGGATTCGCATTACCCTTTCCTATAGCTAAAAATTATATTCCAAAAATAAGTTAGAGTGATGGTTTATTAGACAAACAGAAACTGAAGGCAAAAAATTAAGGAAATGCTCATCCCCCCCCCCCCCAGTTCTGTGCCCTGACAAGACACTAAACAGGCGCCTATAAGTTTGGTAACATGAGGAAAATATATCTGCAGGCTTCTGGGTATAAAATATGCAATACCCAAGCATATGGCTTTATTATGCTGCCCCGCTACTGTCAAACTCAGCAGATACCAACTGAGATGCGTCAAAGACATCACTCAATTGATTAACAGGGAATCAACACTATTTCATTGTGTTACATTATTCTTTAGAACAGGAGGTCATTTATCCACTGCATTCAGCTGTATAGAATAAAATACTAAAATATAGCATAGGAAGATTATTAATATATAGTTGCTTGAAGCTCTGGGGATGACACTTGTGAATCACGGGCAGCCATGTAAATTGTAAATCGAAACCATCAATTTTGTTTGGTAGAACACTACAGTCAGCAAGTTTCTGATCAGACGGGAGCAGCTTTCTGAATCTTATAGGAGCAATTGTCACTTTGCAATATTACCTCATTCATAGGCTTCACTTAGTGCCGTGGTTCTTTATCATCCATGGTTCTTTTCTCAACCCCCTCACCTATTTTCCTGTTAACTGCCACTGGTGGATAGGGAAAACCCCAAGTCTTGTTCCACAAACTCTGTTCTCTGAAATACAACAATGGAGCCCATTCAATATACTGTAGTATTTGTACTGGTGGAGGCAGGACCGGAGGAAGAGGGGTGTGGTGGGTGCGGTTCGCCCCGGGTGTCACCACTGAGGGGGGGTGTGACAAAATGCCGGGCAGCACTCACCACAGGACCTGCAGCGTGCCCGAGTCATGCGTCTCTCCTGGGAGAGACACGGTGGCTTGGGCACACAGGCTTTGCGCTGCCCAAATGGCCCAGCCATTGCCTCCCCCCCAGCTGTGGGGTGGCTGAGTGGGAGGAGGCAGGCAGACTCCAGAGGCCCCACGGTGCACCACACCCATATGGGTTGCTCGCCCCGCCTCTGGGCACACCACCCCAGGCACCCGAGCAGCGTCCTCCGCCACTAGGTGGAGGTTGATAAGAGAAAGGAACACCAGATGAGCACAGCTAATCTTTTATTTGCCATCTTGAAAGACCTACACTGGCTCCCAGTACGTTTCTGAACACAATTCAAAGTGTTGGTGCTGACCTTTAAAGCCCTAAACGGCCTTGGTCCAGTATACCTGAAGGAGCGTCTCCACCCCCATTGTTCTGTCCGGACACTGAGGTCCAGCGCTGAGGGCCTTCTGGCAGTTCCCTCGCTGTGAGAAGCCAAGTTACAGGGAACCAGGCAGAGGGCCTTCTCGGTAGTGGTACCTGCCCTGTGGAACGCCCTCCCACCAGATGTCATAGAGAAAAACAACTACCAGACTTTTAGAAGACATCTGAAGGCTGCCTTGTTTAGGGAAGCTTTTAATGTTTAATAGGTTATTGTATTTTAATATTCTGTTGGATTGGCTGAATAGAAAGTGGGGTACACAATTGCTCCTGTTGGAATCAGTGGGACTTGCTTCAGGGAGATGGCTGTTTCATGCTGTGATGGCCTGGGAATCCGATTCAGAGGCTGAACCGGAGGAATCCCAGCCTGCACAGGAGTCCCCGCCTCCAGGGCCGGCTGAACTGGGGCAAGGCCTTGATGCTGAAGCGCCTGCACCTGTGCCGGATCCTCAGGAGCAGACACCAGGTGAATCCACTCTGGCTCCGGAGGTGGTTGAGGACTCAGTGCCTACAGGTGAGTCTCCCCCTGGGTCCAGTAACCCTTCAGCCTCTCCTGAACTGCAGAGGCTCAGGGCAGAGAGGCGAACTGGTTTCTCCCAGGAGGAGTGCTCGCCTTAAGGCCAGGAGAGGCGGGTCTCCTGGGGGCCGGGACCGCCCCTGGCCTCAGAGAAGATAAAGGCCAGTCAGCCCAGTCCCAGGTTGCGGGAGCAACGTCGTTGAAGAGCTGTTTCAGCCAGCATCCAGTCCTGTTCCCCCAGAGTTCCTGTCCTTGCCCGGCTTCTCGCTGTGGACCCTGCTTCGCCCAAGGAGGACTGTCTGCCGACCCTCAACTCAGGTCCTGGACCTTGCCCCACGGTAACCTTCCCCCTGTACCAGCACACATGCTTTCTTATGTGATCCACCATGTGCTCCAGTTTAGAGGAAGGGTGGGGTATATACAATATCAAATGAATAAAAAACGAAATTACCATGTTAGTTGGACCATGTAGACCCCATAGAACAAAGCCATTCCTCTTCCTGCCCTTTCAGTGCCTGATATCAGCCCCTCTTTCTGTCTCACTTAATTTCCCTTACAGTAAGCCTTTGACTCCACAGTGAATAAATAGAGTCTGGCAGGATTAATGTTTGCAAATTTTCTTTTAAACTATTCATTTAGCCATAAACCCAAGATGTGTCTCTGAAGATGTACATGTCTAATCTCCTTAGTCACCTTTCATCAGGACTTGTCTGTAAAATCTTGTGTGATGGGCCTGGGAGACCCCTACAAGTGACTGTGAAATGGAACAGCTACCTCAAGTAGCATCTGCTGAAATCCCCAAAGTCATCAAGGCAGCTCCTGATGGGAAGGATAATATCCTTCACTATGTTGCTGATGTACCAGTGCAAAAAGGAGTCACCTATTTTTCATGAATTATTGGGTAAGCATGTGCAGACCCATCACAGTAAACGCTGAATATTTAATTCAGAAATAGAGGAGCTTCATCTTTGCAGCTAAAGAAATAGATGCCATCTTAATCCAGAAGATGATGAAGAAGAAGGGGGATAATTTATTATTTTTACCCCACCCATCTGGCTGGGTTTCCCCAGCCACTCTGGGCAGCTTCCAACAAAATATTAAAAATACAATAAAACATCAGATATTAAAAACTTCCCTAAACAGGGCTGCCTTCAGATGTCTTCTAAAAGTCAGGTAGTTGTTTATGTCCTTGACATCTAGTGGGAGGGCATTCCACAGGGCGGGCACCACTACCGAGAAGGCCCTCTGCCTGGTTCCCTGTAACTTCACTTCTCGCAGTGAGGGGACTGCCAGAAGGCCATCGGCGCTGGACCTCAGTGTCTGGGCTGAACGATGGGGATGTAGACGCTCCTTCAGGTACAATGCGCCAAAAGGAAATTAAAGCATTTTCTTTCTGCATCAGGCTGCTCTGGGTCCTGGACTTCAGCCCTGATGAAAGCTCCTCTGAACAGAAGAGCAAAGTTCCTGTGGCACCCCCTATAACAAATGGGGAATCAGTAGTCCTTGATGAACAGACCAAGACTGCTTACACAGAAAACACGCGATCCTGAGGTAGATCTAATGTTAGCAACCCCTTTGTCAGGAGCCCCTCCCAGATATAGACCTCTCCTCATAATCTCCAGAGCTGTTATTATAAGAAGGTAATAAATGCTCTTCTAAATTCCACGCTATCCAAACATCAGACAAGTCAAGTTATGGGTAGGCTAAAGTTAGGAGAAGAAATGAAGCAGTGCTGGTAATAAGGGGGATATTAACCACAAAACAAATGTATGAGTTTTATACTAATTTAGCTGTCATAACTGCCCCCAAAAGAATTGTGGGAATTGTACTTCTGAAAACAATAGCATAAATAATAGCTTCATATAATGGTAGTTTACAGACGTGCTCAAATCCTTTAGTTTAATAGGTTGCTGGATCCAACATCTGGAATGCAAATTATCAAAAGAAAAACACTAATAAAATATTAAAACTAAAGGGCTCATTTTAGCTGTGACAAACATTTTACATAATATTCTCTTCTTTTGTGTGATTAATCCATATTTTAATATAAATACTTAGGGGATAATCAGCTGTAAAATTAGGATCACTGTGGTTAACATTCCTGGTGCAAACTAGAAGTCTTCTTTGTAATATGGAACAGGTGTAGGAAAAAGGTTCCTTTTTTTATGTCCTTCGTTGAATTTATCTTTAAAGCACTTTAATAGAAAACTGCTGACCGAAGGTGTAACAAACTGCTTTAGAAAGCACAAGTAAATGAAATATAATGCTAGAGCAAACAATAAAATTGATAAATCAACTTAACCAATGAGAATCTGTGGAAGATGTAACCTTGCAACTATGAACTGTGATGTACAATGTAGTCTTGCTCTTCAAACTATAAAGAACATTGCTGGGATTATCAATGGAGGAGCAACAAGCAATTGCTCAAGTCTTTTCATTGATTCCAATGTCCAGAATGTACCTGCCTTTTCAGGGGAGGCCGATATAATTTCTTTTGCATCATACGTTTCTTTTCTTTTGCACGTAGCTGCATTACAAACAGTTTTATGACAGTTCTTCTACTAGCTCCCAACGATTCTGGTAAAATGGATTCTAGAAAAAGATAGCATAGGTATACCACTTAGAAATTCATATAACAGGAGACAGATTTATCTTATTTTTATTGAAGTTGAAGTTCCAATGGAAAATACTCACAAATATTTATGTTTTCCTACTTGGAACGTTTTGAGAGAGTGAAATAAATTCATTTCCAGGCTTTCATTTTTCATGTTCAGGGCAGGATTCCCATCAACAGCAGACCTGCACAAGGACCTCCATTTGCACAACTGGGTTTGCCTCCCCCTGCACACCCACCATGCCCCCAAAATTGGCCCTGGTGTACAGAATATTTGTGCAGATGGAATGATTTGAGGAGCACAATATTGACTTCTACCCAAAGTGTGATAGGCTTTGCCAGGTTGGACCTGGGAGAATGTACATGTACTTTTAAATGCACCAATAAAGGAAAGGCAATAAAGGGAGCCATGGCTGTTGCTATCTGTCCTTCTTCCCTTCTTGTAGTAGTTGGCATTGCTATATGTTTGCAGTAATTCAAACAACAGAAAGACAGTAGACAAAGGGTCATGGGGAGGGATGGGGATTTTTTAAACTGAGTGCACATTTAAACGTGAATTTTCCCAATTTCTAAAACAATAAGCAAACAAATGATGGCCAGCCTTCAAATACTGCAATCCTCCAATTTTTGTAATGTGGTTCTCCATCCAAATAATGTGCCCTGCCACCACATCTTCCTTCACTGAAAGATAAATGCATGTTCTCCAAGTTGCAATCTGACAATGCTAATCACAGCAAATAAAAGCAGTACTTATTGTGTCTCTCAGTGAACAGTCATAGAATTTAAGTTTGCATAATCACCACCACAGAAGAAAAACACTGTCACTTACCGCAAACATGACTGAAGACATTTATGCATGCATGAATTCATGTGACATTCAGTCTTTTGTCATTAGTCTTCAAAGCAGTTTTCTCAGGCAGTTGAAACCTGGATACTGACCCCAGAGTCCTCATGGGAGTCAGGTGACATCAGGGAGGCAGACTCAGGCCAGTCTCTGCAAATGTGCTCCTTCTCAGTCTGGGCTCCTCGTGTGGTGAGACAGGTGGCTACGTATAAAATTATCACTTTGTGCTACTACATTATCTGACCACCTGCTGCCTCAAGTATTTGCCAGCCCTTGGATGGGAATGCCTGTTATTTACATAGTATAACTACATCTTAAAATTAGTAACAAATAGGAAGAATAGAAAGATAATATCTGTTTTCTTAAATAGTTTAAACATGATTTAAACAAACCTAAGTATCTAAGGCAGAGTGAGGTGGCCGCCTCAGACAACCTGCACTGTATCCCTTCTGTCCTCCGTTGCATTGTCTCATTGTGATTCTATAGTATTGATTCAACAACCAATCAAGTTGGCTTCTATTTATGGAAAGGGTGGTGGTGGGACAATCTTGCATTTCATCTTGGGCAGCAAGATGTCTTGAGACAGATCTGAGTGCCTCATCACTTGACAGTCATCACGATTAAAAATTGGTATCCAGTGGGACTTCCTCTTGCTCTCCTTTCCCCATGAACCCCAAAATTCTGCTCTGGAGGGTCCTCCAGCCCCCTAGAGCAGATTTTAAGGATGCACACAGGGGAGAGGAAAGATAGAGGGAGTTCTATTGTGCAAGTCAACTGTGTGAGTGGAACAGCAGTGCTGGATACAACCCAGTGGTGTCAGATGATAGAACACTTCAGTGTTCAGTCTGTTTCACAAATGCAACCTATCACTTGATGATGCACAGTGATAAACATGCATGTGTGAACTCACTCTGTGAAGTGTCATCACTTCATTGATCATATAGCAGCTTTCTCTTACTCAAGTAACTGGGTCCCAATGTACTCTAAACTTTATACTAGGAGTGGGGAACTTGTGGGCCTCCAGATGGTCAATGATCAGGGATGATGGGAGCTGAAGTCTAAAAACCTCTGGAGGGCTATGGGTTCTCCACTTCACATACTAACACTGATCCTTGATCTAAAATCAGTAAGTCCATGCAGCTAGGTCAGCCCATGGTAAACCAGGATAACTGCTTGGAAGCCTATCTAGCATTAAGCAGCATATTAATTAATTAATTAAATAATGAATTAATTAATTGTCACAGGAGGAAACATTGCATAGCAAATGAACCATTGTGTTCCAAAATACCTGCTGCTACTAAAATTCAATATTCTGCAGTTTATCTTCAATAAGGAATAACTGGAAGCTAGAGGCAGACAGGCTAGAGGACTGAAAAACCCCACCACCCAAAATTACAGGTAACTGATTTCCTGTAAAGATGATGATATTATTGATGAACCATTGGTGATGATTTTCAGATGGTGAGCTTGTAGCTGATTATTCAACAGGAAAATTTATTCCAGTCATTCCTAAGGACTGTAGTCATCTGCAAAAGAAGCCTACAAAGTATCCTCAGATGCCACCTCCAAGTACTGGCTGTGAAGTACAGAAGGGCTCTTTATGTAGTGGATTCTACCAGATGCCAGAGAAACCAGTCCACTTTGCATGACTTTATAATTAGAGTGTCATGCACTGGCATATCTGACACAGGTGTACCTCAACACTCTCCAGCATAAAATCATTTCATTGTGATGTGATGATTTTTACTTTAAGTCTCAGGATCGGGCTACAAGTTAGCAAGCATCTATGCTCAATGGGCATATTCACCTTATACCTTCCTGTAGTTGTTGAGGCATAGACCTGCACCACAACAACTACCTTTTCAAAACAACAACAACACCCAAACATGGCAGAGGTGAAGATCTTTGCCACGAGGTCCCTTACTAAAGTTCCTTTCTGGCAAAAGTTTCCTGAATTGCATGGGATTGGACTAGATGATCTTTGGAATCTTTTCCAACCCTTCTATTATTCTGATAGCAATGGTCCCCCTTAGAAGAATCATCCTGCTTCAAGCATGGAAGATGCAAGACTTCCTTTTTGCTGTTGATTCAGCAGTGGGGAAAGCAAGGAAACATAGTTATAAGGATTGTTCCCTCTCAACAGGGATAATAGAGGAGCCGTGCTTATGGAAGGGATGCAAGTCTCACTTATATTATCCCTGCCCTAAAAATAAAGTTCTTGTACAAAGCTTCTTTGCTGTTTAACACCTTCCCCCTCTGCTGACTCAGTTGCTCCAGGGACTGCTGCTTATTTCATGCAGATGAAGGGATCCATTTTGTCCCAGAGGAGCCAAGGGATAGTGTTTTTCCAGTGCCCAAAATGGGAGCCAAGTCTGAGGCTTTGCCCAGTATATGCTGACTCATCCTTCAATTGGTAGATGCCAATTACAGCAAGAGGCAGTTTTCGTAAGTCAAGCATAAATGTTACACATATGAATCGATACTCACAAACACATACAGTCCAATCTGGGTAAATTAACTTATATAAAATTTCATTAGTTTGAGCTGCCAAGCCTTTTAACTACATCATATCGTCAGAGCTGATTAATGAGGCCAGCCCATGTGATGAAAGCCAAGGCTGCATGTTGTCTTTCATAAATAATATAGAAATTATTGCTGTCTGCAATGAAGAAACATGCTGTCAGTGAAGAATTAGGAAAGTTCCTAACAGATGGGGAGCTAATTGATCCCTAAATTATTCATACCATTTCTCTGGGCGCTCATACACCACTGGTGGCTTTTTTTCACCCTCTGAGCATAATGCCATTATCCCGAAAATAATTTCTTGAGATGTAGCTGACTTTTTTTTTTGCCATGCATTTCGAGTTAAGGGGAGGGAGTGAGAAACTGTGCCCATTAACATATACATTTCATTTTATATGGACTATAAGAGACAGTTTGCATGCGACTAATGAAGACAACGAAATCAGCAAGCGTTTCTCTGTTGGTGTAGTTTTGTAGTAGCAACCCCATTTTCATGAAAGGAAGGGTAAACATTATTGCCGTTAATTATCTCCATCGCTCAGCTTGTATTTCCACTTATCTATTCTCATGGAAAGTCCAGTTATCATGCACTAAAATAAACTTAACTCATCACCACAGTTAGCTTCAGTGTGCCTGGAATTGTGCATTACTTCCTCCAACTTGAAAATGTCTTATTGTCACACTTTCAGGGGCCCAACCCCATCAGAGCAAGGTTCTGGCCTCTCAAAAGATATCCCCCCCCATACTTTGCATCATTGCCATCTTACAGCTAGAAGTGTCTAGACTCGTCAGGGGAGAGAGAAGGAACAGCTGATAGACCTTGCTGCCAGTTCCTACATGTTGATTCGTCCAATAAAGATATTGCTGAACTGTGAATTTTGGAGTTTTTCTCTGCGTGTATCTTGCACATCTCATCATACGGAAACATTAATGTTAACTGATCTTGCATCCTCACTCCAACTGACAGCTGCAATAAATTGGTCTGAGAGTGGTTGAATTGACTATGGTCACTTGGGGAGATTGAAGGCTAATCAGGTTTTGAACCTGATATGTCCATATTTATCAAACTCTAGACAAGCCTCCATCATCCTGGTGTTCTCTACTTGTAAGGGCTACAATTCCTATCAGAGCCAGCCACCATGGCTAATAATCAAGGATAATAAAAGTTGTATCCAGTAGCATCTGGGGGGCAAAACAGTGGGGAAGGTTCCTCTAGACATTATGGGTGGTCTTCAACTAAGGATGAGCACTGGTGTAATGGGATTTTCCTGCTTTCCTCCTCTATCCCCAAATCTGATCTGGAGGAGGAAAACCCAGAACAGATTTATGAGGCATGTAGGGGGGAGAGAGGGGGGAAATGTTCCATTGCACAAGGGGAAATTCTTGCACTGATGGAATATTCACTTTAGCACTGTGTTGAATAAAACCCCAGGTTTTGTTAAAAAACACACACCACACCACTGAATCTTAAAGGTGGTCATGACAATATGAAACGGTTGCAACTGCTACTTTTCTGAGCCAAACCATGTTGCGAAAACAAAATTAAAGCAACCAACACATCGGTCCTGTTTGTTTTTATTGTAGCTAACAGCAGCTCACCATTTTAAAAGCATCAGCCATATTTCATTCAAAACATTTTGTGACCAAGCTAACAGCTTGTGTTTCAAATTCCAAGCAATAAAACTACCCAAAATTAAATTATGGGAGAATTTCTGCCAGTCTGCTCTGTCACACTTCCCCTTTTCTGACCCATCACATCCAACCCTCACAGCTACTTCTGTTCTCCTGGTTCTTTGGGGGACTTTTACTTGGACGTTCATCAGGTCAACCCCAACAGTCCATTGTCTCCTGAAAATGATCTGTCAACTCTGCTACTCACTTTGCACTGATATTTATTGGCAAGTCTCACTGAAAAGAATGTGAGTTTGCAGCCAATGAGTCTTGATGGGTCAGGCCAATACAATTCTAAACCAACTCTCTTAAACTTGATGCCAAATCCTTTGATCAGGTGAATTGTTTTTCACTGAAATGGACTGGCTGTGTTGCGCTCACAACAGTTGTATTGTTTTCCAGCAAAAGTGGTAACAGCAGATGTCACTTGAGTTAACTGAGAAGTTAGCAATTGTCAAATAATAAGGAATAAAAAAAGGAACTAACAACATAATCCATGATATAATGATGAATGCCAAATATCTGCTTCTGAGAATCATAATTAAAACAAACAAACAAACAAACAGGAATGACAAATTCCTTTTGAAACCAACATTTAACATTCTGGGAGCATGTCATATCTAAATAATACTTTGAATCTCCATGGAACTCTGCTTTGACCTTTCCTGTTGACTCAAGGTACTCATTTGATATAGATCCCATTTGCTTTACTTCTCTCTATAAGCTCTAGCACATGTTATTGTTTCTTCTTCAAATTTGTTACCTGTACATTGAAATATGGAAAGTGTTGGTGATTTTAAGGCAGGAAGAAACAATTGCTTTCCCCCTCTAGGTCTATAACTTTGGGGCCAAGCAATTTTCCATTAACAAATCAATGAGAATGGAGAGCTCAATGGCCACACATAGCGTTACACCATCATTAAAATGTCACTGGATTAAAATGATTGGATTTTGTCATCACGTTCTTGGGGTGAATATAGACATCCATTCTATGAAGTTGAAGTAAGTTGCTTGAAAATGGTCACTTGACCCGATGCAGCAGTTCCCCCATCCTGTTGGAGTCACGCCATTTTGTTTGTGGCTGTTGGCCCCTCTCCCTGGCTGCTGCAGAGCATCCTGGGTTCTTGACAGCCCCAGTTTTGAATTCTGGCCAATCCATGGTGGTCTGGGGTGGGGCAGGGCCAGGGAGCAGACCGTGCACCAGCAGTCTTCACTTTGGTCTGCTCCCCGGCCATTTAAGCAGGCCAGCGCTGCCCTCTGCAGAAGTAAGTTGTTTGAAAACACGTTCTGTACTCTAAAATCAAAGCTTTCAGAATGCTGCAGATGGATATTCAACCCACTTCCACCAAACTTTAGAATGTCTAGCTGTCTGTCTTCACCCCTATATGTCATTCCTTTTTCTGGGATTCATGCCATGACTTTCCACCCATCAAAACATCTTGTCATTGGTAAGTCACTCAGCATTACAGTCACCATAGAGACTGACAGTCAAGTACCACATCGTCTCATACTTGTGCCCAAAACATTGCATTCATGCCCATAATTAGGGTAAACACTCCAAGCCAGCTAAATTAATTATTTTCCTTTTCAAATTAGGGGAAAATCCAGAAGCAGATGACAAAACCCTGTCTAAAACCTTAGAGAGCCACTGCCAAACAAGTGTAGACAACAGTGAATTCCATGAACCAGTAGGCAGACTCAGCATAATGTGGTTTCCTATGTTCCTGGGCACATCCAGAATCTCAGACTGAGACTTTCCAGGCCTTACAAGCTAACAGATCCAATAGACACCTCAGCATTTGAGCTAAGACTACTTTACAAGTCACCTTGATGTTTGTCCCATACAACAGGACACTTAGACTCAGGCTTTGTCAACCCTTCATATCCTCCACTGTTGCCTTTTCTGGGCAACTGTTGCTTCTCTGGATGGTTGAGAATATAGGTAAACCTATGTCCCTTCATGCTCTTCTAAACCCCTAGTATCACTTGCCTCCCTCAAATAAAGTGGTATATTCCCCCCTTCCCCTATAAAGCATTAGCATGTAATAGTTTGAGTTTCAATTGACAAAGATCCAAGCTTCTAATTTTGTGCTTGCACTTTCCCTCTTTCTAGTCTTCCATGTTCTATTCCCATTACTCTGGCTCATCTTTCTTTAGCCTTCATTTTAGCTCTGCATATTATTATTATTTTTTGCCAAGTTGTTAATTATTTATTCAGAACAGTGGTTGACTGTCCAATCAACAACATCCTTTGGGAGGTTCACGCTAAATTTGAACAGTGTGCACTTAAAATCTTAAAACATTCATTAAAACATTGAAAACATTTGGAAAGAAAACCAGTCACTTTCCTGCCTAAAAACTGGCACAAGTGGTATAACAGCATTTTAAACCCAGTAGAAATAAGGACAAGAACATAATGCTTGGAGAATAAAAGCTCATCAGCTGGTATGAAAAGGATCTTAATGTAAGCACCATGTGAGTCTTGTTGGGGTAGGCATTTTCTAATTGAGACACCATCACTAAAAAGGACCGTTTTCTTAGTAACCACTCACTTTGTTTCTTTAAGTGGGAGAACCTGGTTAATGATCTCTGGTGAAGATCTCAAGCCCCAGAGGAGGCAATATTTCAGGTAACAAGGCCACATCATTTAGAGCTTTACACCTGATGCCACATTACATCCTTGCTTGTTATTCAACTCCCATAGGTTCTGAATCAAATCTATTCAGCAATTCTTCCCAGTCCACCCCTTGATTATGATTGCTGGATTAGCCCTTAAACTGATGGACCTATCCCCACTGAAAATATTTCAGCCACTTTCTTCCTTGATATACCAATGGTGTGGGATGTAACATAAGCAGTCAAGTATAACATTTCCTGTTTGCCCAGAGTGGACACGCAGGGAAATGTTAGTCCAGCCAGGAGGACTTCCTGTCACACCTGGTCTGGAGCACCCTCCCTCTGTGTGTGACCAAATAGGTGGGCGTGACCCTGGCAGACCCTATAAAGGAGCTAGTCACACAGCTCTCTTCCTCTCACTCTTTCTTTGCTTTATTCCATCTTGATGTTCTTTGGCTGTCTGCTGGCTTTCAGCCAGCAGCACATGGGCTCAGTCCCCATATGGGATGAACCCACACTCTCTTCTGTAACTTCAAGCTAAAGCCTGCCTTCAGGATCATACTGTGAACTGAATGTAAGTAAACATCTTATTACTTTTAAAAGAAGACTGTTGTGTATTTATTTATTTTTTAAGAAGGAACAAAGGGGATTTACCAGGAACAAATCCAATCTGGACAAGCCAGACTGGATTGCTTAATTTAGGAGATTCTAACAAATCTACCAACTAATTTCCTGAAATATATAGGGGAATGTACTCTGTTACCAGCTCACTAGCATGAGTGAAGAAGGATAATATTAAATCAATATATCCTCTCCTACTATCCTCAACATTCCCACACATAGCAACTACAGGCCTTTTCAAGCACTTCTTAAAACAAACTGCAACACAGTTTAAACCTAAGATTCTTTGGAAGAAGTTATGTGTTTTCAATGTGCTTTAAATTTGTGGTGGAGCTCAGCCCCAGATGGTCAACCTAAAATTCAATCATTTATGACCCACTGTCCTACTCACGGTATCATTGTTGCACTCCAGGTTTAGATTAAAAATGAGACTGAGGTCAGTTGGTCTCTCTCTGGTTACCAGAACTCCAGCTTTCATTCTTGCTGATTCTACGGCACTCAAAACATCTGTAAACACTTGTCAGTGAATCAAATGGCCAAACATCTGCTGGATGGCTCAGCTTACCCTTCAGATCTTAGCAGGCAGGTTTTGTATAACAAAACCTATTATTCTAATTAGCACTCTTTTGGGCAAGGAGATCAATATTTCAATTGTCAGGGAGATTACATTACGTTTTCACCTTTTGAGATTGTTGCCTATATCAGAGGCTGGGGTCTGCAGAAAAGGGAAACCTGCAGTTTGGGACTTTATACAGGTTTTTCAAACAGACGTAAATCAGGTTCTGATACAACTGCACATCAATGCCCACTTACTAATTCCAGTGCATAATGTGCCTTTTCATGACATCTCAAATAGAATTGCCCTTAGTGTTCACCCTCCTGCTCTATTCCAGACAGAACCAGAGAAGAATAGGAAGATCTGTGATGGCTTTTAAGGGAGCCGAGAACAGAATTTGAAGAAATTGAATGAACCAGGGACCCAGAGTCCCTGGATGGATCAGGAATACAGAGTCAAGGCAGAACCTGGCAAATACGGTTTGGTGCCAAGAAAAAATGTCAGGAGTTATGGAAAAACCGAATATACGCCTCACAGGGTTGTGGTGGGGATGAAATTGGGAGAGGAGCCATGCACATCACCTTGAGGTCCTTAGAAGATAAGGTGGTATAAAATGGTAATAAAAAAAAAACAAAAATCAAACAGTAGTTACCTAACAGTCTATGGTTTTACTACACAGACCAGTAGTGTACTTTCTAAAAACCACACTTTCAGACTGGGAAGTAGTGTCCCCTCCCCCCAACAAGTTATTTGTGGATTATTCCATATGGTCACTTTGAAAATAAGACAAGCTGTTCATTTTTATGAAAAAAACGTTTTATCTAAGAGTTTTATCGTACTGTATTTGAGCTTTGAGGCCTCTGGATTAGTCGAGGATAAATTGCTTGGATACCTTTGGAAAGGTTGATGAGGAGTACTGCTCCAGGCTTGTGAGATAAGATGGCTTCTTAGATACCTGCCAAACAGATTTTAACTTAAATGTGGCACTGTGGCTGTCAAAGGATGCTGTGTCCTCCTTGTCATACTGTTCCAGATACAGAGTTGTATTCAACACTATTGTTCCACTTGCACAACAAGGAAATGTTGAAGAATATGGTAGGATGTCCTTAGTTTCATTGGAGAAAAGTTGGACGGTATGGTGGGACATTCCTATTTTTATCGGAGAAATGTTGGAGGGTATGGAGTTATGTGACCCCAAGCCAAGGAGATAAGTAACTATACAACTTTTAGAAGACACCTGAAGGCTGCCCTGTATAGGGAAGTTTTAAAATGTTTAATGTATAAATCATAAAATAATCATTATATTATGAAATAGGACATCCCTATTTTCACTGGAGAAATGTTGGAGGGTGTGGACTTGATCTGAATTTATGGTGGAGGTGAACAACGAACAATCGGCATTATGGTGGGGAGGGGTGCATACGTTTGTAACCCATCCCCTTGTTAAAGGACTCACTCTGTGCTGGAAGATGAGCCTTATGTGTGGGATTCACAAACAAGTTTGTTCCTTTATGTAGAATGGTCTCATTGAAAGGCTTTGAAAAAATATGCACCCCAGGAATCCTGGGTTTTAATTTGTGTATTTTCTTAAGAATATACAATAGCACAGAGAGCTTAATGTAATACCATCTCTCTCTCTCTCTCTCTCTGAATGATTGGAATTCAGTTTGTTTTCATTAATTTGTACAGGAGCAGGCACTATTTGGCAAGGCAAAGGGCACCCCTGGTTTGTTCTGAAACACAGAAGAAATGCACTCTCCCTTTTTATTGCTACAGTTGTTTTACATTAAACCTGGAAGAAGCACAACGTTGTGTAACACAAAGCATCTTTTCTTCTACTGATGCATTCTATAAACCTCATAAATTTTCTCTAAGGAATTAGCAGGAGATAAAGTGCCACAGGCCTGAGTGCTCAGCTGTCTTTCTCAAACGATATTAGCAAATCCAAAATAAAACTAAACTGAAAATATGGGAAGCCTTTTACATGTTATATCTAAAACTGTTTTATTACTAATGGACTTCTGTTTAACACAGACTTTAAAACAATTTGTGTAAAAGCTTGCAGTGAAAAAACATTTTAAAAAGTGTGCAGAGGCCACTCTTAGCACATAAATGCACAAATTCAAGTCACATTGCTTTCAATTAATTATATCAGGGATAAACAATGTGGTGCTTGTCAGTTGTTGTTGGACTACAACATCCTTCAGCCCCAAGTGGCATGCCCAACAGTTAGGGTGATGGGAGTTACAGTCCAGCAACATATGGAGGGGGGCAGGTTGGCAGCCCCTGAACTATATCCTGGATTTCTGGGAAATGAAATGAATAGAAATTGAAAAATATGTCTGCCTATTGGTGGAGACTAATAAGATTGCAACAGCTGTCTCAGTAAAATAGGTATCATATGGAAAATGCTAAGCTGGGAGGGTTTTCATTCTCTTTAGCGCCGCTTCAGCTCTATCTAAAGTAAGATGTGGAATTGCAGGTGTGTGTATGTCAATTAGTCCACAGAACAGGTGTGACCCTCCAGGTGTTGCTGAACTATAAGTCATCTCGTAAGTTGGAAGCATCCAGAATCGGTCCGTGCAATGAAGTAGGCTTGCCCTTCAAACAAGTCCTGTGTGTAGCCAAGATGGTGCCTTCCTCATGATGTTGGACTACAATTCCCATCTTCCCTGACCTGTTGTTGTCTCGCTGCTGAGCAACAACATGCAGAGCACAGTGGAGTAGGAGACCAGTTAACCAGAATAATCTCTGAGCTGCACTTGCCCATAGAGCAAAGTCAGCATCCAAATTCAGCTCCAGCCCTAGGGTCAGGTGAACAGAATTCCATGTGGTGGGATGGTCCAGGGGTCAGGGAATCAAACGATCAAGGGTCAAGATGAACAGGAAGCAGCAAGGTAGGGCCAGGAACTACAAGTGTTGTTTCCAACATCTGACTGCTGCTGGAAGGCTGAAGCCAACTGGTTTCCATCAGAGCCTTCTCCTCCATGTCCCTGAAAGCTGATCAGCTGCCAGTGAGGTCAATTCCCTTTCAGGATGCTGTTTAGCAGGTGAAGATAACTCCTGGTCCGGGTTTGTAATAGACTGCCATGTGACAAGCCAATGTGGTGGAGTGGTTAAGAGCGGTAGACTTGCAATCTGGTGAACCGGGTTCGTGTCCCCACTCCTCCACATGCAGCTGCTGGGTGACCTTGGGCCAGTCACACTTCTCTGATGTCTCTCAGCCCCACACACCTCACAGAGTGTTTGTTGTGGGGGAGGAAGGGAAAGGAGATTGCTAGCTGCTTTGAGACTCCTTAGGGTAGTAATAAAGCAGGATATCACATCCAAACCCCTCCTCCTCCTCCTCCTCCTCCTATCTGCAGTAGATCACCACACAGAGAGGATATTTTCATGGTGTCGTTACAAATATTTTTCATTTCATTTGATTTTATTGAACAACAGAAACCAGGCAATACACATGAAGAAGAAAACAAACATCAAAACAAAGAATTGTAAAGTTCAACACAATAAGCTTTTGATAATAAAGTCAAACGGAAAATAAAGAATCAAGCATGAATGAGATGCAGACCCTCCAAGTGTCCCTATTCTCCAGGGACAGACACAGATTTTTTGATCCTGGAATCCCCTGCTTTTCTTTAAGATGTTCCTATTTTCATCAGATAAATGTTGGAGGATATGGTGTTATGTTACCCCCAAGCCAAGGAGATAAGTAATTATACAACCTTTAAAAGACATCTGAAGGCAGCTCTGTATAGGGAAGATTTTTTAAATGTTTACTGTTTTATTATATTTTTTTATAAATGTTGGAAGCTGCTCAGTGGCTTGGGGGCAACCCAGACAGATGGGTGAGGTATACATAATAAAATTGTTGTTGTTGTTAAATAGGACATCCCTATTTTCATCAGAGAAATGTTGGAGATGGACACAATTTTAATATTCTAAATGAGGTATAAAAACACAATTTACATGGTATGATGAAGGAAATCAGGGGAAAGGTCTTGCTTGCTTATAGATGCCACCAAATAAAATAATATTTTGAAGTGATTTGCTACCCATATGACCGCAATGTCATATAAACTAATTTTCAATGTTTGCAAAATGGTAGGAGATCTCTACGTAATTTTTTTTTTTTAGGATGTTCACAGGATCTTCAATTTTGGCCAGAATATCTGGGATGGAAACAAGGAGTAGAACAGTATGTAAAAGAAAAATATATAGGGCATATAAACCACCCTTGTGAAGCATTTATAAGTCCCGGTGATTTCAGCAGGAGAGAATTAAGTCTTTGCTTAAGTACTGAAGTCAGTGCTATATAAATATGTCTGGCTTTGAGTGAATCATGCCCACCACACGCATTTTGTACTCAGAAAAAGGTTCCTGGTTACAAGAAGCAACATAAGAAGCCATCTTTTCATACAGATTTAAAGAACATGCTGCAAGAAATATAGAGAGTGCTGACTAAAGAACAGAGTCCAGTGGATATCATGTCTGTACCTCTTAAAGCTCCTCATATCTAATTCATAGCGCAGCCATTTACTCTGTCAAGGCTTATGACCTGGGATTTTTAAGAATGAAATGTGGCGCGCTGAGTCTTGTCACTGCTCATTATTTTCCTAGTTAATCAAGACACATAGACTGATGACTAAGGGAAGCTTTTTCATGTGTGAGGTAAGGGGGAATCAATTTGTCACCGTTTCCCTGAATAACATACATCATAAAATGGAACCATTTACACCTAAAATGATAGTTGCAGATTAATAACTGAAATGTTTTTGAGAGTCATAAATGAGAAAATAGAAAAAGTATAAAATAAGAATTGTAAGATGTTATCTAGGAGCTCTTGCTTTTATCAAAACAGATAGCCATTAATCTAGTAAAAGAGTGGTTCCATTTATCTGGAGGATACGAAGGTGTTTTTCTTTTAAAATAAATTATGTCATGCTCAAGAAATGTGAGGTCTCTCTCCAAACTGATTTTGAATTTGCTACAATTAGAAACTGTATAATACAGGGTAGGCATGTTTTGCTCTGGTAAAACAACATATTTCTTTATAGGAAAATGACAAGTTTATAGTCCTCTTGACTAATTCTTGCACTCTAAAAATTCAGAGCCTTATGGGTTTGGAAGGGGACCCATTGTGTAAGGAAATCTTGCATGAGCTCTGTCCTGATACCAGGAAGCAGCCGCCAGAAAAACTGTAATAGCTGTATTCATTTCCCAGTGCCTATCCTATTATTCACAAAATTTTGGAGCAATCCCCCCTTAATATGGTAATCACAGCACAGTAGACAAATCAAATTATTCTGCATTAGATGTAGTTCTTGCAAAGTGTTACTGCAGTATGTGGATTTTAACAAAGCAGAACAGCATTATTCTAAAATATTAGAATATTCCTGGGGGCAGATGGAAACAAAACCACAAATCTTCTGCAGTTACATTTTCATCTGATTATGATCTAATTAATGAATCCCCAAGGAAGTATTTTCTTTTTTAGAATTAAAAAGAAAACTGTTATAGAAGTATATTGTTATTCAAAACATATCCACACACTAGCCTAACTTATTTGCTTAGGCAGTGTAAATAAGAAAAGGGTTTTTAACCATCCAGTTGGAGACTTCAGCACTTACTGTGACCTGGGCTTTCTTCACTTTCACTTTCATACTTCAGGTGGGAAAGACCCATGCAGGTGGGAAATCTACCCATAGAGACCCATAATTCAGATATGCACCCATGCTGCATGGGGTGTTATGGAATTCTACTCAATATTGATCCCAAGTAGTTTCCAATGTATAGTTAGCAGAGTAACAACTTAAACACGTTGCACGATTCCCTCCAAAATAGACCAGAGGCAATTCTATTTCATGCAGCAGAGCTTTACAGCTACTGAAGGCAAATGAGCATAATGGTCACAAATCCAATAGATTCAGGTTTGGCACTGTCCATAAGAAATCCAGTTGCAGCAGACTTAACTTAAATTTACTATAACTTATAATAAGACTAAACCTTAACACTATACAGTATACAGAACACCACACCAGAAGGAAAAAGAGACAGAAAAAGAGAGATCCAGGATCCTTCTAGCCTATTATTATAGTCAGCATGACGTTGAAGAAGAGATAACAGAACCAATTTAAACCAGCTGTACTCAGCTTCTCTAAAGGTATAACCCAAACATCACAAACCTTCTGCTTGTTTCTTTCACACACAGAGAGAAGCTTCCAGAACCCTCTTGAATTAATTAGAATAGGAAAGATTCCCACACATCAGATCAATACTTTCTGCACTAAGAAATGCAAACTGACACATACCTCGTGGAAGTGATTGACACATTGCTGGAAGCAGGGATGAAGGGAGCCTTCATTGTTATCTCAAAAATATTTAAGGGCATTAAACCAACAATTAACAATGCATTTTTGCTTTGTTTAGATGGTGAGCCAGTTCAGCCTCAGAGACAATACAAATTTCCCCTTGCAGCTCAGGGAAGAACTTAACCATGAAATTTAGAAAATGAGACCCCTAAATTGCATTGGTCGAAATGAAAAATGCTTCTCCAAAGTCATACATGGGCAGAGATAATCATGTCTGTAGGAGTGAATATTAATGCCTGAGTCATATGGAAGCACACTTATCTTTTGTCAAGCTTCTTAAGCCATAAGAAATTGAATGAAAGAAGGCAAGAGAAGAATGTGGCAGAATTATTTTCAAGTTGCTAGGTTAAGAGCACCCTCCTGAACAGCAGTCAGGTAGTCAATAAAAAGATTATCATTATAGTGGTGAAGTTGAGAGGGTATTTATTTTTTGCAGTAAGAATGGGTAGCATCCCATGGTTGCATGAGCAGAAGGCAGGCCATACAATTCATCTTTCTCTTCGTCTCACTGCCCAGTCCCCCCAAAATATTGGGCTGTGTTGCAGTGTGATGCAATGGGAGCAGAGAACTGACCGAAATCAGGTTGTGGAAGCTTGCGCAAGCAAGGCTAGAGGAAGAGGAAGATTGGCTTTACAAGCTTTCCAAATGCTTGCATAAGCACTGGATACATCAAAAGGCAGGGGAGAAATTATTCTTGGCTCACCCTAACAAATGCACACTTCCCAAGCCAATTGGTTGTTGTTTAGTCGTTTAGTCATGTCCGACTCTTCGTGACCCCATGGACCAGAGCACACCAGGCATTCCTGTCTTCCACTGCCTCCTGCAGTTTGGTCAAGCTCATGCTGGTAGCTTCGAGAACACTGTCCAACCATCTTGTCCTCTGTCATCCCCTTCTCCTTGTGCCCTCCATCTTTCCCAGCATCAGGGTCTTTTCCAGGGAGTCTTCTCTTCTCATGAGGTGGCCAAACCAATACGGGAACCAAAACATGGCAGTCCTTTAAGATGCACGCTTCTTTGAATTTTGTGGCATGCTTCTCCAACCAAATTATACATTGCGCGACTCTGTGGCAAAATGGATAGCACACTGGATTTCTAGCGTAGTGAAGTGATTCAAAGGTTGTGAGTTCGAGTCCTATCAGGGTCACATGGTTCTTTTGAGGATGGGAGTGCCAGGGAGTGCCAGCCAGGTTGCCTTAGCAACAGAGAACATGCTACCTCTTCTTATTCACTTTCTACCCTTGCAAAGGAATGTAGAAATTACCAAAAAGGAGGAAAGTGATTAATGGGTTGGTGGGAGATGATAATGGAATCCATTTCCCCTTCCCATTTTTTCAGAACTTTTTGCTATTCCTTAGTCACATTTTATTGCATAATAGCCTTACAATGTGGGTGTGATGTTAGCAAAACAAGGCAGCTGCATATTCCATCTGCATTAATGAGTAGTTATTATTATTTCACATGTAGGAAGTGAGTGGCCTGACATTGTCTCTGTTTAAAAAGATACCAACTGCAATTCCCAATAATTTTTTTAAAAGTTGATTAAAAGCATGTAGAAATAATCACATTGCAAACTGGGTTAGGACAGAGGCTGGGAACCTTTTTTAAAAAATGTATTCCAAAACAGGAATCTTGTGGGGGATGCATACCGGGGTGAACAGGACCAATACCATGTATACATGGGCCAAAGCCACAGGTGCCCCATAATATTCATCCCACATTTGTTAGAAAGTGACCAGGCAGGCACTGTCAGTGGACTCTTTTCAGTGCCTGCTAAAAGCATTTTTGGTTCACTCAAGGCTATTCAGACATGCAGAGTGCTGGCATGTTTTTTGATCTGGAGTTGTTGGTTAGCCGATTGTTGATTTTAATTATTTTGAATTATTTCTGATAATCTCATCGTTGCATTATTTTCGTTAATCACTTCGGCTTTCTTTGTATATATATTTTATATGCAATCGAGCAGTATATAAATCTTGTGAAATAAATAAATTAGTAGTGTAGGGACAACCAATTCTGTTCTGCCACTCCCTTTCTCTGCCTCCTTCCCTTCTCTCTCTCCCCCCTGCTTTCTTCTTGTATCTCTATGATGCCTCCCTTTCTCTCTTCCTCCCTGTTTTTCCCATCCCTCTCTTCATTCCCTTCCTTCTCCCCCCCCACCTTCCCTTCCTCTTCCCTCCTATGACAATTAGGCAGGGGGGGAAGAAAGGTTGCATAGGAATAAACTGTATCTTCCCCACCCTACCCCAAGCCTAAATGCAATGGTGGGGAAGGGGGAGTTTTTGAGCAGTGTATAGGGAGCAAAGGCTCCACCCTTTGCCAGCTACCACTCCCTGAAAGGCCTCACTCCAAAGGGTGTGGTCCACCCTTCGCCCACACAGCAGAGATTGGTGGATTGCTCCCTTCATTAGCTCTAGCTCCTTCCCGTGACCACCTTAAAAGCCATCATTCCTTTAAAAGGAAGTTGATCCAAACATGCTCTGAATAACTGGATGATTTTGAAAAACAACAACAAAATATTAAGTTGGGTTAAGGGCTTTCTTGCGGGACGCGGGTGGCGCTGTGGTCTATACCAATGAGCCTCTTGGGCTTGCCGATCAGAAGGTCAGCGGTTCAAATCCCAGCAATGGGGTGAGCTCCTGTTGCTCGGTCCCAGCTCCTGCCAACCTAGCAGTTCGAAAGTACACCAAAAAAAAGTGCAAGTAGATAAATAGGTACCGCTCCGGCAGGAAGATAAACGGTGTTTCCGTGTGCTGTTTTGATGTTCCGTTGTGCCAGAAATGGCTTGGTCATGCTAGCCACATGACCCGGAAAAACTGTCTGCAGACAAACGCCCTTGGCCTGTAAAGCGACCCCAGAGTCGTCTGCGACTGGACTTACCGGTAACTGTCAGGGGTCCTTTACCTTTTTTAAGGGCTTTCTACAAGGCATCTAACCTCAATCCAAATGCAGACCTAAGCTTCACCTGACCACTTCACTGGGGACACAACAAAGACAAAATGGAAGGCAAGATATAAGAGAGCCCAGCATATGTAATCAATATCCGTGCATAAAAGAGAACACAAGAATCTGCCCCCATAATTTATCTGCATAGGATACATTTCTTTTCCTACAAGTGCTTTCCTTTCCTTTCAGTCCCCTGAACACTCAAGCAAGACACATGCCTTCCATCTCAACATTCCTGTGGAGACTTCTTTATTTCTAACATTATATTTATTACTCCTTTTTGCAGATGCATGAATCAATCGGGCATATCCTAACTACAGATGGTACAAAGCTCACTTCAATCAATCTCACGCTGTGTTCCTGGAACTACTGCTGGTCTGGCTCTTGCTTCCTAAGCCTATTATGTTGATGTCCAGCCTACAAACAACATCACATGCACATAGCTCTAATCTATTTATTGCTGTACAATGGAATATAGACTGGGATTTTTGTTTTGCAATGTGGCTTTTGAAAGGGAGAAAGGGTTTGTTTGATCAAGCATTAACTCTTTGGTATTTCAGGGGCTGCTCCTTTGCCTTGTTGAGGATTCTGGCATGTTTCAATTCTTTTGCATTATCTAACAAGTAGGAGATTGCTAAGGAACACTTTGGGAATCATTCTAAAGTTTCTAGCAGTGCAGTCAGATTCCTAAGCTATGTATGTGCACAGGGCAGGGATGGGATCATTCCTATGTCCCCCTATGTTGTGCTATGCTTGAAAATGCACGGACGTACAGTATCTACACCAGCACAGATGTAACTTTGAACCAGTGGAAGCTACCACTGGTGGACCCTGACAAGGGCAGGGCTGGGCTTTGGGGCAGCATAAAACTGAGTTGGCATCCCAGTTTGAATAATACACATTTAATGCACACTGTTGTCTATTAAAGGGAAATACTGTAAGACCATTAAATCCAAAAGTAATACAAATTACCTCCATATGACCACTAAGTCTAGAGTCTAGAAAAATACCTGGGCAGAGCAGAAATGTGGCTGAGAAATTGCTAAGCTTGGGAGTAACTATACGCTCCATCAGAGCTCATTCCTACCTAAGTGGCATAACATTACAGTGGTACCTCAGGTTAAGAACTTAATTCGTTCTGGAGGTCCATTCTTAACCTGAAACTGTTCTTAACCTGAAGCACCACTTTAGCTAAAGGGGCCTCCCACTGCCACCCAATTTCTGTTCTCATCCTGAAGCAAAGTTCTTAACCTGAGGTACTATTTCTGGGTTAGCAGAGTCTGTAACCTGAAGCGTCTGTAACCCGAGGTACCACTGTACTCATATAAAAATGTGGCATGGGTTAAAATATGTTCTGCCTCCAATCGAGGCAGCATGCCTCTGAATGTCAGCTGCTGGGAATCACAGGTGGGCAGAGTGTTGTGCTCAGGGCCTGTCCACAGGTGTCCCACAGGATTTGGTTGGTCACTGTGAGATGCTGAACTAGATGGGCCATTGGCTAATCCAGCAGCATCTTCTTGTGTTCTTATTCCCACTGAAGTCAATGGTTCTCACCTTGATCCTATACCATGCCAAATAAGGACAAAGAAGAAGAGTCTAACTGCAGCCAATTACAGAAGCCCCCATATAGATATGAAGAAAGGGTTTGGCACATTCTTTCTGCTCTCTTCAAATGCTCGATCTTTGTCCAATCAATTTCAGGAGTTTATCCGACTGTGCTGCAAACATCCTGTGACTTTCACCGTGACTTGCAATAAGTCAACTGAGTCACAGAAACTCAGCGTTAAGTTCATGTTCAATTCCGTTGCTCACTAGGTCTCAAAGTAGATCTGGGATGAACTCAGTCTCGCCATGTGTTTGCCTCGTGGCAATAAATGTCTGCATTTCATTCTCTTCCTTTATTCTTCAGTTGCAGATGCAGAGGCTGAATTGGGTCAACGGCAGCACGAAGCAACCAAGATCAAATCAAGATCTTTAGGACTGGCATATTTTGGGCAGAGATTAAATGTACTTCAGCAGGGGTGGGGAACCTTTTTCAGTCTGGGGGCCACGCTCCTTTCTAGGCAATAGTCTGGGGGCCACATGTCATTTGTGGGTGGGGTCAGAGGAAATAATGTACAGAGCAAATAGCATGACTCTTACTTTTGTACGGTAGACTGGTTTCCACACCCCTCTAAGTATGGCTGACAGAAAGGAGAGGGGGAAGTGTTGGGATACTGCCAGGGAGACGGAGGCATCAGGCAGGCTACCAGTCGTCTCCGGATGATCACCGGTCTCCCGTGGAACAGCATCAGTCAATTAGCGACACGAGCCTCAGAGACATTCCAAGACCCGTGCACACCCTTTCAGCAGAGTCTCCACAACGAAAGATGCTGACAGGAGAGCATAATTACAGCTTTATTCAACGTAGTTCAGAACAAAGGAAAAACATGACTCCTTGCCTCCGTGTCCAGGAAAACAGCCAGAAAACAAAAGCTATATACAAACGGAAGTTCCCAGCGAGAACTGGAAGTAAACAGGCATGTGATACACAACAATCATGCCTGACCCTTTAAGGTGGAATGGAACTATCCTAACAGGAAGATTGAGACATGTGCCCTTTCCACTCTTCTCCTTGGTGCCAACCACATATTTTACTCAGGTTTCAAACCCAGATTAAACATGTAGCTGAGCAGGGAACAGAAGGAAATGCAGGCATTTCTCAGCCTACATCCCCCTTCCTCCTCCCAATTCTCTTCCCCAGTGAGTCCCATGTTTAATTAGGCTTTACGATCCTTATTGAGCCTAGGGCTGTGCAAGAAACCTGACTTGGTTCAGAGTCTGAATCAAGTGTGGGTCATCCCAGGTTAGATTGAGGCACCAAATTGGAGCATGGGGCACATGCACAGCACTCCTGTTTATCACTGCTTCATTATCACTTGGCTAATAAATGAGCTAGATCTAATCTGGCCACAGACTTCATTCACATCTGCAGAGTTCTCTCTTGGTCTTATGTACAGTATACACCACTAAGCAAACTGTTGAAATATTATTTTTCTGGATTTTCTATTATAAAAAATAACCTCACAGCCCAAAGCATCCGCAGCCATTTTTCCAAGTATGCAGACCATTGGATGTCTGGTAAATATCCAGTGGACTGTTAAAAATGGGTGCATATGCTTTGAACAGCATGTTTATTATTGCAAACTATCAGGAACACCCACATAAGGTTCAGTGAAATACATTACTGGTGCTGCAATATTAAAATGTCCTTCCCTATACATTCCTTTGGTATCCTTTATGGTGCCTTTTTACTGCAGGAGGCACAGCTCATGCCATTTTGAGTAAAAGATTCCTGAAAATACTGATAAACGATGAAATATGCACGGCCACAGCCACCCTTTGCTGTAACCTCTTTGAGAGAGTCAAGAAGGTTAAGGATGATATTGCCCTTCTAAATCCATGCTGTCTATTTCCCATTAAGTTTCTGCCTCTCTGTTTATCCTATTGAAGTTCCTCCTTGGGAGCCAGGAGGTGGAGATAAGAGTAAAAGCCAGCTTAAATCCTCACCATATAAATTAAATTTAAAGTGAAACCTCCTAGCGTTGCTGCTGAGTGTGTTTTTCAGCTGCAAGGGGAAAGTCAGAAATAGTACAAAACTGTATCCTGGCTGAACTCCAGAGTCAGCAAGCCAAGGATATTAGGGGCTTGATAGCCAAATGATTGTTCATGAAAGCCGGCTCTGCAGGTCTATGTGCAATTTGCTTTGACAATGCTGATCGGTTGCTTGGAGGAAGGAGGAAAGGGATCTGAGGTTGCAAACCAATCCACATTTGCTTGGAAATAAGCCTCATTGAATGCTGTGGGAATTACTTCTAGGTAAAACCTTCATAGGGTTGCACTGCACAATTTATATAAAAATTTTGTCCTGCAATGCACATGTGCACACACATTCACACATATACACATACTACCACCCCTTGGGACAGCTTATGACAATTTAAAGTCACAATACAATAAGAAATGTATTAAAATACAAGGAATGAAACACAAACATATGGGTAGCCAATATGGTCCTTCCAGGTGTTGCTGAACTGCAACTCCCATCATCCCTAACCATTGGTCCATGCTACATGGAGTTGATGGAAGTTGGAGTCCAAAATATCTGGAGGACACTTCTTTATGGTCCAGCTCTCACTTCCATACATCACTACTGGGAAAACCATAGCTTTAACTATACGAACCTTTGTTGGCAAGGTGACGTCTCTACTTCTCAAGATGATGTCTAGGCCTGTCATTGCCCTTCTCCCAAGAAGCAGGCGTCTTTTAATTTCGTGGCTGCTGTGACAACTATTTCAAAAAAGGATACCCAGAGATGTTTTAAGACAGTGTACAGCAAGAAATATGGAAGTGAGAGCTGGACCATAAAGAAGGCAGATTGCCGAAGAATTGATGCTTTTGAATTATGGTGCTGGAGGAGACTCTTGAGAGTCCCATGGACTACAAAAAGATCAAACGTATCCATTCTTAAGGAAATCAGCCCTGAGTGCTCACTGGAAGGACAGATCCTGAAGCTGAGGCTCCAATACTTTGGCCACCTCATGAGAAGAGAAGACTCCCTGGAAAAGACTCTGATGTTGGGAAAGATGGAGGGCACAAGGAGAAGGGGACGACAGAGGACGAGATGGTTGGACAGTGTTCTCGAAGCTACTAACATGAGTCTGACCAAACTGCGGGAGGCAGTGGAAGACAGGAATGCCTGGCGTGCTCTGGTCCATGGGGTCACGAAGAGTCGGACACGACTAAACGACTAAACAACAACAACACCAAGAAATGTAAAGTGTAAATGGGACAATTGTTCTTCCACATGTGTAATACAGGAATGCTAATCTAGGAGCTGTGATTAGCAGCAGGCACATGTACAGTGACTGTCCAATCAACGGAAAGCTTGATTTGAGTCTCTGTTATGTGTGAGATGACCCTGAACCTGCTTAGCTGTGAATCCTGCACAATGTAGTGCCATTTCCATTATACAACCTTTAGCATTAGTTGAGTGCTCTTGTCTTTTCCATCCAAGGTTGCTCATAACCCTAACTGTTTTATATGCTTCCAGATACTCTTGTTTCACCCAACTAAACAGATACTGTAGGGAAACGAGTGTTTCGTCTGCCTAAGAACAGCTCCAGCTAACCTATGTCATTTCTCTGCTTTCCCCCATATAAATAATTGCCACCTTTAGATACTCCCTGACTACTCTGGGATATCATGAATATGGAAGACATGGCTGGGAATCAAATACACTTGTATTTCCAGCCTTTGAACAAGGAATCATACAAAGAGGTAGACTCCTTGAAGCCAGGAGCGGAACTAAAGTCAGCAAGCCAGAACAATATACAGAGATATTCTAGACTTCACTTCACTGCCATCCATTTGTTAACTTCACTGGGCCAATTTCAGTCTCTGGAGAACTAAACAAATTGAGTTTAAAGGCAAATTTAGAGACAGATCATCATATGATATATAACCTAAATGCAAAGCCGAGACACCTTTTCTCTCCAGTCTTTCATTCAAATGCTATGTTTAATAACTACAGCTTAGTGCTGCTAATATGAAATAATTTTTGGAACAATATCGTTATATATATTCTCTCCAGGCATATGGAACCAATTTAACTCACAATTCCCCCATTGCTTGTGGAGGCATAGGTAGTTGGGATTGGGTAAAGTTGAACATAGGGGGTTGTAGGTTAGTGGTGGCAACACACTACAGAACCTTTGGTGTCCCATTGTCCTCTGCTGCTATTTCAAGAGCATCACCCAGATCTTTTCAAATACAGTGGTACCTTGGGTTACATATGCTTCAGGTTACATACACTTCAGGTTACAGACTCTGCTAACCCAGAAATATTACCTCGGGTTAAGAACTTTGCTTCAGGATGAGAACAGAAATCGTGCAGCGGCAGCGCAGCGGCAGCGGGAGGCCCCATTAGCTAAAGTGGTGCTTCAGGTTAAGAACAGTTTCAGGTTAAGAACGGACCTCTGGAACGAATTAAGTACTTAACCCGAGGTACCACTGTAACACCGCACAGGAATGCAAGAAAAGTGCCACATACGAAATAGCCATGAAAGGCTTTCACGAGAACCCAAATCACTCGAATGGGCAGTTTGGCCATCTCAGTGGGGATTAAGGAGAAGGTTCTTCATGAATCATTTCCTATTCTTACCAACAGCAAGCCTGAGAAATAAATGTATTTAGGCCTGGGCTGTCAGTTTTTAGGAAGAAATGCCTGAACGCCAGTCTTATGCATCACTGTTATTTATCCGTAGGGCAGAATCCAAAACTATGCTGATGAATTTGCACTCTCGCCATGAGCATTTATGACTGCTTTTATAAGTGAGGTATTGAAAACTTGAAAACACAATTACTGAAACATTTAAGGCAGGCATCCCCAAACTCGGCCCTCCAGATGTTTTGGGACTACAACTCCCAACATCCCTAGCTAACAGGACCAGTGGTCAGGGATGATGGGAATTGTAGTCCCAAAACATCTGGAGGGTGAGTTTGGGGATGCCTGATTTAAGGGGTCTCTTCTTTTCATTTATACTGCACTCTAATTGAAAGCACAACACTTCACTATACATTACGTATTTTGCACCCTGAGTAAAAGTGCACCTAAAGGATAGTAACAGGATACAGAACCTTTTGACCCAAGGTCACCACTCTCATGCGTCTCAAGTTCTAATTGGCTGGAAATGTTACTGTTATCTGTGGTTGCTGGGTCAGTGTGCAATGAATCAGTGAGAGCTGGGTGCATGCTTGACTTGACAAGCTTCAATTGCAAGGGAAGAGTTGAACCAGCATGAAGAGCATATTATTAGAGCATGGATATTATAACTACTTTAAAAGCAAACACTGTGAATCATGGTTCAATTACATCAGTTAAAGATGGAGATAGACATGGCAACTCTGGCTTCTCTCAGTTTACCTTTTCCTAATCTTAAATTCAGTTCTGCATCAGCTTGTGAATCTTTTAGAAACATTTTTTACAAAATGCCAGCATTGTGTGGAGGATTTCTCCTAATATTCACCATTTTGTCTGCAAATGTACTCATTTTTGGAAGCACTTCAGCTTAATAAGATACAAGAAGATGTTATTTTCCCCAGTCTATGGATTTTTATGCACACCTTCCCCTAATATGTAAATATGTAAATTTTGCACACTTTTGGGGGGCGTGGGAGGAAATGAAGAACTGTGATTTCCCTTTAAAATAGCTCAACAACTTTTCCCAAAAAAGCTCTACAACTTGTATGTCCAGATTTTATGTGTTTGAAATATGGCAGCGCTACATTGAGATGACAACTGAAGTGAATTTCTCTTCCATCCCTAATATCAGAGGATATTTTTTGATGTCTTGACAGCATCCTTCCCAACTGAGGTCTAGCTGTTCTAGGTTGGGGGAGCAAGCGGGTTGCAAGGCTGCATTGTATGAATGAACTTTGCACTTGCAAAGACATTTCTTCTGGACATCGCTTCTGATATGTGACTGTGTGGAGGTGCCACAGCTGGTGAGACCACACACAAATATGCTTTATGTAGTTGTTTGTTTTCTTACAGCAGAAAAATATTCCCAAAGTTCAGAGTTTGGAATTTAGAATAGCAGAGAGAATTCAGTTAGAAGCAACTCTAAAAGCACATTTTGTCATAGGGAAAATGAACCCAGAAATGGTAAGATTCCAAAGAGCCTTACAAGTTATTTTTTCCAAAATTTACATTTCATGTCTGGATTCCGGTCACCTCACTTCAGGCAATGGCAGATTTTTCATATTATGGGTTTTATATGCTGATGTTCAGTGCTGCTGATCAGTCTTTTTAAAAATAAGGAACAACAACCCTAAAGAATTCCAGGGCCCTAGAAGTTTGAACACAACAGCCAATCCTTTTATTTGGAGATCTTACAAGCATCATCTCCTACCATCTCGTACCAAGCTGGTCAGGGCAGGATTCATGTACCAAAAGTCTGAACTGAATTTCTTTTCACTTTCAGCTGAGTGTGCTGAGTGCTTAGAAACCTTCCCACAATCTGGACCCCTGTGAAATTGGGGAAGTGGGGAAGATTTTAAGTGTGTTCAGCTCAGCAGCCAAACATACCAAGAACCTTCCTTCAGAGTGGCCCACTGAATATGGTCAGGCATGGAGCCAGAAGAGACAGGAAATTAGGATTATTGGTGCATGTTCACCCCACCCCAAGAAAAAAAATACCCTTTATTCTCCCATGTGTCCTTTTAATGTCTGACTAGGACTTTTGTCTGTCTAAATACATTTTTCTTTGTTCTGAATACTGGGTACAGAGCCTATCATAACCTGCCTGGTATGTTTCCTGTACAAGTAATCCTGACATGAACAACCCTTGTATGTTATAAATGATTTCAGATGGCAAGATGGTGTGCATTTACCTAGGAACAAGTAAACACCACAAACTACTAGTGCTTGTAGTTCTGACATATTATTTACTACAAAATATGAGGCTTAACACCCAGGACAAATTATGCCTTAATTCGTCAGAATTGTGATGCTTCCTTGACTGCAATGAGCTTTTGAACAAACTCATTTATACGAGATTCTTCATTCCTAAACTAATTGCTCCCTCCCCCCGCCTGGTCTCACAAACAATGAATTACATATTCTTTCAGATATTTATTTCAACTGTCTTTTTTCCCTAATACACTGGCAACATATAGTGTTACAAATGCAGCCTCTTCCTGTCCAGCTGTTCTGTTTGTTATGATATGCTGTTCAGGATAGAATTTGGGCACCATCCAAATTAGGACATCATTTAACTTCTCATCTTTCCAGCTCCTGAAGCAAATCATCAGATTCACTGATAAGTGACACATCACCATAATGTTCAACACTCTATTCCTTTAAATAATTGGAGTGCAAGAATATAGTCCCAACACAATTTTATGTTGCGGTTAAATTAAGCCCTAATTACATGATCTCTCAAAAATCTGTAAAGATTTATTACAAGGGAGGGCCAATGTAAAGATTTTGTAAATATTTATTGTAAAGGAAGGCCTTCCATCCATCCATCCATCCTGAAAGATACTGATGGGATCACAAAAGGGAAATGTGTTTGGACATCAGCTTCTTGTAGTTTACATCCTGGATACATTTCAACTCAGAAGCCTGAGACCCTCTCATGAGCTCCTCCTTTTCCAAATTTGGTGGCAGAAACATCCAAAAGATGCTGGAAACCATTAGGTCCTTGTGGCAACATCCAGTACTAGATGCCTGGGGCCCAACATCATTTCCCAGAAGCTCACCCTTTTGTCCCCATCTCACTAAATTAAGCAAGTGACCAGGGGGAGACTTCTCAACAGGCTGCACCTACTGAAATTCCCTCTTCTACACAACAATTAAAGGTGTGGGTACTCCATTAGAGCCATAAGACTGAAGGATCTGAAAACCCACTCAGAGCTTTCTTTTCCCCAAATTTACTCATACTTTCTGCTTACCAGCATGAACTGCAGGTGGTCACAGAATAGTGGCAGAAAAATATATTCAAGTGCACATCAAAATAGAGATCCCACTGGAAGCAACAGTGCCAGATTAAACCTTGTGGACGCCCCTAGGCAACTGCCTAGGGGGGCCCTTGCAAATTATCCCCTAATATGTTTTTTATTTTACCAAATCAATATTATTTTGATCTGTTGTCATGGGGTCCCTAAAAGGTGTGGGGCCCATAGGACGGTGCCTACTCTTATTTGGTAATCTGGCACTAGGAAATAATGCCATGTGGATGGAGAATAGTCACAATTGCATGTACAATTGGATGTCAATACCATTCATCCATTTTTCAGTTTCTTGCTTCCTGCAGCATATACCTCCAGCTGTCCATCCCCATTCACATTCTTCCCCAGCTACACAACTTCAGCTAACTGGACTGGAGAACAAGAGCATCAGCTTAGTTCCCAATGTAACAGAAAGGTGTTCCCTCTTTGCCACCTTCTTTGCATCTACTTGGCCACTGTGACATCAGGATTCTAGACTGGATACCCATCCAACAGGGTTCTTCTTATGTTCTTAGTTTCATTTTTTTTTGAAGTTTTCAACCTTCATAGCAATTGTCCACTTACAAATCTGTTGAGTTTGATAGGGCTGTAGTCCAGGCATAGGCAAACTCGGCCCTCCAGATGTTTTGGGACTACAACTCCCATCATCCCTGACCACTGGTCCTGTTAGCTAGGGATGATGGGAGTTGTGGTCCCAAAACATGTGGAGGGCCGAGTTTGCCTATGCCTGCTGTAGTCATTGTTTCCAATCAGTTCAACAACACATCACACCAGATTCTGGGCACCACCACATAATCTGCTCTTTTTAATTGATAGTGAGCAATTCTTTCTTTCTTTTTGCTTGTTTCTAAAGTCATTCTGGTTTCAAATTTCTAGGGGAAAAGTGACTAATAAATCATCAACATCATCCCATAGCACTAAGACCAGAGGTAAGCTTTTGCTTTCAGGAATGGTGCTTGTGTTGCTTGGCACTAAGATCAGAAATACATTATCTCTGATCTTAGTACTTGGTGCTTATATCAGAGATAAAAGATCTCTTTGTCTGATGTCATATTATGCCCAGTGCCTGGCAGGTGGGTGTGCTTTGCCCAGCATAGTCTGATGGGCCAGAGGTTCTTCACCTTGTAAACAAGCACACAAACAAACAAGCAAACAAACAAACAGTCCTACTACTTACCATCCCCATGCACACAACCCTTTTTTGCCACTGGGTCTCCTCTGTTGTCTGCTATTATGTGACCCAGCCTAGTATTGTGCGATGGACACACTAGAAATCCAATCAATCAGTTTCTGTGCTGTTCTGAGCTGAAATGTAGGTGGTTCCCAAGCCTTGCTGTCCATAGGTTGCTTGTTTCAGCTGTGTTTGTTTCAGCTGCGTACCGTAGAGCCAAAAATACTGGAAGACTTGGCATTATGTCAGGTGCAGTTCCTGAGCTCCTTGTGAGATTTTTATATCCATTTTAATTTTACTGTATTCTAAAGCTAATATTAATCTCTTTCGCTTTAATGACGTTAAGTTGCCTTGGGTGCTTCCAGGTGCTGGATTCATAAAATCTTAAAAATCAAACAAACTCCCAACTAGGAAAAGAGCTGGCTTTGTTTGTGTTACTTTTACAGTAAAAGAGTGAGGCAGAAACATCAATGAGATTAGCAGTGTTATTGCCCTCTAGTGGGTTCATCTATATGCAGTTGCACTGTTATCCTGAAATAAAGAATAATATGGTTCTTCGAAACACACACTGCACTATATTCACTCGAAAACATCATTCCTTTGACATTTCATGGGGCTTTCTTCTTAATGGATTGTATCTGTGATCATAATATAGCACAATGCACTTGAAGGTATAAATACCTTTTCTACAGGATCAGAATGAATGAGGCCTACTGTGTGCTGGAGTTCGGAATCAACCCCGTAGTGACACAGCAGCTGAGCAAACCTAATGAGATTTTATAAGTCTCAAACCATGCAATTAAACCAAGTGTGTGATTGTCACTTGAATGCTGCTGTGCGTGTATTAATCAAACTCAATCATCCCCAGCCATTATTCAAGTTCTACCGAGTCTCAAATGCTTGGTTAAGTTTTCCAAATTAGTTGGCATGTCAAAGTTGCCAGGACTGTTTTGGGGATAGGGAACAAATCTTGCATATGAGGCACAGTCGTTCAGAAGTAAAAAAATATTAAATGAATTACAGAGGGAAGCCAGAAATATGTGCCCCAATCTAGGGATGTTTTTACATGTATGGGATGCACATCTGCAAGAGCAGCTGCTCTACTAACAAAATTACAAGATCACAAAATGCATTAAAAGCAAGAGGAGATTCATGCCTTGTTTGCTACAGTTGGTTTTATAATCAAACAAATTATTAGGGAACCATATAGGCAGGACACTTAACAAAAGCTTCCCAAGTCTTTATGCTCTGGGCATGATCATTCAATTCGGGAGGCAGGGGGAAATGAAAATCCCATGCTCCCAAACAGGAAATGGGCACATAGGAAATGACAAATGGTGTTCCTGGGGAAATAATTTGCAGTAAATATTGTATGTGACTGGCAAGGGCTCGTCTGTCTTTTGTGAGCTATCTTTGCTACCAGTTATGCCTTGCCCCTTCTCAAAGTTAAGGGGGCTGAGAAGGTAGGAGAGACTTCACCCACTTTCTGAGAAACTGCACACCAATGTTTGTGTATCATTGTATAAGCTACTTACACTTTATAACTTAGACTGCAATTGTATGTCATTTTTGAAGGCAATTAGCCCCATTTACCTATCAGTAAGCATCCAGAGGCATGTGCTGTACTGTTTGAAACCTGCATATTGCCATATTTTGTTCAGCCATAATGATGATGATGATGATGATGATGATGATGATTTTTATTCCCTGTCCACTCTGGGCAGCTTGCAACATTTCTAAAAACATCAAACATTAAAAACTTCGCCAAACAGAGTTGCATTCAGAGGTCTTCTAAAAGTCAGATAGTTATTTATTTCCTTGACATCTGAAGGGAGGGCATTCCACAAGAAGGGGGCCACTACTGAGCAGCCCCTCTGCCTGGTTCCTTGTAACTTCACTTCTCACAGTGAGGGAACTATCAGAAGACTCTCAGAGGAGGACCTCAGTGTCTGGGCTGAGTGATGCGGGTGGAGACGCTTCTTCAGGTACACTGGGCCAAGGCCATTTAGGGCTTTAAAGGTCAGCACCAACACTTTGAATTGTGCTTGGAAACGTACTGGGAGCCAGTGAAGAACCTTAAGGACCAGTGTTATATGGTCCTGGCGGCAGGACTTCCGGGTCAGCGCCATCGGTGAATGGCGGAGCTCCTCCGTCTGGAGGAACGGGCTCCGTGGAAACTGGGTCTTCCCGCCGCGGCGAAGGTGGGGACCCGCTAGAAATCCCAGGCAGAGGAAGCCTGGGAACGTGGGGTTCGGCAGGGCACCAGGAGCGCCCCCCTACTCGCAGGGAATCCCATTTAGGGGCTCCGGAGCGAAGTGGGGTGAGAAGCGCGGTGCTGCGAACTGACTGCTACTTTCACGGAGTGAAGCCGCATAGCCATTGCCGGAGAGCGCTGACTTTTTCCTGTGGACAATTGGATTTAAAACAAGTACCCGTGAGTAGAAACGGAAAATTGGATCAAGAAATTTCTTAATTTGGTATCGAAGCGGGAAGGTTCAAAACAGGAAGTCCGCCTTCCGCTTTTTGTATATAGACTAAAGCAAAAACTTTGTAAGCTAAAGCCTGGAAAGCTGTCAAAAAAAAGTCTAAATTTCCTTCATTTAGAATTACTGAAACCCCCTTGGAAGCAGGAGAAAAGGGGGGGGGGAACTTTGTTCAACCCTAGCAGGAGAGGGAGTGAAGAAGGATAAGTTTCCACCGTCTCTAACCTGGGAACGGGGTGTCAGAGACAGAAATTGTTGGAGAGGTTCATTGACTGTGAATGGAATATTTTGACAGATAGCTAAAGAAGAGAAACAAGCTGATTCCAATGTTGCCTTTGCATCTTAAAGAAACAAAATATCTGAAAAATATCTGAAAAACGAAAGTAATTTTCCTTTGTTGGACTTGCCTAAAAAAAATGGATACAAATAGAAATTGCCTCCTCTAGAGGGAGCTTGTCAAATTGTTGCTGCAGTACATTTGAGGGCTCAACAGATGTGAGATTAAGACCGTGGGAACAGGCTTTTCTGACCTTGACTAAAGATGAGCTGGAAGGAAGACTGGGTGCTTGCCTTATGCAAGACAAGTGCCTTGCTGGAACAGATGCATGAGAAGATGGACTTGATGAATGAGAAAATGGATTTGACTGTTGCGGTTAATAACTGTGGGCAAACAGGGAATATTGATACAGAAATTATTCAGGGACCAACTCATGAATCTGTACTGACTGGGCAAGTGCAGAAGATAATGGAGGAGGATGCGGTTGCACCCCAAATAATACAAATGGAGAGTCCCGAGGCCCTACAGGAGCATGAGCCGCTGTCATTGAAGATTGAAGTTGGAGTGGGCCAGGGGGAGTCTGGAGCTGAGGAGGTTCCTAACGTTGGAGAGACCTTGGAATATGCTTTTAAATACTTTTGGACTATATCGAGGACTGTGGGGAGTGGGACTGTGGGGAATGGGCGGGCTTGATGAAGGGAGATGGAGACAATTTTGGCTTGGAATCCCCCGAGGCCTACTCCTCAATGAGAAAGGAAAGAAACTAAGAAAGAGACCAACAAAAGACAAGGAAAAGGGCAAGTATAAACAAGAAGAAGAAGAATTGCAGAAGGGACATGGAAGAGACTTAAGGGCCTCGGACATAAGGCTTCCAGGTTGATGGACTAGATGGAATGGACAGTAAGGACTGACACGATCCGAGACCAGGAAGAAGGGACGTTGGATGAAGATTGGAAGAAAATTTATAAAGAAAACTTTCTATTTAGGGAATTGGCTAAAAATTAATGAATATTAGGGAAAATGTTGGAATGAAACTATATGACTTTAGCAGAAATGATATCAGGAGTAATGTATATTTGATAACTAAGATTCAAGCTTTAAGGTATTTTAGGGTAAGATAAGGTTAAATAAATTAAGGTAATTTGAATAATAGAATATGGGGAAAGATGGAAAGGATTTGTTGAGCTAATTATTAGGTTAAATTAGGTTAGGATAAATTTTTTAACAAAAATTGAGAAAGATGGAAAGAATTTGCTGAAATAACTAATTAAACTAGAATACAAAAAGGGAGGTGTGAGGAAGTCAATGAAACAAGCAAATGGAAGTTTTAGATATGTAATTTGGGATCTGTGTTGTTTTCTTTTTTCTTTTTTCTTTTTATCTTTTTGTTGTATTGTTGTATTGGTTTTTGTGTTTTTTCTTTTCTTTTTATGTATTATAGTGTTGTTTTTTTAATGTTTCTTTTTTTTCTTATAATTCTGAAACCACTAATAAATATTATTTATATATATATATATATATATATATATATATATATATATATGGTCCTGGTGGCCATTCCCAGTCACCAGTCTAGCTGCCACATTCTGAATTAGTTGTAGTTTCCGAGTCATCTTCAAAGGTAGCCCCATATAGAGCGCACTGCTCCCAGCTCCTCTAGACCAGGCAGAGGCAAACTTGGCCCACCAGATGTTTTGGGACTACAACTCCCATCATCCCTGACCACTGGTCCTGTTAGCTAGGGATGATGGGAGTTGTAGTCCCAAAACATCTGGTGGGCCAAGTTTGCCTATGCCTGCTCTAGACGGTCCAGAAGGATGTCATGGTTGGTGGTATAAAAGGCTGCTGACCGGTCCAATAGAACTAGGAAACAGCTTTCACCTCTGCCCCTAGCCTGCTGGAGATCATCAACCAAAGCAGTTTCAGTCCAATGATGAGGCCTGAATCCCATTTGGAAGGGATCCACATGGTCCACATCCTCCAGGTGTGCCACCCGCTCAGTCATCTTGCTGAGCTCTTAAATTGTTTTGTTTGCTACACACCTATGAGAAGATTTGCAAAGCTTGAAAAATCAAGAGGTATATCAGAAAAAGATTCAAATCATTCAAAAACTGCTAGTAATGAGTATTGTTTAGACTTTTTCTGCATTTGTGTATTTGCTGTTTTGGGCTACTTTGGGAGGAAGGGCAAGGTATGAATTTAAATCATCATCATCATCATCAAAACAAGCTATATGTGAACAAAGAATAATTTAAATACATTCAGCTCACAGTATTTGGTTATCTGTGCAAGTAATATTTAGCAGTCAAAGATTTACACTAGAAGGAAGCAAAAATGGAAAACCACATCCTATGAAAAATTCCAACCCTTTTTGTTCCCAGCTGGCAAAGAACCATGCTGGGCACCTAGGGTGGCAGAGTTGCTGAACGAGCAAAAGTTTCATGTACATTTTCTTCTTAGGAGTTCACAGTGGCAAAACAGAGCTTGCAGTCACACAAAAGCATTTTTGTTGAAGATCCAGCGAACAGGTGTAAAAGCATTCAGCTAACCTCCCTGAGCTTTGAAGGTACAGCTACTGGCTTGCTCTGGTCCTGCACAGAAGACCATGGGGCAAGGCAGGTTACTTGCTGCAGCACCATGGAGAGTTCCTACTGAGCAACTTGCTCCAAAAAGGACTGGAAGTGAACTGAGGCCTTTTGGAGTCTCTAGTCCAAATCTACCTCTCCTAGCCTCTGTCCCCTCTGGAGGCATAGAGTCTCTGTAAGTGGCAACACCCAAGCCTTAATAGCCTCCTGGGCTCCCAATGACAATGGACTAGAAAAATACCGTGGGTGGCACTGTTCTTCAGGCTCAGGGGACGGTGACTGAGAGGATTCTGGCAGTTCCACAGACTCTGGTGCTGTGGCATCTGGTTCACTGGCCTCCTGCCTGCCAGCTTCAGATTCAGTGGTTCCCTCATCAACAACACCAGGCTTAGAGCCAGGAAGTCAGTTTGATTCCTTATTTGGTAACACTATAGCCTCTGACTCAGTGTCTTTCCCAATCCTGGACTCTCAGGTAATGACAGATATATGTCTCAATAAACAGAATGATGAAATCTACAGAATTAGTGGCATAATTTTGTATTTGGACATGACAGCCCTATAATGAATTTTTGCTATACGTCTTATTTGCCAACTTCAGGAAAGGCTCTCACATTAGATTTGTAGTCCAACATTTTAGCAATGACCATGGTTTGTCTTTTATTTATTTGTACATCAGGCAATTTGCCAATCTTGACATCATTGTGCCTAATATGTTGCCTGTCAGTTTTGACATGGCCATATTTTTAAAGCCAGGAATAGGGAACTTGTGGCCCTCCAGATGTTGATGGACTGCAGTCCCCATCATGCCTGGCCACTGACCATGATGGATGCAGCTGAAGGGAGCTGGAGTCTAACAACATCTGGAGGGAAACAGATTCACCATCCCTTTCTTTAGTCAAGAGGATTGGGAAAGCAAGAATTAATATCTGCAGTCAGCTCAATCATGAAGTTTGTTCTCTAAGTTCCTGACCATGTTGTTGAATGTAACCTGAATGTAACCTAAAATACTGCAGTGATAAAGGAATAAAAGCTGATAAAGGAATAATTGAAAATGGCGAAGTGTGATGTAGTGGTTAGAGTATTGGATAGAACTAAGCAGGTCCAGATTCAAATCTCCAGTTGGCCGTGGAGCTCACTGGAAGACCTTGGGCTGATCACAAACTCTCTGCCTAACCTATCCCACAGGGTTGTTATGGTAAAATGGGGAGGGAAGTAGACTTCCTTGAGCTCCTTGAAGGAAAGCTGGGGTGCTAATGTAATAAAGTAATAAATAAATGTATATGCAGTCCATAGTCTTGGCCATTCATTAGAAGACAAAACACAACTCACTAGGGTTTTTTCTCCCCTCTGTTGATTTAAAATGTCCATAAGTTGTTTATATCCTTTAGAAGGGCAATAATCCATTGGCGATCCATTTCTGCAAAGAATTTAGATACTCCTATTCCAGCTAAGTGGATGAGGCAAAATAAGACACTGCACTTTGCTAACCAGGGACATAGAGAACACAACAAATGGCAGAATTCCTGTCATTAATCTTCTTTCCACCCGCCCACCAAATGCATCATTTCAAATATGCATCAACAAAATATCCTTTTGAAAAACATGGTTCTCAAAAGCCTTTCTCATAAGTGATCTCATGACCTGTTCCATCCTGGAATCACATCATGCTGATTTTTAAACTTCCGGCTTCTTTCCTGGTTCTGTTACCTCATCCTATTTTTCTCAGAATAGCATCACCTTTCTTCTGTCCTCACTGAGCTGCTATACCGTCACTTGACGTATGCAATCAGTATTGCTGTTTCCATATCGACAAGGCTACATGACCTTGCCTCTCCCATCTGACTCACCATTACATTAGCACCTATTCCCTGCATTTTGCATTGTAAATCCCACCTCTGTTCCCTGGTAGCAACTTTGAACAGACCAGTATTTGACTGTTCAGAGGGCTCACAATTACAGCTCCTGTGCAATTATGCAGAAAGTCTAGTGTGCAGCTAGGGCAGAATAGTCTTTAATATACTTTCCATAGCATTTATTTCTTTCCTTTCAAAACTGGATTGCTTGCCAAATAGTTCAGATGACTTCTTCCAAGAATGGCTATCTGATCTGCTTGAAGGAATAAAAATGTCAGTGCCAAAAGGGTAAGAAACAGCTGACTCAGAAACTGCTTACTACTGCGTCTGATGGCATACACCAGGGATAGGGAACCTGTGGCCCTCCAATTGTTGCAAGACTCCAACTCCCATCAGCCCCAGCTAGTACAGTATGATCAATGGCCAGGAATGATGGGAGTTGGAGTCCAACAAGATTTCAAGGGAGCAGATTCCTTATCCCTGGTCTTTATTTGGAAACTGATCCAGCAGCCTGGAAAGCATGTTGCCTTTTTGTGACCTAAATATTACGGTAAGGTTGCAAAAGCTACTATGTGTACACCATACCAGGCCTTGTTTTTTTATCTCCTAAGTGACTCCCTGGGCCGCATTGTACTGGACACACCCAGTGAACATGAGTATCACTATGTTTCACTCTTCCATCATGACTTCCCCTCTCCCTGCTGCTAATGTCCGACCTTCTCTTTGTGAATTTAAAATGCTAGACATGAGCAGTACAGAATAGTTGTTTTTCTAGATCCAGCTTTGATCACGAGAGCAATAGCTAGGACCTATCTTGGTCACTCCCCTCATTCCATGTTGCATGATTTTGATGAATGATCCCAAACATTGCTTCCTTTCACCTTCTGTTCCTGCATCCCGACTGGGCCATCCCACATTTCCATTTGACTTCCTGGAATAATTATATCAATTTTGTTGCACACATCCCAATCTCTGAGTGTTGAGAAGCTTTGTGGGTTCCTGCACCTATGCAAGGCCCGATTTCCTTGGCATGAAGGTCAATGGAGATTGTGGTGCCTTTAGGATATATGTTTTATTTATACATATATGCAAACTGAACAGAGCATGGAAGGGCTCACAACATTAACATCCCAACAGATCTTGCCTCCCCCATTAGGTTATAGGGAGATCTCCAAGTAATAGTTTTGGTTCCAGCACAGAGCAAAACAAGCCTCCGTGTCTTCAGTTTCTAGCATCAGCAAAAATTCACTCCCAGGTGAGCTGTTAAAAGACCCACCTATTTGTCAAAATAGCAAGAAGGCAACCTTTTTGGACATGTAAATGGCAGTACTTAACTTGCCAGCTAAGGTCATTATAAAGAGATTGGTCTGACTTGTTCCATAGTTTATTCTACTAGATTCTAAACATCACTGGATCCAGAATTACAGGGCTGGAAGGACCACACCAATATCATCCACTCCAAACCTATAACAATATTATCATAAACTACAGATGATCCGCTTTTTGACTTTGTCTTATCATTGATTCTGAATTGGACCTGATTACACATGTTTCTTCTCCAAGGGATCCTGCCTAAGAAAGCAGCATTCTCAGTCATGACATCCATACAAACTTCAGTCTGGTGCATTTTGGATCATTTCATGGAACGGAACATTTCGTTTCCATAGTGGACATTTAGTGTGTTCTCTAGATATAACCAAATGAAGGAGGCTAAATCTGCTTCAAGTTGTGATCATTTTCACTGAAAATATGTGTAATGTTATCTTTTCATGCAAAATGGAAAAAAACAAAATCACTCAAAACTCAGCAGACGTTGTAGTAGATACAACCTCAGTTTAAATATGAAATATGAAAGACATGCATATCTCCCTCTAGTGTGGAAGAACCTAACAATTCTATAACTTTATATAGGCCAGACATATCTATTCAAGATAGTGATATCATTAAAGGCTTCATTTTTTTAAAAAATGAGAAGCAGGAAATGCACAATTGTGTGTAAAAAATGAGAATTATTTTTTGGTAAAATGTGAAATTTTATTTTATTTTTGTTTAAAAACCCACAAATCTCTTTTGATGGTGTCCCCAGATCACTAACTTCCATTTTATCACCTTTGAAATAATATGTGGGACTGACTTAGTGTGTGAACTGAGCGTAACGGAAATATTTTTGATTGCCATAGCAACAAAATATCTTGGTGGGGAAGAGAGCACTCGGCTGAACACATGTAAAGCAACAAGGTTACACAGACTTTAGGCCTCCAGCATCCGATCCTACTGATACAAAATATGAAGAACTGATTGTTTTCTACAGATGGGTCAATAAAGCTGAAATACTTGTGCTGCTGACATATTACTTTGTTGCTCTTTGCCATGGGCACAGGTACTATCAAGTAAAGTGAATGACTTACTACCAGGAAAAGGGTTTGTTAAAAATTTAGAACTTCTGGTTCTAAAACACTCCATGTGCATGTTCTCAAGTTATATCACCTGTGCCATTTTCCCTTTAAAAAATGGAAAAAGAGATGAATGAGGCCAGGGGGCCTCTAATAATTTGTATAGGGAAAAGGTTCCAATTCTATAAAGTGCCCTTAAAATGGCTTGTAAAATGTCCCTTAAAATGTATAACAGATATGGACATGTACCTTGGGATACGTATACTAGATCCCAGGGACATATTCTGCAAGAGAGGCCATTGCTCTGTGGTACACAGATGCAAGCAGTTTTTTATTACTACTTTGTTCACAGTTTTATTTCACCCAGTCGCGTATAAGACACTTGATGTCAGACTGAATCTGGAATCTTCATTGGCTTATTTCAGTAAATTTTGATACACAGGACTGGCTGAGGATTTGACTGCCAATCATTTTGCGACAAGCACTTGTGCATCTGAAATATCTGTTAAATGCTATATTCTAGAATTCATCATTAATTAATATTAGAGATAATAAAAGATTGACAGTTGTACTGTACTGGCAAACAGAAATTGACCTTTATGGATGATATACTAGAAACTAAGGATAACAACCCAAGGTTTCGGTGGGTCTGACAAATCAATAGGTTAAATTCACTCACTGTTTTACCAGTTCGTATCACCGCTAAGTTCATATCATCATCCAAGACCTAGTCTCTTTCAAAATAATTTTTTTAAAAAGCATATATACTCTCTGTGAGGCTGAGCTCTCATAGGACCATCCCACATCATGGACCAGATTCTTAGTCCACTAAGAGGATGTGAGAATTGCATGTTTTATGGCAGCTCCAAAGCCCACAGCTCAATGTCCCCAGTATCCATGAAAATGAACCCTATGCGCATTCAGTGGAATTTGCAAGCATCTAGGGAAGAGGTAAGGGACGCGGGTGGCGCTGTGGGTTAAACCACAGAGCCTAGGACTTGCCGATCAGAAGGTCGGCGGTTCAAATCCCCGTGATGGGGTGAGCTCCCGTTGCTCGGTCCCTGCTCCTGCCAACCTAGCAGTTCAAAAGCACATCAAGGTGCAAGTAGATAAATAGGTACTGCTCTGGCGGGAAGGTAAATGGCGTTTCCGTGCACTGCTCTAGTTCGCCAGAAGCGACTTAGTCATGCTGGCCACATGACCCGGAAGCTGTACGCCGGCTCCCTCAACCAATAAAGCAAGATGAGCGCCACAACCCCAGAGTCGGTCACGACTGGACCTAATGGTCAGGAGTCCCTTTACCTTTACTAGGGAAGAGGGTGGCCAGGGGAAGTCAGCAGATCAATTCGTAAGCAGTGTGGAGAAGTGTGCCTGTTCCTTGTATCATCACATTCCAATGAAACAAAATGGAACAGCCTCACTTTACAGTATGTGAAAGACACTCAAGACACTCCTTATTCCATCCAGGTAACCATCAGGGAGCAAGAGGTGAACCAATGAATCATCCCAGTCCAACCCTCATATGCAAAGTAGGATATCATGTATTCAAAGCGTCTGTCCAGCCTTCCCTTGCAAACTTCCAAGAAAGGCAGTTCTACAACCTTAAGGCAGTTTCCCCCCCCCATTGCTACACAGTGAAAGATTTAACCCTTTGCTTCTGCTCCAAAGCTGTGTGAATCATTGTTTTCTTTACAACCGTCACCCTTGTTTCCTACCTAAAACCTTGTTAACACGTCCCCATTCCCTGCCTGTAGCAACCTGAGCGTTTACTGAGAAATAAAGTCAAGGGGAGTTTAACGCCGCTGAGCGCAACCCCCGCCTTTTGTCTCTGCTAAGATCAAGGCAACTAACGCCCTTTCATCTTCCCCTCTTTGCTTCTTTAAGAGATGATTCCACCACCTTCCTAACTCCCTCGTCCCTTAGTCCTGACAACGTTGTCGTCCTCAAACTCTGCTTCCCGAAATCCAAAACAGGGATGTTGTTGTTGGAATATTTATACATATTATTGGGGGGCGGGGTGTTAAGAGACCTTACCTGCCGTGCTTGTGTGACAAAAAGAGAAGAGCCTAAACAAAGGTGTGACTTTGCGACTCAATCAGAAGAAGATTCCATTATTTTTTTTACACGCAAAAAAAAGGAAAAGGAAAATAGCGGACATCTCTTTAACTCCCATTGTGTGGACAGAAGCACAAAGGCGTCTCACTCTGGGGAGTGGGTGTTTCTTCCAAACCCCCTCCCCCTCTTCAGCGGCCCATTTCCTTTGCGATCCCATTCATTCCTCCACCCAGCCCTACAAGGAACCTCCTCCCTGCCTCTCCCCACCAAACCCCGTCCAGGGCTGGCCTTGGCCGGAGCCGAGGCGGCAGATATCCACGCAGGCGCCGGCGGACCCCTCCTCCCCTCCTTTCCCCCCGAGGAGCCAGGGGAGGGCGGTCCCCTCTCAGGTCCGCGCGAGGAAGAAGAGGAGGAGGAGGAGGAGGTGGTGGAGGAGGAGTTATGTAGATGACGGATGAACGTTTCTGGAGTGGCGGGGCGAGTCGAGAGGCATAAGCGCAGCCGGGGAAGCGGAGCACGGGCGGCCAGGCAGCCGAGGAGGCCTTGGCGAGCCGGAGGAGGGGCCGCAGCCCGAGGAGGCGGAGGCGGAGGCGGAGGCAGGCGGTTGCTGTGCAAACGAGGCGCCTCGCCGGAGCCGCAGCTGCACTTGGACGCCGCGTTCCCTCCCGGACGGGACGAGCGAGGAGGAGGAGGATGTGGAAGAGCTGACCGAGCTCGATGCCGCCGCGCCGCGTCCTGGACTGAAGGGTCTCCTCTCCCCTCCTCCTCCTCCTCCTCCTCCTGCTGCTGCCTCTGGAGGTGAACCTGCGTCGAGCTGTTCCTCCTCGACAGCGCGGGGGGAATCTCTCCCCCTCCCCTCTTCTCCCATTTGAGAGAGAGAGAGAGAGAGAAACCCACCCGAGTGTGCGTGTTGTGTTTTTGTTTTGGCTGTTCGGAAGGGGAGAGAGAGAGAAGAGGGAGAAGGAGGTGGAGAAGGAGGAGGAAGGCAGCGAAGGCAAGGAGCGCGCGCTCTCTCTCTCTCTCCCGCTCGCCCGCCGTCTCTGCCTTCTCCATTGAAGCACAGTTCACTATGATCTTACTCGCCTTCAGCACTGCAAGCCGGGGGGATTTCGTGCATCATTCCAGGGTGTTTTTCTTGCAAGCCTTGCTTTGGATTTTATGGGCTACTGGGTGCAGAGCGGAGCAGTATTTCAATGTAGAGGTAAGATCTATGCACATCTATGTCTCTCTGTGGTGTGTTTCCTCTCTTGTCTGGGTTGCTTCTTGCATTGATTCAACGTGCAGAAATAAATAAATAAAATTAAAAAATAATAGGGTGTAGGAGAAATCCCAAACCTCCCCAGCAGTCGCTTCTGCGAGCGCAGCCAGGACGCTTTTCCTTCCTGCAGCCAACAGAGTTTCCCGTTTCTGGCGAGCCGCCTCTTGGTCTCAGGATCCCTTGATGCCCAGGACGGCGGAAAGCCACGATGCTGGGCTCCGGGGGTTTCACCATTGCGCCCTGGCAGTACTCTCCCTCCCCTACTTTAAAAAGAGATCGGGGTGGTGGTGAAGTGGACCTCTCCAAAACGCGCATGCATCCGTACGTGACGGGTGGTAGGTTAAAAGTAGCCACTGGACATTAAGACGCAAGAACAGTCTGAATGGGGGTTTAACTTGGGGAGGGGGCATGAATTTATATTGCTAAGATCAGGGCGTTGTTGTTTAAATGAAAGTGGAGAGGGAAAAGGCATTCATTGAACAGGACAAGGTTTCTTTTGTCACTTTGAAACATTCCTGTGGACTTTTGCTCCAGGGGCTGCTGTAATGGCTAAACGGATGTCCCCTCAGGCAGCTGCAAACGGGGCGGTGAAGGGAGGCGGGTGTTGTTAAGAGGTGGAGAGGAACTTTGTGAAGTTAGTTAAAATGTGAGAAGGTGAACAGCATCTGGATGGGATCTGTTCTGGGTTCACGGCTAGACTTCAGCTGGGATCCACACCCTACTACTCCCCCAGTTTTTAGCCTCAGCCCAATGTATAGACACTGGATCTGGCTTTTGCAGCACAAACCCTGTATATGTCTACTCAGCAGTAATGCCTATTGAGTTCGGTGGGGCTTGCCTTCACTTAACGTGTGTATAGAGTCGCAGCCTAAGTGTGGTTGATTATTAAGTGTGCTGCATTTTCTCAGCTCTTGTCCTTTTCTCATATGCTTCGCACCATAATGTCTGTCCATCTGTCTGTCAAAGCAGTCCCAGTTTGTCCCTTATGTTATCATCCTTATGCATGGCCTCCTTTCATCTTGCTCACCCACTGCTGCTGGTTCAGGAGTTGAAAGAGACCACACGAACCATAACAACTCCCATTCCTGTATCAGACTTGATCCGTCTTACTGATTACACACCTGCAGCTCAATCCTTTGCTGACCCCTGTGCTTCTTCAGACCCAAAGTGTCTCTTACTCATGCACATTTGAAATTTTCTTCCACACAAACTCCTGTTCTTCTGGCTCTCAGGATCTCAAGCCTTTCTCTGGATGTGTCCCCCCCCTTTTTAGCCACAAGAGGAGACTCTCTTTAGTCTGACCACACAAGACTCACATTTTCTGTGTATGTCAATAATATAATTTGTCTTTCTCTTCTAAGGATACTTGTCTATGACTGAATTTTCCAAACCTGGTCACATTCATCTATTATTTCAGGGCTATCCTGGCAAGTCCGTCTTGGCTATATTTCATTTTGGCTTCCTTCCACAACCCTGTATTGCCAACTCTTTCCCCAGATGTCTTGTCACAGGGCTAGGCTGAAAGGTGTGAGCAATGCCTGACACCCTTTGGCCTAATTCTGGTTATGGCTCTTGGAGCTGACTGTGGCAGGAGTGCCACTTAGCCAAACTCACTCTGCTCTCTAGAACATCCTTTATCCCCCTCTTTACGCTCATTCTTCCAATGAGAAGTGGAGGAGACTGCCAAGGGGAAGGGGAAAAAGCCACCCAATAGCATCACGCCTAGATAGTGCCACATGCAGGGAGTCCGGTAGGCTTTCCAGCTCCAGAAGCATTTCCTCCTGCCACAGCTAGTTGCTGTGCCAGCTGCCTACTCTGCAGGACGCAGGCCAGCAGCAGATGGTGCTAGGACATGAGGAGTGAAAGGATAGTTTAGGGAATCTAGGAACACACCAGTAAGTAGCAAGGGGGAGAAACTAAACTTACATGGAGCAGTGAAGTAAGGAGGGAAAACTATGAATGAAGAAAAGTTGGAGAAGTGGGTTTAGTGTTTTCCCGCTTCCTGATACAATGTTTCATAGTCGTGCTTCAGAGCCAGTGTATAATTGGAAGGTCATGTGTGAAAGTGTGAAATTCAATCTATCTATCTATCTATCTATCTATCTATATCTAAACATACTGTATATAAAATTGTCCAGTAGCACCTTAGAGACGAACTAATTTTGTTCTAGGTATAAGCTTTCATGTGCATGCATGCTTCTTCAGATACACACGAAAGCTTATACCTAGAACAAACTTAGTTGGTCTCTAAGCTGCTACTGGACACTATATATATATATCTCGACTGTGTCAGACCAACACAGCTACCTACCTGAATCTGTGAAATTCAAGAGTTCGGTTTTGTTCAACAAAGGACCCTCTCCTTTTTCTTTTTCTTTTTTGCCTCTGGCCACCTGAAAAAGAGAGGTGTGGAGAGGGTGTGCATTCAGTTCTTACTTCTGGCTCTACCTACAGTTAGCAGCCATGCCCTCCTAGTAGACATTAGCCACCACTGCTCTGTTCTGTAGGCCATTTCAAAAGCTAAAGTGGAATAATCCAGGCATAGAAGGATCTTTGCCATTCCTGGAGGCTAGCACACTTGGTTTGTCTGGGGAGCAGGTGGCTGGGATTTCTCTGGTTCTGGAATAAATCTCTTGAGAGCAAAGAGCGGTGTCCTGCCTTATCGTCTTCTGCCTCCTTGAGATCAGCATGGTCTCTGCTACCAGGCTGAAGGAAAATTAATTTACATTTATCTCTCAGTAAGGCTGAGAGCTTTTCAAGTGCCATTTGTTTTTGTAAAAAAAAACACACCCCGGAGTAGCCGGAGCCACAATGCAGAGGGAACGTGAGGCTAAGGACTTGGCAGCGATTGGGTGACTCTGTGCCATGGATTTCTCTGTGTCAGCACCAGACCCATAAAACACTTGCACAGGACAATAAATCACGGAGAACCCATCCCTACTTGAGCACAGCAAATTCTGTTCCAGGAGCAATTTAAACAAACATAGAAGTGAGGGGGCTGCTGTAGACCAGAGTCCATTGTAATGGATTTATGGAGGCTAAGCTCACATGGTTGGTAGCATAGGAAATGGAATTTAATTTCACTAGGGCCACTTCAACATGGATCTGTGTTATTTATATTGTTGTTTGGTCATTCTTGTAGCATTAAAACAAATACTGAAAGGAGGGCGCGTACACACACACTCACCACCTGTTGCACATACAGACATGGTTTATGGTGAATATCTGTTTTTGTAAACACTGGGTTCTACCCAGCTAAGTTTTAATCAGAGTAGACCGACTGAAGGTAGTTTCTGCACATGCTGTAGTGGGAAGCGAGAGTAGACCGACTGAAGGTAGTTTCTGCACATGCTGTAGTGGGAAGCGAGGGGCAGATGGGGCTCTTCAACCTGGGAAGGTAGTCCATCTAGGAGAAGGAAAACTTTGCTCCCAAACCTCCATTGCCTTGCGGGGTATCTTCGGGAGATGAAAATGCTAAGAGAGTAAACCCTACAGAATGGAGTCCCTCAGACAGTTGGGTGGCCACTTGTGCTCCTCCTTCAGGCAACTCCTGCAGCCGTCTGGTGCCAAACATATGGCTATGCTTTCCTTTGGACCACATCAGTGAGGCTGAGAGGGGGGTCTTGTCATCTGGGCAGCCCAGAACCTCCATACACACTGCCCAGGCTTGTGCCCCAGGGAGGTCATTTAGGTGTTGTTAACACAGCAATTTGATTTCACCCCTGGAGGCGCACCCCATTGTCTCTTGAGGCAGATGAATGCCAACAAGACTGATTGAAGTTAGTGATTGAAGTCATGGTGATTATTTTCAATGGGTCTACTCTGAGTAGAACTAACATTGGCTATAACCCTTAGGCTGCAGTTCTATACTTACATTGGATCAAGCACTATTGAACTCAGTGTGCCTTACCTTTGAGTAGACGGGTATAACATGACACAATTACTTGGTTTTAGTAGGAGGCTTCCAAACATATACTCTCCATACCTGATCTGGAAATGGCTGATTCTTCTGGTTTCCATCTCGTATTTTAGTGATATTTTTATAGAATTACTGGAGCTCAGATTACTATGTGTATGTGTATATGCCTTTCTTTGTATGTCTTGTTGGAGTTGCAGTCTCAAATTCTGCTAGGTGAGAGCTCTAAAAATGTCAGTATTCAGTATCATCAAGTAATTGTTGACATTGTTAAGGGGGTAGTCCTCAGTGATGTGGTTGTGACCAGGGGCATAGGAAGGGGGTGCGGGGTGTGTGGCCCACCCTGGGTGTCACCCCTGAGGGGGTGACAAAATGACACACTGTGGGGGGGGGCACTTACCACGGGGTCTGGCCTGCAGTGTGCCCAAGCCACACATCTCTCCTGGGAGTGACACGGTGCTCAGGGCCCCACAATGCCCAAAATGGCAGCGTGGGGCTTGTGTCCGCCAGGCGGACTCCATGGGCAGCTCACCGTGGCACCCTCATGGGCGGATCACCACGGCGCCCCCATGGGCAGTTCGTCCCGCCCCTGCCACTTCGGGTGCCGGAGCAGTTAGGTCCACCCCTGGTTGTGACACATACTTCTGTATTGTTAGTCACATAAAAAGGCTATGCAATAGACAATGTGAAATCCTGTTCAGTAAAGCGATAAACACTGGCAGTTCAGAACTTGGTATACAGAATTGGCAGTCTTGGCCTTGACCGCAATTTATCATTTTAAATGATAAACTAATTAATCTGCATGTTATGTAGGGCTGTGCCATTGATCTAAGAGCTTTAGATTCATCTGTTCATTTGATTGTGTGCAGAAATCTGCTGTCTCTGAAATGAATGAGGATTTGGTTTGGGTGCACACAACAATATGTGTGAAAGCAGGCTCTTGAACTGGGGGCATCATGCTTAATTGTTACTCTTGAATACTCTGTGTCCTGATTTGGTTGGTTGAATGGATGGTTAACGCCATCGCAAAGAGTCAAGTCATCCTTGAATGTTTGTTACACTCGAGTTTGTTCAACGATTGGGCTTAAGAGTCAATTTTACAGGGTAGATTGTGTTAGTCTGCTGCTGCAGAGCAAATCTAGAGTACTATGGCAACATAAAAAGTAATTCATAGTAGCATGAAATCGGCAAGGAAGGAGTAGCTACCAGTGTGGCAGTGTGGGTGGCTTCCCAGTGCTGAGGTTGCTGCCAGTAGACTGAGAGGGGAAAGTTGGCATGGCACAGTAGCATTGGATTGGCTCTGCTGCTGAGCGTGTGCTATGCCAACCTCCCTGCTGCCTCACCCCTCTCCTGCTTAGTTACGGGCAGCAACTTCCATGTTGGGAAGCCAGATAAGCAACCCCACTCCACTGACTGCTGCAAGGAAGAACTTGCCTCATCAGAAGGATGTAGTGAACAGGGAGGATATAGGTCAAAGTCAACTACCTGACTGATGCCAGCCAGAGCATTGGGAGGCAGACCACTCTCTAACAGTGGCATAATAGCCAGGTTGAGGAAGGGAGATTATTAAATGAGAAGAAGACTCTCGTGTTCTTCTAACCAGCTTTAGAGAGGGTGGAAATACCACATTATTCTACTTATTTGATGATACCTAGTTATTTATTTAATATATCTCTTCCTTGATGGAAACCTTGAACTGGTTCGCATAAAATAAAATAAAAACCTCTTGAAGATGGCACTTGTTGCACATTTTTAGAATAGGAGATAATGCAAGGACAAAAGAGGAAGAAGAATAAGCCTAGTCATGGTTCTCCCAGCATGGTTCCCCTGTGTGCTCTGAGGCTGGTGGGTTGTGTGGCAAAATCATGTTTGCTCTTCTTTTGCTACAGAAAGGAGTTGTGGGTCCATTAGAAAATGCGGATGCTGCTGTTAACATGCATGATATATGGTGCAATAACAAATTGCAGTGCCGTGAAACATGGGGGCAGGCAATGACTTGGACTGCAGTGTCCATAGATCAGTACTTCATGTTCTTCTGTAGATTTGGCAACCTGAACTTGCTTGTAATCCCTAATAATAAATAAGAGACTTTAGGAGCATGGGCAGGGTTTGGCTACTGCACATTTCCAGCAGTGGGAGAAGAGAACTACTGGCAGAGAAACTGCCATGTCAAGTTACTGCCGTTTTGCTTTTCTTACAACCTGTTGGCTACAGTGAGAGGCGTGCCATTTTTGTGGGAATGCCAAGGAAGTGAACGGACTTTGGATGTAATGTGTCAACACCCACCTCTCCTATTCCCTTCCATATCTTATTATTCCGCTACTCATCCAGAGGAACATCTGTGCTGGTGGAGTTTTTTTACTGACATGTGGGCTTGCAGTGATATAAGTGGCATTCCACCATCATCCTGCCTTCTCTGCCAGCAGAGCAGCACATAAACTCTCAGCCAACTTCTTGGTGAGGCTTGGATTACACATTTATCAAGTTAAAAATACATGATGGGAAGTTTAATTCCAGAGCCTTGCAAATCTACAAAAGTTATTAGCCCATCTGTCACCTTGACTTATCATTCATTTTTGAAATTAAGAAATAGCCCCCGTCCCCCAAATTTCATAAAATTTCAAAGCCTAGTTGTCTGGAGGTTATTCTTATCAGAGTTGATCAGATGTGTTGCTATTTTCTAGCCCAGTGTTTGCTCCCCGGTTTATCACAGTTGCATGAAAGTCAAAATTCCATAGAATCCTCATAAATCTATATCATTATAATTAGATGTGCTGGTGTCAACCCCTATAGGAGTCAATATTAACTGAAAATCCGGTAGTTGCTGAGAGGTCACATCCTTAACTTTCTGTGTATGCAGTGACACCTACTTTTAATTAAACATGGTTAGGATTGAGAGCTTTGCTTCCATTTCCCACCACAATGTTATTTCTGTTGTTCCGCCTTGCATATACATCATTGGTAAATACTTCGGAGCAATCCAGTGAGATTTTCAAAGCAAGCCTTGCTTTTCTACAAGCAGTTCCTTAAGTGACTTTAAACTTCCCCTTTTAATAATCATGGCAGTTTAATTGCTTATTATGGAACATAACACAGTGGAATCAAAACCTCTGAGAAATGCTGTCAAAAATGTAGAATTTGCTTCCCCGTGGCAAACAGTGGCTGCAAACTTCCTTGCTTTTCACTGCTAACAGACTTCACAATTAATGGTCTTCTGTTACTGAATTGCTACACATGACCTTTCTAGGTTTCTGCATTTATCTAACACCCTGATCCCTATGCATATTTACCAAGAAATTATCTGTGTCAATTTTAAAATTGAAGTTTTTTCCAAGTAAAGTATGTTAAAGCACATTTAGCTGGAAGTAAGTCTCACTGAACTAAATGGGACTTAATTCCAAGTAAAAGTCTGAAAGCTATGTGTGCGCTTTTGAGCCACTATTTCTGTTAGGGATAAGTATGGAGAAATTGGGTTAGCAACACCCTTCTTCACTTTTTGGTGTGTTATTATTAGGACGTTGGGATGCTGAAGTATTCTAATGAGAGCTTATTAAAAACCATCCCAGGAAACTCAAAAGAAGAAGTGAAGAATATCCTGTTTCTTATGAATTTTGGAGCATATTAACTGTCTTCATATTGCTCTTCTTCATGCATTCCACCCTGAGATGGTAGTAATGCCTGTTAGAAGGAACTGTGCTCATTATTGGACCTATTCTCAAATTTTGAAGTTGAAGCTGGTTTCCAAAATGATTGGAAATGGTTTCTTGATTCTGGTCCTGCAACATTGTTCTTCTTGACCAGGGGCTCAACTCTCGCTATCCATGATCTAGTCAAGTTTGCACAGTGTAGTTGCACAGTGTAAAGAAGTACTTTCTTTTCTCTGTCCTGAACTGTCCAACATTTAGCTTTCTTTGTTGGCTGTCCATGAATTGTACTGGTATAAAAGAAGGAAGGAGCTTTTCTCTGACCACTTTCCCACACCATACAAAATTTTATGTGTCTTCTATCGTGTCTCCTCTTATTTGCTTTTCTCTAAAGTAAAAAGCCCCAAACTTTTCTCCTAAGGGACTTGTGCTATCTCATTGATCATTTTGGTTGCCCTTTTTCCCCCATCTCTACAATAGTCTTTTTGAGGGGAGATGGCTGGAACTGAACACAGTATTACAAGTCTAGTCTCAACATTCTTTGTATAATAGTGTTATGTTATTGGCAATTTTATTTTCACGTCCTTTCCTAATGATCCCTAGCATGGAATTTGCCCTTTTCACAACTGCCTCACTTTGGGTTGAAACACTCATTATGCTATCCACTAGGACCCCAAGGTCTTATTCCTGGTCAGTCTCTTCTTTGTTCAGACCCCATAAGCATGTATGTGAAACGATTTTTGGCTGCAATGTGGATACTTTTTCACTTGCCTGCATTGAATTGCACTTGCCATTTTACTGCCCATTCACTTGATTTGAGAGATCCTTTTGGAGTTCTTCACAGTCTCATTGTTTTAAGGACTCTGAGCAATCTAGCACCACCAGCAAACTTGGCCACATCACTGCTCACCCCTAACTGTAACTCATTTCTGAACCAGTTAAAAAATATAGGTCCTATACAGATCATTGGGGAACTCCACTTCCTCACAGCTCTCCATTTGGAGAACTGTTCACCTATTCCTACTCTGTGTTTCCTTTTGCAATGTCTCTTATTCCATGACTGCTCAGACTACTCAAACTTTGGTGAGATAATTTGTTGAAAGCTTTTTGAAATTCCAAGTATGCTATGTCAACCGAATCACTTATGTTGATATGCTTGTTGACAACCTTAAAGAACCCTAATAGGTATCTTGTCAAAAGTGTTTTGAAAGCCTAAGTATATGATATCAACTGGATCAACCTTATCTATATACTTGTTGACACTGCTGAGTGAGATGAAGGAACCGACCTGGACCCTGTGATCGTCATCATATTTGGGGCCAGGAGGTAAGTTGTTCTTCAGGTCTGTTGGCTGTCCTGGGGGTTTGGCCTTCCTCATAACAACTTTGGCATATAAGGCCAAATAAGTCACAGTTGGAGGGGAGGTTGTAAGCCTCTGGCTGCCCCTTGAAGAGAATGGGGTATCCCATTAAAGGGATCCTGGAGGGGACACTCCTATCTGGATGCCCAGTTGGGGCTAGGGCCATAGCACTCCTCCAAAGGCAAGTTTGGGGTGTCTTACCAATTTGATGTATGTCATAGTACTTCCTTGCCATTGACTCAGACTCATGGAAATCTTCCAGCAGGCAGACTTCCTCACGGAAATCCTCATGGAAATCTTCCAGCAGGGAGGCTGGATGAACCAGGTTCAGGGCTGTCTCAAGCATATGCGGCGCCGGGATGCAAAGATCTGCCCGGCATCCCCCCCCCCCAGGTTGCCCAGTCCCAGGTATGCGGGAGGGCAGAGCTGGCCGGCTGCCTCAGCATCTCGCTGGCTCAGTTGCCCCTGAACTCGTGGTGCAGAGCCACCCGCAGCAGAAGAGCCCACTGCGACACTCCAACCGATGGGCGGCCTCTTCTCTAGACCCAACTCTTGGGCCCTGGACTCTCGGCCTGGCGCCCCTGAGAGCCCGGCACCCGGGTGCCCTGCACCTCTAGCGCCTAGGGGTAAGACGGCCCTGACCAGGTTACGCCCAGTGCCTAAGCCTAAGCCGTCTGTAATCAGTACAGTTGTGGTCTAATTTGAAACAAAGATCATTGTCACGAGAGGCTATTCAGATACATGCATGGTCTGGGGTTGGGGGCTCACAGCATGTGGGTCTGCAACTATCTTTTTGCAAAAATGTAGACCTTTGATAACATCTCCAGACAACATTACTTTAGGAAAATTTACATTAAAAAATACTGTACAGCCCCCACCCCCAATAACATATGTTCACTGGGTGGCTCATAAGAAATAATTGTGCCAAGAGCTTTATCTTTTGAACGGAGGTTGTATGCTATTTTGATGGTGTTTATTTCACTTATTTGGTTGCTTGGCAACCATTCACACCACACTGCTGCTTATTGTCATTCGTTGTAAGCATATTTTAACATACTGGTGATGGTATTTAAGGATTCCCATCTTCAAAGAATTCACATTTAGCATTAATGCTAGTAGTAACATTTAGAACTGCTACTTCACTAATTATGTAGTAATGATTTCTGTGTTTACGCCAAATCATTTCTTTGTTTGTTTCCAGACCTTGGCTGAGTTTTAGTGATGGATAATATGACAGGTGTATGTATACCTTAAGACTTAATTTCTTCATCCATATAGTCAAGTATTCCTCCAAGCATTGGGGAAGAGCTTTGGCTCAGAGTTGGAGCTCAGTCTTTATGTACAGAAAGTCCCAAGTTAAATCCCTAGCAACTCTATCTAGGGCTGGGATTGGCAAAAAACAAAAACGAAAAACACCATTTGTGAAGGGTCACTACCTGTCAGTATAGACAGTGCTGACCTAGACTGAACCCCAACAGTCTGACGCAGCATAAGAGAGCTTCCTATGCAATCCAAAAACAGATGGGCCCTTCAAAGATTTGAAATCTTTTTTTCATTCTCAAGGTTTCTGAGGGTTTCAGTGGAGAAGAGGCACTTGGCAAAATCTGCTTGCTGCCACTGCAAGTGAGAGGAGTTTGGAACTGATTTTGACACGAGAATTACTGTTAAAGTACAAAATTGTTTCTTTCTTTTTAACTGCTACAGTAGTTGTGTCGCTAAACCACATGTTACCATTTGATTCCCACGAGAAGTCTGAACCATTGTGCTCTTGCTCAGGGGAAAAGGCAATGCTGGTTTTTCTAAAGGACTTGCTTGTGAGCTGTTTTCTAGCACGGATTTCATATATCTATCTGTATATATATCTGTCCCGATTTAGACCGGTATGGGTAGGTTGCTTTTGGTTTCTGGTCTGAAGCCATGTAGGAGGAGGAGGAAAGGGGGCATTCGTGAAGCGCCTGCAGTTCTGATATTGGTCTTGAAAGGAAATAAAGGTAAAAAAGCAAATAGGAAACTTAGTTCACTGCTGTTTCACACACAGCAAAAACCAAAGCCCTTCTGTAATTATTCATATCTACAGTGCACCCATTTCATGCTACATAAAATGGGAAGGTTCTCAGTAGGAATAGAAAATCTGTCAAATTTGGTTTCTCATTTTCCTTCAGTTCACATTTCTGGATTTGCTTTTTTAAAAAGTCATCATGACAATTCATCAGCATTTTTGTGTGAATTTGTCCTAATATACACATTTTGTATGCAGTTTTGCCCAATGTCTGTATTTTTGCAAAGCAATTATCTATAATATTATACACTTTGCCCTAGTATATGCATTTTGTAGACATTACTTAGTAGGAGAACAGTATTGCAATTAAGAGAAAAGAGAATTCCAAAATATGGCTGTGTTTGGGTTTGTGCATTGCTTTAGATTAGAATGTTTGCCTTGAAAACTGAAGTGACTTTCTCATCCATCCCTAGCTCACAACACAACGCTATGGATATTTACTGAGAAGTGCTCAGTAGCTCTTACTCCCAGGAAAGTCTGCATAGGATTGCCGCTTCAGTTGTTTGAGCAAGATCTTTTCAATTGTACAGTTTTTGTCAGATCTAATTTTTAGGTACAAAATGAAAAACTGTTTGGTGTTCTTCATAGTTGAGAACCCCTCATTGGTTACTAGGCTCTGAAAAGAGCAGCCGAGAGGGTTGGAGAATACAGTAAGTCCACAACTTGTGCACATTTTAACTTGCACACATTGGGTTTTACACACTTGGCAAGGAAAAAAGTGAAAAATAAAAAAGGGGATGGAAAGGGAGGAGGTGTCGCAGAAAAAAAAAGACTGTCACCATCCCACCCACCATTGCACCCAATGTTTGTTTTATTTGTTTATTGTTAATACGGCCAACAGCCGGCATACTATTGCAGCCAATGTGTTTTGACTATAGGTAACTTTTGCCTTAGGTGCTATTCCTGGAACATAACCCTCACGTAAGTTGCAGCCTTACTGCATATCAAAAGGATTGTGGAATAGTTGAGTGGTGCATCAGATGTGGTCAGGTCAGTCCTGAGTAAAACCAAATCCACAGATCTATCCTGAATTTGGCGGGCACGGTATTTTTGTGCCGTCTCAGCAGAGCCTAACTCTGAGTTCTTGAAGATGGGACTTTTGTTCTGCATGTTTCTGACTCATTCTTTGACTCTTTCCCATCTTCTTTCCATTCCATTTTGAAGGATGCTAAACCACTGATTCTAGATGAATTCCAGGGAAATCCAGCTTCTTTGGATTAAGTCTTCAGTATTTTTATACCAGTCTTCTCCCTTCATGCAGAAGCAACGTCTAATAATTTTTGGTAAAGGGGAGGGGGGATTCAGCAGCAGAAAGCACTTTCTATATTTCCTTTGATCTTCCTTTGAGTCCTCCATCAGTACAAGGAAGGTACTCGCTGGAGATTTGGGCTATTACGATGAAGCTTTTAAGGGGGACAATTGTAAGGTTTTAATTGCTTTGAGCTTCATTAGCAAAGTAGCAGCACCCACAATAAAACCAAGTAGATCTGTTTTCTGAATATTTTGACAAATGTTTCTCTACTGACTAATTAATAATTTTTTCAGTTGTAATAAGAACTAATAACTTTTTAGCTTGGGGACTATTTGAGACTCTTTTTAGAAGAGCAGAGGAACTGACAGAGCATCCGAGGTCTATTATACTTTAATACTGTACATAAAGATTCAGTTTAGTAGATTCCTGTCTCTTATATCCAGATTTTTCAGTCCCTGAAAACATGAAGTAGCAGGTCATAGGCATCACTGTAATAAGGAATGTGTTCTAGAAGCAGTGCAGGAAAGGCTGAAAGATGGAGAAGGCAGAGTCGAAAAGCAGTGTTGATCTAACTGGGGGAAATTCTTCTTGTCCTCACAGGTCATTAGCTGAGAGGCTATTCACAGAGAGGTCATCCGGCACAAACCTTCATAGAATAAAAGGCCATTTGTGTCAGTGGAGGTTGTGCAGGAGAATTTCTCACTGGATTGCACCACTGACCTTTAAATGTAGAACTGAAGGCTCCCATTTAGCATGAGATTCTTTCTGACCATCTCATTAGAACACAGCCATTCCTTGGTGTATCTCAACATGGATTGTGGTAATTGGGACCATAGCTGATGATCATCAGGTTTCTCAATTCTTCAATGGGTGCATAGTGGGTTACTCCCCTTGTTTAGGCTGTTCCAGGAATAGGATGTGGACTGTGGCAAGCAGAAACTGAATTTCCTTCCCTCATTCACATTCTGTTCCATTCTTCAGTCCCTACTGTTTCCCTCAGGCGTCCAATCTCCAGTTGACCTTTATAATGTATTCCCAACTTTTATTTTGGTGGGAGAGGGAGAGATGGCATGGAAGACAGAGACACCATGCATTTGCTATTTCTAATATTAGCTACCTGTATCCAAAGCAGCTGGTTTTTTTTGCTTAAAAAACTGGTTGCAATGCTATATCCAGTTACACATTTATACAACTATTGTTTTCCCCAAGTGTGGTTATGTTTGGTGAGCTGGAATTCTGCTATATATCAGGAATAGTTTGGTATCCTATGTGAGTGTTTGGTTTCTAATAAATTGTCAGCATATTTGCCAGGATTATTTAGGATCAGTGTCAAGAAGGAGGCCCATTTATTTTATCTATTTCATTTATTAAAATATTTTAAACTGCCCACTCGTAAAATATCACGGTGACGTATGGCAATGAACGCAGATAGAACTGAACATAAAACACCATAACATCAATACAAAATAATTGTAAAAATGTCAGGCTCATCTTCGGAAAATTAGGCCTGTTGGCATGAAAAGGTCTTCAAGACAAATCTGAAAGTTAGTAATGAGGATGCCTGTCAAATCTCTGCTAGAAGAGTTTTCCGTGGTATAGGACTGGTGACAGTGATGGCTGGTGTCCATTGGGACTAGTGGGGCAAAAGGCATGGAACCCAACAGCAGATGGAGTCAGAGACAAAGACAGATGGAGTCATCACATTCTACTTCTGCCCCCATCCTCCTCCCTGCTGAGTTCTACAAGGGCAAAACTGAGACTAAGGAGGAGGAGGAAACTGGCAGCCAGGGCCACTCCCTGGACTGGATGTAAGTAAGAAGGTAGGCAGATGGGGACTGGCTGAGGTCAGACTGAAGTTGGTGGGCAGTTCCCCATTTGCCCTGTTGGACCAACTTTCACTGACCAAGAACACCAAAGGCCCAGCTTCTAATTGAGGTCCGTTGTGCATCTGTAATTCAGGGGACGACTAATAGCACTCCTCAGGGTATACGGGCTCAGTCATTGTTTTTATTTTTTTCTTTCAACTGAAACAAGATGCCCTATGTACTTAAAGCCATTCAAGTTGCTAACAAACCATGGAATGAATCCCAGGATATTAGAACCCTGATTGTGAAGAACAACTCTGGTTGAGGCAGCAGTATATAATTTTTGCTATTAGCCTGAAAAACAAATGCTGATTCTCTCTGCAATACTCATCACAGTTATCTAGAATTATTCTTCTTTGGCGATCACTCATAGCCGAGCAAGATTGTCTTCCATAAACATGGTTTTAACAATGAATCCGTAAGTGGAGGCCAATTCTGGATGCACACTTCCTTCCACAGTGGGAACATTGGTGTCCGGGTGGGAGTTGATCACGGTGTGGATTTGCCAAGCATGCCTTCCTCCTAGCACGTTTCTCCCTTGCGTCCTGAGTTCGAGTGTCTTCAAAGCTCATGACACCTTTGGTAAAGGCTGTTCTCCAACTGGAGCACTCACAGGCCAGTGTTTCCCAGTTGTCAATGTTTAGACTACTTTTTTAGATTTGCCTTGAGACAGTCTTTAAACCTCTTTTGTTGACCACCAGCAGTACGTTTTCCATTTTTAAGTTCGGAATAAAGTAGTTGCTTTGGAAGACAATCATCAGGCATCCGCACAACATGACCAGTCCAACAAAGTTGATGTTGAGGAATCATTGCTTCAACATTGGTGATCTTTGCTTCTTCCAGTACACTGATATTAGTTAGCCTGTCTTCCCAAGTGATGTGTAAAAATTTTTGGAGACACTGTTGATGGAATCTTTTGAGGAGTTGGAGATAGCAATTATAAGTGGTCCATGTTTCACAAGCATATAGTAAGGTTGGTAGTACAATAGCTTTGTAAACAAACATTTTGGTTTCCCTGCGAACGTCCCAGTCCTCAAACACTCTGCACTACAGTTGGGAGAAAGCTGCACTTGCAGAGAAGAAGAAGAAGAAGAAGAGTTTGGATTTGATATCCTGCTTTATCACTACCCGAAGGAGTCTCAAAGCGGCTAACATTCTCCTTTCCCTTCCTCCCCCACAACAAACACTCTGTGGGGCTGAGAGACTTCAAAGAAGTGTGACTAGCCCAAGGTCACCCAGCAGCTGCAAGTGGAGGAGCGGAGATGCGAACCCGGTTCCCCAGATTACAAGTCTACCGCTCTTAACCACTACACCATACTGGCTCTCTGGCGATGCTGGATTTTGGCATCAGTGTTAGCCCTTATAGAAAGATAACTGCCTAGGTAGGAGAAGTGATTGACATTTTCCAATGTTACACCATTGAGTTGGATTTGTGGCACTACAGAGGGGTTATTTTGTACTTGTTGGTGCTGCACTTTGGTTTTTTGGATGTTGAGTGATAGTCATCACAGTTATCTGGAATTATGTCCCACTGAATGCAGTAGGACTTATTTCTGAGGAAACATGCTGAGGGTTGCACTGTATGGCAGTTTTCCCAGCTCTCTGATTGCAAAGTGACAAGCAGATTTCACTGGTGTGTCTACAGAAGCGCTGTACTTGATATACTTATCATAACACACTAAACCCTGATTTGGAGGTACACTTGGGATCTTAACCAGGGTAGAGGCAATAAGCCATGGTTAGCATTAAAACATTCAAAAAGGTTCTTTACTAAAGCTAATATAAATACTTAAATTAAGGGATCCTTTTAGGCACAGTTATTAATTCCTGGCCACTCAATGACAGCCTCATCTCTGCTCCAGTCTGTTGTCTGCATCAAAATATTTTGCTTTGTTCTCCTTGTGCATTATTCCTGCTGCTATTAAAAGTTGCTGCTTTGAAAGGCCAAAGGGCTTCCTTTGAGTGCTGTTGCATGCTGTTTTTCAGAGGGCTGACTTTTAAAGACTACAATGGTATAATTTGCAAGACTTCTGGGGGTGGGGGGAAATTCAAAAGCTAAGCATCAACAAACTCAAAGCTTACCATCCTGTGGTGCATGCTAGTATTTGACACCACCATGGGAGGAGTAGAGGTTTGAGTCTGAAGAGCACTCTTTTCAACAGCCAGTAGGAACAAGAATAGGTGTATGCTGCAGAGATGATGTGCTTTATTTTCTCATTGAGCACGCCAACAACTCCTTTGATTTCTATATATTTGCCCATAACTTAGGTCATCCAAAATCTAGGTACCTGGGGCATATTCAACCCTTAACATCTCAGCGTGGGGAATTGCCACATGATCCTTATGGGTAGGAACGATTGCAGCTGAGCTCTGGCTGACTTCCTTTGCATGTCATAACCTATGGCTTACCACATGTGATTGAATTACTCCTGTTTTGCTCTATTCCACCCTTCCCAGCTCATGCTTGTGGAAAACAAACTCTGATCCCTGGATTAACATTACATCTGAACCAGGATCATGGCTTGTTTTACTTCTGAATAGAATCATAGAATCATAGAGTTGGAAGAGACCACAAGGGCCATCGAGTCCAACCCCCTGCCAAGCAGGAAACACCATCAGAGCACTCCTGACATATGGTTGTCAAGCCTCTGCTTAAAGACCTCCAAAGAAGGAGACTCCACCACACTCCTTGGCAGCAAATTCCACTGTCGAACAGCTCTTACTGTCAGGAAGTTCTTCCTAATGTTTAGGTGGAATCTTCTTTCTTGTAGTTTGGATCCATTGCTCCGTGTCCGCTTCTCTGGAGCAGCAGAAAACAACCTTTCTCCCTCCTCTATGTGACATCCTTTTATATATTTGAACATGGCTATCATATCACCCCTTAACCTCCTCTTCTCCAGGCTAAACATGCCCAGCTCCCTTAGCCGTTCCTCATAAGGCATCGTTTCCAGGCCTTTGACCATTTTGGTTGCCCTCCTCTGGACACGTTCCAGTTTGTCAGTGTCCTTCTTGAACTGTGGTGCCCAGAACTGGACACAGTACTCCAGGTGAGGTCTGATCAGAGCAGAATACAGTGGCACTATTACTTCCCTTGATCTAGATGCTATACTCCTATTGATGCAGCCCAGAATTGCATTGGCTTTTTTAGCTGCCGCGTCACACTGTTGGCTCATGTCAAGTTTGTGGTCAACCAAGACTCCTAGATCCTTTTCAGATGTACTGCTCTCAATAGCTATGATTTGTAGTCACAGTTTGTTCTTGGCTTACTGATCTTGCTTGATTGGAGCAAAATAAATCATGACCTCTGGTTTGGGCATAATACTAAGGCAGAGATTGTGGTTTATTTCCACCCCCAGCAGGAACTGGGAGGTGCAATAAAATAGCCCAGAAATAAAACCCAGTCAGGCCTGTTGCTTGACATTTATTAATGCCTTATTCTATCCTTGCAGGACTGTTATTTCTGTTTTGGTCAACCTTTTCCCTCCTGTAAACTTCATTCTAACCTTGTGTGAACAATTTTTGTCAGTCTCACACATCCTGTCTGACCTTGTAAAGGGAAATACGTTGTGTGGAAAAATATTCAACGGTCTTTTTGAAATTGAGATGAATGTTCAGTTGCTTTCTTGTTCATTAGATCAGTAATGTGCAAGAAATGTAAATATGCCTCTGAAGTCTGAATCTCTTCATGAACTTGCTTGGTCTTTTCTGCACTTGATAAGTGCTTTGCAATCAAGGGCATTTAAAAGTGTTTCTGATTTTCTTTTGTTATACTGAGGACAGAAGGGTTGGGGCTAAAATTTTATGCACCATCCTTTGTTCCCATTTGTAATTACATTCATTGCCTTTTTATTCCTAATGCTTCACTATACATCCTTATTTTCCTACTGCATTATTAAAAATCCTGAAAGATATGTGTAATGTGTCAGTGCTAATAACTAGCAAATAAAAACTCTTGTCTGAATTTTCAAGGCATACACAGCTGGGTATAAGCATATCTCTCTATTTTGGTTTCTCATTCTATCATTCTTAAATTCAGTTCTCCTCATTTCCACACCAATTTACCATGAAAATTCATCTGCATTTTGATCCAGATTTCTCCTAATAGACATATTTGTGTACAATTTTGCCTAATACCACATTTTTGCAAAACAGTTTCTTCTCAAAATAATGCAATTTTTAAATCTTGTTATAGCATGTTTATGAACCCTTTACTCCATTTTTGTAGTAGTATCTGGCTGGAAAAATGCATTGCAAAATTTGGAGAAATGTGAATTTCTAAGGATGGCTGTGTTTCAGTTCTTGCACTGTTTTGGAAAGTGACAATTAGGTGGGTTCATCTTGACATCCAAACTGAATAAAATTCCTCTCCTATCCCAATGCTCAGACTTCTGCCCACTCAAAGAGGCAATGTCCTGGTTCCCTTTTGCTGATACTATAGTGGTTTTCTATTTAACCTTTGCTTTCTTGGCCCTGTTCCAACTGCCCCAAATGTTTGCTCCTGGAAAGGAAAAGTAGAGGGAGAATTTTGAGTATGCAGAGTTAAGGGGTCAGTAATGCCCCTTCGGAGTCTAGGTTTGGCCTGCAGGTGACCAGGTAGTGCTCTTTGTTCCTGCACTATCATTGACTACAACTCGCGAGGATGGTTTAATGAAAACTCATGCTGCTGAAATAATGGTGTTTTAAGTGAGGTTGTCTTTCCCCATTTCGAGAAATAAGGGTCTGACATCATTTTGCTTGAGAGAAAAATGGTTTGAACAGAACCATCTTCTGCCAGTAATAACCGTGTAGTGCCTTATATTTTATTTATGTTTACTTACATTTCTGTCTTGCTTTCAGACTGAGAGTCTTAATAGGGCCATTGGAACATCCTCCACTGAGGGCCAAGCTTGAAGTGATGCTGGAGATCAGTGAGCACTATCATAGTGGGCTTTTTAAAAAAGAGTTAATCATCTATTCCACCCCTCCCCAAGATGAGATCAGGATCTTTGTGCTGGGAGAATGATCATTTTCTGCACAACCTTATGCATATCTACCCAGTGCAACTCTATGCATATCTACCCACTGCATTTATTGCTGCTTACTCCTAGGTAAGTTCATATAGCACGGCAGCCTTACTCCCTTACTCCAGCTACTTAACTTTTTCAAATCTACCCTCAAAAGCTGCAAACAGCAGCTTTGGAGGAATTTTTTAAGACAGATTTTGTATCAGTTGAGTTTGTTGATGCTTCCATTTGTTTTGGCAAATTTTAGTGCTGGAGGTATAACGTTCTGTGTCAATGACACTAAAACAATAAAGAGAAAAACTTCAGTTGGCTGCCCTGTTTCAAGATTCTCCTGAGCGCTGCTTCCCAAGAATAAATATTATATGTGAGAATACCTTTTTCATAGGAGTTGTGTGACTCTGATCCTGTAGGCTCTTATTATCAAACACACATATATGTTTTGCCACGGACATTGAGGGTTCCCCATTGCATATACCCTTTTTAACACCTGCTAAGAACTCTTACGGTTAGACAAGCCAACCAGACGTAAATATTAATACTGCTGGTTTTTTTACACTGAATTTTTCAAAACTTATTTTAAACTTTGGTAATTTTGAAGAGCTTAGGAATTTGGAGAAAGCTTCTGATTAGAAGGCGTTACAGTGATGATTATGACAACACTTAGCATTTATAGAGAACTTGCTGATTTGTTTATTTTCACAGTGTTTTGTAAAATGCTGTAAATCTTACCATGAGGTAATTCAGTGTATTATCTCTATTATTGATCATGGGGAGGGATGTGAGGCTAAATGCCTTACTTAAAGCCTTTTTTGGGAATGCCAGCAATTGATTTATTAGAAGCGGCAATGGGATAAGGACAAATGGACGATCTTAGACAAAAGAGCTTTCCAGCCCAGGAGTCCAAATCTGGGGATGGATGGACCCTTTCTTATACCATGGCTAAAGGAGAAGTTTGCGTATCATGCAAAGCTAGAAGGGTTTTGTCAATGCCACTGGCCAGCATTGACTGTTGGCATCAGATGTCATTATGTATGTACCATAGATACAGTAGGTAAAATGTAATAGTAGAGTGCAGAGAGCCAATTCTAATTTTCAGTGACTGAAAATAATTAAGAACTTGTGCTTAATAATAAGGCTGCAGGGAGATCCCATCTCTGTGCAGCGGTCAGTGCATTTGTACCAAAGGTCCCAGCTTCTGTCATCTGCTTACTAGTGCTATAGGGTAGTGTGATTGAAACTACTTATTAGCATCTCGAAAAAAAGTACAGAAATATTGGCTTAATTTCTTAAAGACAGCCGCTGCCTATATACTTGAGTTTTTCTTTATAAGGGCAGTAGAGGTTGTCAAGAGATGCCTGGAAAGCAATTTCATGTAAAGAAAATGATATCTCGCTTGAGGGGAAGAAAGACTGTAGGGTAAAAAGTTAAGTTGTAGTTTAATCAACCATGACTACTTCAGAAGAGGCATTTTTAGCAGTGCTTAAAAAGATATGAAGGGGAGGGAAACCCATTCTTCTATATGCTATCCATTCTTAACCTCTGGGGGAATAAAATGAAGGGCGAATGTACAAATTTCAGAAGATTTGCTGGGGCTATTTCCATTTTCAGTGCTGTAAATAATTTCTCCTCCTGGAAAGTAAAGCCCAAGTTTTAAATACCTGCAATAATATTAGTCTTATTAAAGTCACTTGGATGCATAGTATTGAAGATCTGATGGAGAGAAGTTTATCCATGATTACTTGCTTGCATGAAACCAAAAATTCATGTGCAGCTCAATGCTCAGTGTACTGTATTTACTGGGATGCAAGTCTGCTGTGTCCAGTGAGGTGCAATCTTATAAGCTTCCCAGAGTCCCAGTAAGGAGAAAAGGCAAGATAGAAATAAATACAAAAAGTAGTGCACATAGGCTGCAATCCTGTTATATATATGCTTGGTTGTAAGGTAATCCACTGGGCTGTTAACAGTGTGTAAATTTATCTCTTATGACCCAGATTATAATTAATACTAAGGCAGGAATTAGGTTGTAGAGTAATGCAGCCACTTTTCAGTCTTGGGTTTAATCAGGATTCTTCATTGAGTTTAGTAACATATCCAGCTTCATTGTAATGCATGTAGGTGACATTCACCTGGAATACTGAAAACAGATGTCGTTGGCATCCGTCTGTCTAGGGAGACAATGGAGGAGTGCACTTTTGGGAGTGAAGTCAAATTGTTGGAAGTTGCAGCGTCTGCTGTGGCTGTAGAGACCAATACGAGAGTGACATGTTTTGTTGCAGCTGGGGCAGATGATAGTGTCCAGTTGTGCTGCTACAAACACACCATGGCGTTTCTTTTAGTAACCTTACAGGAAGCTGCCTTATACTGAGTCCATCTATTGGTCCATCTAGCTCAATATTGGTAGTGGCTGTCCAGGATTTCAGGCAATAATCTTTCTGAGCCTTGTTAGGAATTGAATCTGAGATCTTTTGGCATGGAAAGCATGTATTCCACCATTGATCTTCCCCAGTGGTTTTGTGCTTTTTGTTTATTTACAGCTACATAGGTTGTGTTGCAGCCCAGTTGACTTCCCATTTTCTTCTCTGTCCCCTGCATGCACCCAACTCATCAAGTTTTTAAAAAATGAAAAGAAGAAGCCACCAGGCTAGGCAATTGGTGATTAAAACATGCAGCTATTTCCCTCAGGAAAGCTGAAAATCTATATGGAAGTTCCTGTAACATTTTCTTCCCTTTTGTTGTTCTTATTAGTGAAACTTGTGCCTAGTATTTAATCAGTACTAGGTATATTTATTTAGCTTAGGGATTTTAAATGCTTTCCCTGCTTTGCTGTCCTTTATGATGGTTTGACCCATTTTGTTCTGGAGGTCCCTGTGCCAAAAGGCCTTTCCCAAAGAGCCGTTAACAGTACAGTCCTATACGTGTCTAGTCAGAAATGAGCCCTGCTGAATTCAATGAAGTTTGCTCCCAAGTACAGTGGTACCTCGGGTTACATACGCTTCAGGTTACAGACGCTTCAGGTTACAGACTCCGCTAACCCAGAAATAGTACCTCGGATTAAGAACGTTTCCGAGCACAATTCAAAGTGTTGGTGCTGACCTTTAAAGCCCTAAACGGCCTTGGTCCAGTATATCTGAAGGAGCGTCTCCACCCCCATCGTTCTACCCGGACACTGAGGTCCAGCACCGAGGGCCTTCTGGCGGTTCCCTCACTGCGAGAAGCCAAGTTACAGGGAACCAGGCAGAGGGCCTTCTCGGTAGTGGTGCCCTCCCTGTGGAACGCCCTCCCCTCAGATGTCAAAGAGAACAACAACTACCAGACTTTTAGAAGACATCTGAAGGCAGCCCTGTTTAGGGAAGCTTTTAATGTTTGATGTATTACAGTATTTTAATTTTATTTTTTTTGGGAAGCTGCCCAGAGTGGCTGGGGAAGCCCAGCCAGATGGGCGGGGTATAAATAATAAATTCTTTTTATTATTATAACTTTGCTTCAGGATGAGAACAGAAATTGTGCTCCGGCGGTGTGGCGGCAGCGGGAGGCCCCATTAGCTAAAATGGTGCTTCAGGTTAAGAACAGTTTCAGGTTAAGAACAGACCTCCGGAACAAATTAAGCTCTTAACCCGAGGTACCACTGTAAGTCAGGATGGCTGCCTAAGTCTTCCACAAAACAGTTCCAGTGTGGATACAAACAGTGCTTCACAAATTGTTTGGACTGGGTGCAAAGTCCTTGGAAAGGAAGCAGTGGAGACCCTGTTGCATATTGCACATCTGATTTAGATTAAAAGAAGAATATCCATTCATCTTGGTAACCTGTATGGCTGTGCTATTATAGTCTGCGTGCCTCACGTTGTCAGGGCAGGATAGGAGGAGGCTGGTGCTTGCATGTCTCCATGGCGACCTTGGTGTTGGCCTGATGCCTGCAATCTGGCCTGTTCACAAAGCACCGTGCCCTGATGAATTATTTAGCTGCGCTGGAGAAAAATATAGCAACAGGCTCCCGCTGAGTGGCTGAGGAGAGAGGTAAGGTGACATCAGTAGCTTAGGCTGATGAGCCCAGGGGTTTGCAACAGCTAGCCAGCAGGATCAGTTTGCTTTTATGAAGGCTTTGCGTTTTTTTTCTTTTTCACTTTGGCCTAGGATCTTCTTATTTTGCCCGTGAGGAGAGGCAGAAGGAAACATTTTGTTCATTCAATGACTTGCCGGTCACTTTGGAGCCCGACAATTACCCTGCAACAATTTCAGTGTTTTTGTTTTGTTCTGTTCTGTTTTATCATTTTATATGTTTCCATAGTTAGCAATTATACTAAGTGAAGATGGGAAGAATTCTGTGCATTGTAGAAATGGAGGCTGGACCGGTGGTAGACTGTCCTCACTCTTTTCTGTGTGCATTGGATACTTTATTGTTATGAAGCAACTGGGGATTTTGCTAGAGAGATTGTTGGGTGATGAAGGCTGAGTTGTATGTTATGTCAGTGGTGGGCTAGCTGCTTGCGGGGAGAGCACGCAAACAAAGCAGTTTGTCATTCCATGTTACAAACTGTAGTTACTGCGGGAGTAGAAATACTTAGAATCATAAAAATGTAGGGTTGGAAGGGACCACGAGGGCCATCTAGTCCAACCCCCTGCAATGCAGGAATCTTAATAGAATCATGGAGTTGGAAGGGACCACGAGAGTCATCAAGTCCAATCCCTTGCAGCATTGCAGGAATCTTTTGCCCAACATGGAGCTCAAACCCATGATTCTCATGCTCTACCAACTGAGCTATCCCAGATAATTCCTGACAGATGGCCACCAAAGCTCTGTTTAAAAACCTTCAATGAAGGAGAGCCCACCACTTTATGAGGTACAGTGGTACCTCGGGTTAAGTACTTAATTCGTTCCGGAGGTCCGTACTTAACCTGAAACTGTTCTTAACCTGAAGCACCACTTTAGCTAATGGGGCCTCCTGCTGCTGCCGCGCCGCCGGAGCCCGATTTCTGTTCTCATCCTGAAGCAAAGTTCTTAACCTGAAGCACTATTTCTGGGTTAGTGGAGTCTGTAACCTGAAGCGTATGTAACCAGAGGTACCACTGTAGTCCATTTTATTGTTGAACAGCTCTTGCTGCAACTCGTAAGGTCAGGATGCAATTTCTGTAAATGTACAAATAAATAAATGGTTTGGTCTGAATGAACTGCACCAGCATAAGACTCTCATGTTCCAGAAAAATAAGGTGTGTGGACGGGGGCTGTGTTTGCATGTGAGATGAGTTGGAGACCGTCTCACAGAAACAGCCTCCCATGTGGAATGACACCCACATGTTTCTGCTTTAAGCATCTGCCATCCTTGCGTCTGGCTTGAGTCCACAAAAGCTTGTGCTGTCCTTGAACCTGGGGAAGACAGAGGCACTGTGGATTGGTGATTCCCACGTCTAGGAACACACATGGTACTGATTGAATGCTCCCATGATGGTGCCAAGATGCCTGCCCTCAATTACCAGAGCAGTTTTGCATTTTTGGTAGGTTTTGCTTTGTGAATAAATACACAAATGTTTGCAGAGCATTTTTGGGGGTAAAAGATGGACAACTCCCCTGAAGCATGGGGGAGGGCAAGACCGAACTGTTGTTCAGTTTTCTGCTGCAGAGTCAGGCTTGCACAGCAGCTGAAAAATTCACCGTGAAATCTACACTTGCGTTTTGTGTGGCTTTGTGCCTGAGTTTTCATTGCGGAATTAATAATAATTTCAATACTTTTGCTTGAAAACCCACCAAAATATTAATAAACCTTTCCTTATACTGTATATGTTGCAATAATGGCAGCATTCCAAATATATCAGGTTGTCTCCCAGTTGAGCTGCGTTGGCCTTCCTCCAGGTGGACTACTCCAGATCCCAAATGATGCACAGGTCGCTGCCTGCAGCAAAAGTGGGCTGAGCTGGAATATATTTCACATTTGTGTTTTATTTTTTATATCCTTCCCTTCCTCTTAAAGGAGCCCAACATGCTTATTCCATTTTTTGAGGGGGTAGGAGACAAATATGCAATATTTAGCTGCCAGCCCTGCCACAATGCTACTTACTGTGATACTACTACCCAGTGCTACTTGCCTGTTTTAAAGGAGCTGTCATATTTTTAGAACCTCAGTTGACCAGCTTCTGGGAATTTTGACTTCTTTCCATTTCAAAGTCTGGAAAAACGGTGTCTATCTGTTTTTGGGACACATCCCACTTGAAGCTAGTAGAACTACTTAATGTAGTGAGCACTCTAAATTTTAAAGTCTAAAAGATGGATAATAATAAGATACAGGACACTTACCTTGCTGGAGTGGAAATGAGTACTCAGGACTAAATGTGCAGAAAATAAGATGAGTGACTTTAAAACGCCCATTGGACACCTTTAAAATACAAATACTCTAGTAAGGAAGGCTGATACCACCAAGTTGCCGCATTTTCTCTGCCCACCCCCCTTTGTTCGGCTGATGTTCATAACCCAAATGGTTTGGACCAGGAACAGAAAGAAGTAATGAAATAGAATTTGTAAGGTTTATATATCTTTAGTTTTCAATTAAAGTTGAATGAGCTGTTTCTGTTAAGGCGCACAACACTCTTTTCTTTTACCACAGCAGACATATTTTGTGTTAGCTGTAGATTAAGTAAACACTTTTCAGCTTCAAAAATACTGATTATATTTCCTGTATAAAGGAAAGGAATAAACAATCCTACTCGGTGCACAAAAGCCTTTTGAGTGTGCTTTTGGCAGGAAGTTTTTGATTTAGAGCTGTAGAGTCAGAGAGTTGTAGAACTGAAATGGACTCCGAGGGTCACCTAGTCCAAACCCTTGCAATGCAGGAATCTCAACTAAAGCATTCATGGCAGTCTCTGCTTATCAACCAATGAAGGAGAGTCCACAACTTGCTGAGGGACTGTTCCACTCTTACAGTCAAAAAGTTTGGAATATTGTAACTTGAAGCCATTGATTCGAGTGCTACCCTCCAGAGTAGGAGAAAACCAGCTTTCTCCATCTTTCATGTGACAGCCCTTTAGATATTTGAACCCCAATAACTCATGTGTCTATTTCAAACCAAGTTTTTCATTCTCAAAAACATTTTGTTGCTTGTGCTATAGTGCACAATGTATCTCCTTGCTATGAGTAGTGATTGCACAATTTGAAATACCCCTTTAAATGTAACTACTGTATTCAAAGGCAAATATAATGGTGGGTTCTCATCACTCAGTTGATTGCTTTATATGAAGGAGGTTCTGAACAGAAGCTTTTTGAAGCTTGGGAAGTTGTGGGCTGGCCTAGCAAACCAGTAAATTATTCTGCCAGTTCCACATCATCCTGGCCCAGTTAAAACAATGATCCCATAGCATCTTTGATATCTGTGTGAAAGGAGAGACAAAAGTCTCAAGGGTACAGAAGAAGATTCAGTCGCCCACCACATTTTGAAAATGTCTTCAGCATTGGTTCTCTCCTTTTCAACACCATGGTATCATGCAATGGACGTCACTGCCCAAATTTATGCTTGTCTCAGAGATGGACCAATTTTGCACTCTTCCAGAACCTTCCATTTCCCCCCTCACTTACCAGCAGAATGGTTTGCTTCTAAAAAGGGGCTTCAGTTGTATGAAATGCTCCTTGATGAATAGTAAGTAGACTTTGAAAGTCATCCAACTGTCATTTATATTAACTAGGGAAGAAATTTAATCTGAATTTGACTCAGCAGGTAGCTTGCTAGTTAAAATAACTCACACCTCTGTGTAAGTGCCTGACTTCATACTAGAGATATCAGAGAATTCCAATGGAAATGGGAATTGCCAATTTTTGCTTATTCATCAAGGTCCAGAATGGAAATAAATACAGTGAATATAATTGGTATTCACTGTTGTTGTTGCTTTCAGTTTGCAAATGATACATAATTGATTATTTTCCCCCATTTGCATTGTGTTTGTTTTGCATTCAAATGAATGGGCTGGAAAAATGAAATTTACATAAGGGACACTTGACTTGGAAAAGACTTTTGGACAAGTAACTTTCCCCATCCCAATAGCTGAGACAGTACAGAAAGCCATGAAAAGCCTGTGCTCAGTGTTTGCATCTGTTCTCATGCACTAAATGTGTGTCTCTTGCATTCTGTGTGTCCTTCTCAGACCTCTGATCACACAAAATCTTGCAGGCTGTAAATTGCCAATCCTTGCAAGCTGAGAGTTATTATACAGTCATGAAATTGGAAGAGATCCAGTGTGGGATATCCAGTCCCTGCTCCACCCTAAAGAGGATATCCTCTTTGAAAATCTTCAAGCGTATTCTGTAAACTCTCTAGGTGGTTTGGCCTAATGGCCTATTATCCTACTGCACTTCTGTTAAAAAAGGGGGGAAAGGAGAGGGGGGATAAATTGTATTTATTGTAAAAATGTGGTTTGAGTTCATTGATTTCTTCTAGCATGTTTTACATACAGTGAGTGTATATATTGTCCCTGTTCAGAAGAACCAGAATAAAATAAATTTATGGTATGTTTATAATTTGCTTTGCTTACTCTATAACGGCTGGATTTCTGCTGTAGCTAATGAGGACGGAGCCTTGAATATTGTGACAATGTTGTATCTGGAGCAAAATGATGATTTAGCTGACAATTCACAATGTGATAGCACGAGGAAGCTGAGTTGCTTCTTCTTTTAAAAAAATTCTTTTTAATTGATTTTCTTTTCTATAATTACAAACATGTCATATCAATAACATACATATTACACATCATCACCTCCTCCCTCCTGGACTTCCCTCAACTTCCATTTCTGATTTGTTGCCTCCTTATTATATACTGCTATTTTATACAATCCACTATATCATTCCTTCATCACATTAATTGTTCTTTATCCATAAAGATGTTAATGTTTATTTAAATGAAGCTGAGTTGCTTCTGAAGATTGTGGCCAGTCTAGACTAATAGGATTTCCCCCTCCCTCTAAGCCCTTTGAGGGTAGATGTGTTTTAGTTTGTTTTTAAAATAATTAAACATGGAACTTCGTTTGAGTGTTTGAAAAGCTTTATAGTCATTCTTTCAGCAACTCTTACCATAACCCTGTAAGGTAGGCCAGCCCTATTATTTGAACATGACAGTTGAGTGGACTGCAGTAAGTTGTATGGCTGAAGTAAGGTATTTAGTACTCCACACCTCTTTAAAACGATATTCACTTCTGTAATTCCAGTAGTGAATGTGGTGTTTTCTTTTTGTCTGGTAAGTGACCAAACATTCTGGTAACTGCGAGTACTGTGTAATATATATTTTTCTGCAGGAATTATTTTTTCCTGTAAATTATACTGCATGGTCCACAGCTAAGCATACAAGGTCAGGCTTGACTTCAATTAATATCAGCCTCTTTCACATATTCACTTTGTCTTTAATTATGTGACCACATACTGTTTCTCATATACAATACATTATATATCCCCCTTGAAACTTTATCCCTATGTTTTTAAAGGTTCCTTTTGCACTGTAATTCCTAAACTCATTTCTACAAATGTTAGGCAGTCAACCTATGAGATGCACCTCTTGGCTGACATGCTAGCATTAGGACAGCTCAGTTGGTAGAGCATTAGACTCTCAGCCTCTAGGTTGTGGGTTCAAGACCCACATTGGGTAAAATATTCTTGCATTGCAGGGGGTTGGAATAGATCATCTTTGTGGTCCCTTCCAACTCTACAGTTCTATGATTCTAGGCAAGGCAAGGGAAGCAGGTCTCTGAGATTTGCAAAGTAGTAGAATTGGAGGGTTTGGAATACAGTGGTACCTCTAGTTACGAACTTAATTCGTTCCGGAGGTCCGTTCTTAACCTGAAACTGTTCTTAACTAGAGGCGTGCTTCCGCTAATGGGGCCTCTTGCTGCCGCTGCGCCGCCAGCACATGATTTCCGTTCTCATCCTGGGGCAAAGTTCTCAACTCAAGGTAACTCTTCCAGGTTAGCGGAGTTTGTAACCTGAAGCATTTATAACCTGAGGCATTTGTAACTCAAGGTACCACTGTATAATTACAAGTGACATTCAAACTCAGATCATAACTAGTTTGGCATGGTTCCTACACTAGTTCTCCCAGCCACCATAGCTGCCCTCTTCTCTTTCCTGGTGAAAAAATACCTAGTGGCAATGAAAATGGCTGTTGCTACGGTTTCATTAGGCCTTGCAGTATCCTTGGGAAAAACACTGAAACACTTTCTGGAATAGGTTCCGTAGCTTTCAAGGAAATGGGTGAATGCCAATAGTCCAAAGTCAGAGAGTTGAGTGTATGCCTCTTTTCCTGAATAAACTTGCCTTTCTTACCCCTGTGTTTGCCTGTCTTCGACTATACAGCTGTAGGTTCCTATGCCCTACTAGTTCTCCCAGCAGAGTGCCCCAGTCCGTTAACTGATCTGTTGATTATCTTCAGGAAAAGTGTATGAATGTGAAAATAAGGGGCATGTGCTCTCTCCTCACACATCCTCCCCTATGATTATCAGTGGACCCATCCAATATTTTGAAATAATGGTCATGTATTTAAAGCACCAATTTAGAACAATGGAAATGAAGATAAAGACTTGGGCTAATTTACAATGAAATCACCACCACTAAGGTAGTTCATCACTATTTCACAACAGCGGCATCAAATTCTAAACTGTTGTAATCCTTTATTTCTGGCTCATCATGCAATGTTAATATGAGTATGTGTGAATACTTTTCACCAGACTGAACAGTTCTCCTTGGCATTTATCCTGAAACTGGGGCCAGCGCTGGAATTTTACATTTTTTCTTTAAAACAAAATCTAACCAAACAGACGAAGGAAATATAAAATACTCTCTCTCTCTCTCTCTCTCTCTCTCTCTATATATGGCAATACATGACTTTCTGAAATGAACTCTCCATCTCTCTCTGTAACTACATGTCCTCCTGCTACCCTCAAAAGGGCCTTTTTGGTTGTTTCATAGAAAATTAAATAGCAGTCAAGTCATAGACAGTCAATTGACCTGATTCTAACCTTAGAAATACTCCAGTGCAGACATTGGAGTCTGTGCACAGCTTGTCATTTCATTTCTACTTTTGTAGAAATTCCAACTCCCAAACTCTTTACAACTTGGGTCCAAACACCTTTGGAGTCCTGATCCCAATTTTCAATGACTCATAGTGTCATACTGCTCCAATTAATGATTTCCATCACCACCTGTTTCACTGTCCTTGCATCCAAATGTACTTTGGGGCACTACGTTTGGGGAAGGCTCCTGGTGATGTATCCATTAGGCCCCAGAGCAAGCGTATGTGGGATAGCTCAGTTGGTAGAGCTTGAGACTCTTAATCTCAGGGTTGTGGGTTTGAGCCCCATGTTGGGCAAAAAGATTCCTGCATTGCAGGAGGTTGGACCAGAAGACCCTTGAGATTCCGTCCAACTCTACAATTCAATAATTATATAATGAATATTTTGGCAAGCTTGCCTTACAAACATGGCCAAAAGTTTTGTAATAGTGTGAAGCTCTTGAGACACTACATCCCTCAAGTTGAACCGAACGCTTCTTGCAAATATGTGTCACAAAATTCTGACAGCCAATTTTGTTAGAAAAAAAGGTTCTTTGGAGCTAAGCAGCCACGGGGGCGCTGGACCTCTGTTTTTCTGCAGCAATTCTCCCTCCTCTCCAAACACCTTGGAGTTCAAAGGCCACCCTGAAATCATAAATCTGCCAAACGTGTGTTCATTATGATTATATATGCTGAAGCTCTAATTGTGTTCAACCCACCTTGAATGGACTGTGTGATGAACCTATGGCTGGTGAAAAATGAATGTTTTATGACTCAGAATGCCAGAGAACAGAAGGCCTTATTACATCAGATAAGTGTTGCTATGCACAGCAGATGTTATGCCACTACAGGATACAGAATCTATGGGGACAGTCTTCCATATGGTCTTGCGGCAAGATAAACCCTTGGTGGATGCTGCTTATGTGCAATATATTTTCCATTTTCCCAAACTGGGAATGCAGCTGTGGGATAGTAAGGCCTAATTAATCATTTATTGCAGATTTACAATTTATTGCCCAGAGATGCCTATCTCAGTTATTGATTTTGGTGATTCCACCCCCCACTCCATGTAGCTGTGCTATAATTGCATTTTTATGCAGCAATAAAAAACTAAAGCATGTGTATTAGTGATAGGAAAGACCATTGTCTGTGGCTAAATGGTATCTGCTCATTAAAATGCAAGTGTCAACTGCATATGTTCAGAGTGTCACAGTACATTTTGTTTTCTGTATCTGGGTTCTCAAAAATACTGTGATAATAAAGGGCTGGAGAGTCTCATTATGCCTTCCTGGTTCACACACACACAGCTCCAGGAATTAACATTTCATGTTTATTCCTAAGAATGGAGTGCTATTCAGGGCTCTCCCCCCTTCCTTGCAGGTAGGAATAGACTACCTGATTCTCATTCTAGCTGTTTGTTCAGATCCCACCCTCTTAGGACATTAGTTAATGTGAAAATGGGATGGAATGGATTTGTGGATGGAAATGTGTAAAATTGGCATGGACCAGAAGTACAAGTTCCTCCCTAGCGCAAGATAGAATGAAGGATGATCTCTTCCTGAAATTAGCAGGTTGAGTTGAAACAGCGGGAGACTGAAACAGCTGATGAACAGTTGGTTAAGGATAATTGACCTGGCCAACCAAAGTTATGATCCAATTTAGATTTGGATTCAGCTTGTCTGCTTTTGTTGTTGTTCTGTGTTCTGGTAGTGCTATAGATCATTATACTGTTTTAAATGAGGAACAGGGTCTTGTCTGCAGTGGCTTCTAAGCTGAGCAGTTCCTTCCCTCTTGAGGTCAGGCGGCATAGTTCTTCCCATTTGGAGGAGAGTAAATGCACCCTTATTTTGTTACGCCTTTTTTACCTGGCAATTTTGAAAATTTAATGGTATGCCCTTGTTTAACCTGCTGGGTTTTGTTTTTGTTTAAATTGTTGATTTGTGGTTTAAATTGTTGTTTTGACTGATATTATTTTGAGTTTCTTTTTGGTTAGGAATGTTATGACGGAAGATTAGTATACAGATATTGCAAATAGTGGAGGAAATGGCTCAAACACAAGAAAATAGGGAAATATAATTTTCTACAAGAGGAAAACCAAAAGTTTTATGGTGTGGTTATAGTAAGAAGATAATCATCCCCTTCTCTCTTTTCTTATGTGGTAGGGCGTAAGCCATGGCTCACATTTTCAGACTGAGAAAGTTTTCGCTAAATAAATAAATAAATGATTATGTGAATCTCATTATTGTTTACAACCGTCTGCTTATGCAGCTACAGTGTATTGTTTTCGTGTGGTATGGCTGTGATCCAAAGTCAAATAGGGCTCCAGTGCAGCTGTGTGAGTACTGCTCTTCAGTGTCAGAAAATGCTTCATGGGCAAAATGTCTGGATCGTTCCCCAATACTGGAAAAAATGGGAAAGTGCTGGCACAGAACTTAGAGTAGGGGTCAGCAAACTTTTTCAGCAGGGGGCCAGTCCACTGTCCCTCAGACCTTGTGGGGGGACGGACTATATTTTGAAATAAAAAATAAAAATGAACGAATTCCTATGCCTCACAAATAACCCAGAGATGCATTTTAAATAAAAACACACATTCTACTCATGTAAAAACACGCTGATTCCTGGACCGTCCGTGGGCCGGATTTAGAAGGCAATTGGGCTGGATCCGGCCCCCGGGCCTTAGTTTGCCTACCCATGGCTTAGAGCCTCAGCATGCTCACTCAAGCTGCTGGATGGGCAGATGGGTATATGCAGTTTATTACTCAATGCGGCTGAACTAATAACCATTTGCTATAAATGACAGCGATTAATGCCACTGTTTATACTGATCTCACATGAGGCAAAACAAAGTTATAGTACGTTGTGTGTGTGTGCGTGCACACACACAGTTCTTTTCTAATCATGTTTTACCTTGCAAGTCTTTTCAGAATGTGCAAACATTACTTGCGGGTGGAATTTTGTAATGTGGGCTATTTTTCACATAGCAGGTCGATATGACTCTGCTCGTCCATCATCTCTGTGAGTTCTGCTCTGCTCTTATTTTAGAAGCATTCACTAGTAAGATGGGTTGCTCTCTATACTTTCTGTGCTTGCCAGCGAGATGATAAGGCATCTATACCTTATATTTATAGTACACGAGTATTAGAAGGAGATCTTATCCTCTTCTATGCAAAAGAATATAAATAGTATATTTAATGGGCAGGGAGAAGCTGCAGCAAAAGATTTCAAGATGCAGCTTAATGTAGCTCATTGGCTTTTGATGGCATCTGATGAAATAGGCTGTTTGAAAACCTCAAATCACAGCAAACCTATCTTCATTTCTTGCCTACCCCCACTTAAGTTACATTATAATCTGTAGTAAACATCTGTACCCTTCTGCTCTTTCCTCCACACTAATACTCTCTCCTTGAAAATAATATTTAGTATTGCATTCTTAAGTGCTCCAAGTCCTTCAGAGTAGCAGTTGACTAAGTTTTACCCAGCATAGACCAATGGAAATGAATGAACATTGCTAAGTTTGGTCCCATAATTTCAGTAGTTCTATTCTGAGTAAATCTTAGTTGCTTGGGTGGTATTCAAACTCTAGAAAACCATTACAACAGTCTGGCAAGGTAAGCCAGTTTTTACTGAGCCCACAAATTATAAGGACAGAGGTTGTGCAATGTTATTAGACAAAGAAATGAAATCAAACCATGGACAGCTCTCATTCTGAGTCAGCATGCTTTGAAATGTTTCTTCTTGACACTGTAAAAATGAAACTTTTGCATGCTGAATAGAGAGATCCATCTGAAACCATGCTTAAGTGATTCACAGAGGAATACCCCCTCCCAACCCCCCCTTTAAGCTTACTGCTGTAGGTGTAGGACAGTCTGTGAGACAGGTAGATTAGAACTCAATTAAAACTGCATTGAGGCAAACTTCCAGTAAATGAAAGCTATTGTGATAAGCCTTGCTGTATATAGAAATAAGCTGAAATGGAAACAAGCTTTCTCACACATTTTTCAGACCTACTGTAGCAATATAGAGCCAGCCATGCTTATCCCAGAATTCGTCGGCTGAAGGGAGCTGTACTTGAACCTGTGACCTTAATTTAACTCGACTGAGCTAAACTGCATCTGATGAGCTACTGAAGGAGCTTCATCCTGCTGCACTTGGTTGCTAAAGCTATTATTGTAATATTTACCATTTGAGGGGAAATGTATTCCTGTCTGTAACTGGCAGCTGAGCAGAATTCAGCCAGTTTAGAGGAGTCTGGGATTTTGTAAACTGCTTTGCGGAGAGGAATGAAATAGTCTTCTTGGGTCTTCTTTGAAGCATGGCAAAGCCCTATGGTGCAAAGTCTGAAGATACTTCTTATCTAGTGTTCATTGCTTGATAGAGTTTGAGTAGGCAAGTACAGGACAAAGAAACAGCCATTCATTTGAACCACAGGTTCTCCATATCAAATCAGCACCATCCTTTGCCCTTTTTCTTACCCAATCCCGCAGGTTTCTGTTAGTGGTTCTTCCAGGTTCCATTGAATGCCGCATATCAGGAAATAAGTTGTCCATCCACCGATGTCTCACAGTATCTGTTATTGCAAGAGAAATTCTTAAATTTATGAATTGCAAGGTAGGCGTTTAGTTCCCTTCTTACCTGTTGAGGAATGCTTGCAAAGCACTTGATATTCCCCGAACCTGTCTTGATGTCAGGAAGCAAACGCTCAACTTGGATAAGCTGCTGCTTTGAGCAGTGATTTAAGCTGAAGTTGTTTGTGTTTGAACAAATGGGGGGATGTAAAGTTTCTGCTCTGTTCCAGGCACAGGAAGAAAAATCAATGTGTGAAAGGAAGCTGAATATGAAAAGAAAACGTTCCGTTTTCTAACACTGTAGAGCTGACAGTTCCGTGGGAAGGATAAAAATGTATTGATTATATCCTTAGCCATCAGGAGGAAACAAAGCGAGAGAAATATGGCTTGGAAGCAAGCATTCGCTGTAGCAGCCACACAGAATTTGGCAGCCTCCTAGTACGTGGCTGAAGGTATTTTCTTTTCTTTGAAAACTCAGAACTGCTCCCCCCCGTGTTAGTGATATTACTGCAACCTGGGGTGGAATTTGACGTGCTCTTAGTAAATGCATGGTCAAAACCTTTAATAATAATAATAATAATAATTAATAATAATAATAATAATAATAATAAATTTTATTTATACCCTGCCCTCCCCAGCCAAGGCCGGGCTCAGGGCAGCTAACAAGCAATAATAAAAACAAGTTGAATGAATACAACTTAAAAACAAGATTAAAATACAACATTGAAACATTGAAACATTAAAATGCAGCCTCATCACAGGAGGAGAAAGGAAAAAAAGAAAGGGGGGGATCAAATTGACTCCAAGCCAAAGGCCAGGCGGAACAACTCTGTCTTACACGCCCTGCGGAAAGAAATCAGATCCTGCAGGGCCCTGGTCTCATGAGCTAGAGCATTCCACCAGGCCAGAGCCAGTGCTGAAAACGCCCTGGCTCTGGTTGAGGCTAATCTAACTTCCTTGGGGCCCGGGACCTCTAAGGTGTTGCTATTTATGGACCTTAAGGTCCTCCGTGGGGCATACCTCGTTCTCTCATTCCCTGTGTGCAGTATCTTATGCAATTGCTGGCTTTGCTATATCAGGGGGAATATGGGAGTCATACAGTTGACCATGCAGTGCCACAAAGCTTGTCTCTACCCACACTCTTGTTTACACATATATGTTTGTTTACACCAGGGTTTCCCAAACTCAGGTCTCCAGCTGTTTAATAATAATAATAATAATAATAATAATAATAAATTTTTATTTATACCCCGCCCTCCCCAACCAAGACCGGGCTCAGGGTGGCTAACACCAAATATATAAAATATATTAGAAACACAAAATCAAATGATTAGTTTAAAATACAATTTGAATCACATTTAAAATCAAAATAAAATCAAGTGGGAACCCACGAATCATAACCGTAGGGGTAAGGAATTAAAATTTCACCAGGCCCAGCCACTCCCATCTTTTGAACTACAACTCCCATCATCCCTGGCTAGCAGGACCAGTGGTGAGGGATGATGGGAACTGCAGTCCAAAACAGCTGGAGAACCAAGTTTGGGAAACCCTGGTTTGCACTGTCACGTTCTACATTCTTTTCTATTGCAGTCATTTTGGCTCTCATCCTTTACTACGCGCTAAACCAGGGTGAGAAACCCGTGACCTACCATATGTGGCTGGACTTCCATTTGCCAATTAGCTGCAGCCAGCATGATCCATATTCTGGTTTATCTATTTCAAAACAAACTACAAATAAATTTAAAGCACTTTCAGGACAGACAAGTATTAAGGGGCCGTACATGCAATGAGCACATCTGTCTCTTATTTAGTCTAGATTCTGAGATGGGAGCAGGTTTCTGTAATCAAAACAGTGGAAAAAATGTTTGCCTTTGTGAAATGTTTAAGGTAGGAATTTATCCCATGGCTGCATTTCTTTAAATAATGATACTTCACACAAAAGACTGCTGAGCCTGCTCAATGTATGTAGTTAACAATGGAATATGTTTCATGGGGTTTCAGTGCAGGTATTGACCAGTATGCAAAGTTAAAGGATCTGAAGGATCCTGAAGGTCGTCTAGCCTGCACTCGGTGTGATCCTTTAGACATAAACAGATTTATGTGTATAATCCAGATTATAGAGTGCCAGAGAGTGAGAGAGCCTGAGCCTTCTGGATCAAATTGTGTTGTGCCAGGTCCTGTTTGCCATATGTGCCACAAATGCCACTGTGTGTATTCTCCATCTGGAAAACTGTTGGTGCAGTAGACAGTATGAGCATATATAGATTTAGCCAAGTATGTTCCCCATAAGCATGCATAGCTTTAGCCAACTATTATGATACTAACATTCAGAAACAGTGCTTTCCAGCACTGAACTTCTCATTGAGGATCACATGATAAGCTTTTGAGAAATTCCAGAATTATCCATAACAGAGTTTGAAAATAAAGTGACAAGATCAAAGGAATTAATAGTAACCACTCTATTCTGTCTTGCGTCCAATTCTGGAGGCTACAATTTGAGAAATGATATTGGCAAGCTGGAATGTATGCAGAGGAAGGCAACCAAGATGATCAAGGGGCTGGAAACCAAGCCTTGTGAGGAAAGGTTTGGAGAGTTGGGTATGTTTAGCCAGGAAAAGAGGAGAATGAGAGGAGATACAATAGGCATCTTCAAGTATGGAAAAGGCTGTCATGTGGAAGATGACGCAAGCTTGCTTTCCTGATATGGAGGCTAGGACTCAAAGCAATGGATTCAAATGATTGCAAAATGAGATTCCGACTAAATATCAGGAATAACTTTCTGATAGTAAGAGTTGTTTGACAGTGGAATGGACTCACTTGGGAGGTTGTGGACTTGCCTTCATTGAAAGTTTTAAAGCAGAGGTTGGATGGCCATCTGCCATAGGTGCTTTAGTTGAGATTCTTGCTCTGCAAGGGGTTGGAATAGCTGACCCTTGGGGTCCCTTACAATTCTATGATTCTGTGAAAAGTATGGAAGCATTATATTGTTGCACGCCATCCCAGTCTCCAAGTGGTGCAGAATTCCAGCTGTTCCAGGCACATAATCAGGGTTCTTTTGGAAATGAGCACAGTGTAGACGGCGGTGTCTTTATGATATATGGTTTATTTAAACATATATACAACCTAAGCCTACCATGCAGGGGTTCACAGCATTAACACCCCAAAAGGGTCTTGTTTCTTCCATAGCCACAGCCTTGGATTCCAACAGAATACATTGGTCTCAGAATTGCTCTGCCAGTGTGGTGTAGCAGTTAAGAGCGGTAGACTCGTAATCTGGTGAACCGGGTTCGCGTCTCCGCTCCTCCACATGCAACTGCTGGGTGACCTTGGGCTAGTCACACTTCTTTGAAGTCTTTCAGCCCCACTCACCTCACAGAGCGTTTGTAGTGGGGGAGGAAGGGAAAGAAGAATGTTAGCCGCTTTGAAACTCCTTAGGGTAGTGATAAAGCAGGATATCAAATCCAAACTCTTCTCTCTTTGCAGCTTGCTGTTTTACTTCTTGGTATACTGCCCCAAAACGTTTTACCCTAAACTCTGGCTTTATGTGTTAAGGGAGGGCTCCCAACCCACTTGCCATCTTGCACTGAGCCCCTTAATCCCCCTTAATTGCTCATCTCCCAGGCTATCATCTCACCAGGAGGCTAGCCTGGCTATTCCAAGAATTCGAAGCACTGATTAAATTCTAATACTTGCTGGATTCAGAGATTAGAGGGGTCTGGCATCCACCTTAACACCCCAAACTCATAACAATATTTAACAGGTTAAGGAGAAATGTTAGTTTCCAGTATGTGTAGTAGAAATGGAAAGGCAAGACAGTTTTAAATACAGCACTTAACTGAACAGTTGTCATGCAATCACACTTATACAGATACTTTAATAATCACATTTTCCTGGGATGTCTTAGCCTGCTTATCAAATAAAATTTCAGAAAAGCTTTGACAGAGCAGTCCAACTTCCTTTTTAACCTTGTCACCCTCATGCTTTGCTTAAAAACGGAGCAAATAGCAGGTTTTTAGGACTGCTAGATGGGCTGCTTATGTAAATGATTGATTTCTCTTTCCCCGTCTGTATTTGACCCTGAACATAGTAGCCTAGAGATATACTTTCATTACACACAGCCAGAGACTTCAAAACATGGTTGTTTCATTAGGTAATCTAAAGTTTAACCACTGCTGGCATGAAATATCATGAAATATGAAGGCACTTCTGTACCTAGACCTTGTTCTCTGTTAGTTGACCTCATGGTATCATCTATGCTTAGCAGAGTGGTAACCTTGTGGTATTCTAAATGGATGACAAATGTTGTGGGCATTTTATTTTAAAATAAACCACAACATTGCATCAAATGATAGTTAAAATGATGAACGGAAGTTCCATAAAAAATATTTTTATGAAAACAGCAGATGTCTGGAAATTCAGTGAATGCTGGTGCCTCTTAAGATACTGATTGTGAAACAATTATGTCACAAGGTTTTCTTTTTGGGACATTAACTGTGAACTCATATTACCTGTAAATGATGGAGGGAAAGGATAAAATTTTCCATATACCAAAGGCACTGGCTTAAATAAAAGAAGCATTTAAGAATTAATGGTAAATGCCATTTTATGGTGAATTTATCATTTATCATAAAATGCACATATTCATTAGATCCTCTTCAGTTTCAAGCGCTAAGTCAAGAAAACAGTTCGCCTTGAGAAGGAGCTGCAGCCCATGCAGAGTAGACAGTGCCAGAGAAGATGCCAAGCAGAAGCGATGGATGTGTACTTAGCCCAGCTGTGACACTGCTGCCACCAAAAGTAAAATGTCGTCATGGTAGTGGCATGATAAAGGACTTTCCCTCCCCTTGGACTTCCTGCCTCTCAGACTGGCAGACATTTATCTGGTCCCTACAGAACTCTGTAAAGTCTTTTTGCCTTATAGATAGGCAATCTTGACATATTTAATTTTTTATTGGATATGTGTGTTTTCTTAAAAGATTCTTTTCTGGACGACAGATTTCCCACCATTCTGCCTGTAAGATCTAAGTGTGCACTATCACTGAACAGAGTACCGTATTTTTCACCCCATAGGATGCACCGGCCCATAGGACGCACCTAGTTTTTTTGGGAGGGAAATAAAGAAAAAAAATTATTTCCCCCCCCCAGGTGCGGGGCTGGGGCGGGGGAAGCGCCCCACAGCTAGCGGAGCACTGCGCAAAGCCCGAAGCTTGGGGCATGCAGAGCTCAGCGCGCCCCAAGCTTCTGGGTGCTGGCAAGCTCTCCGCTAGTCATGGGAGAGTGGCGTCTCCCACGGCTGCGGATAGCTTCCTGAAGCCTGGAGAGCAAGAGGGGTCGGTGCGCACTGACCCCCCTTGTTATCCAGGCTTCAGCGAAAGCCTGCATTCGCCCCATAGGACGCACACACATTTCCCCTTCATTTTTGGAGGGGAAAAAGTGTGTCCTATAGGGCAAAAAAGTACAGTAAGTTACATTAGTTCAATACATTATAAACAGTTCTTTCCCAGTTGTTGTCGGCTCACATATTTAGAAAATGAGAAAGTTCTTGTTATTCTCAACCTGGGCAATGTATGTCATCCTCTGAAAAGCTATTTTCATATTATATGACTCCAGAGGGAAAGAATCATATCATCTAGACAGTTTACCTGAAAGCATGTAGAATACTCCCCAACGAAGGAAACAAAACTGTCTCAGATGTTTCATGAGTACCTTACAGGCAATGTTTTGGTAATTTTAGCTAAAGCTTTCATTTGTAACCAGTAGCACATTTCCCTTATTTCATTGGGTGGTGGGGGGGATTCCAGTATTATTAGTTTTTATAACTATGAATCTGAAATAGTTTCTTAAATTATTATCAGTGATAGCCCTTTCTTACAAAGCAACACATATAGCAGGGATATGAAACCTCTCACCTTCCAGATGTTGTTTGATTGCAGTCATCCCTGACCATTGACCACGCTATCTGAAACTGATGGGAGTTGAAGCCCAATAAAATCTGCAGTGCCATGGATTCCTCATCTCTGACATACAGAAACCACTGCTTCCACTGATACTTGGATTGCTAGCATTGATGGGTTTGCTCCACTTCATCCAGAAACAGGCAAAAAACCCCTCCCTTGTATTTTTGTACTTGTACATTGTCTCTGCACCTTCTCGTTTAAAAAATTCTGCATCAAAATATGCAGATCCCAAATTTGGTCACCCCTGGCAACTAGTTACACACTCAGTGTTGTAGAAACTTAGAAAGCTGTTTGACTTCTAGTGACTTTCTTAGTGCCTTCACTGGTGGGAGGGTAGGATAAGGACAACTCCCTATACCATTCTGACTCTGATGACTATTGGAAAGCCATGAGGAGTCTCACTGCTTTCAAATGTCTAAGTGCCATTTCAAACTTTCCTAGGTTCCAGAGAACCATGTAACCTCTCCCTGATGCCACAGTAAGCTTTGGAAAGGCTTGGAAATCATAGATCCCTGGTAATGACGAGAGAGACTTTTTAATTTACTGCTGCATCACGTAGGATGGCACCTCTTAAGAGCTGATTCACGCATCCACACATATGTCAAGTGATGTGTCACTGATGGATTATTCAACACCTCACTGCGTTCAGCTTCAGGATGTGAGGTACCTTTGTTGTGTGAGGAGGAGGAGGATGTGCACAAACTGTTGATGGAGCCTGGGAGCCACAGTTTCCTTCTTACAGATAATTCCCAGAGAGGGGACACCCAAATGCAGGGATGGAAATGCTGGAAGGCGAATGCTTTGCCAATTATTATTATTAGGACTCTCAAGAGTCTAATAGGACTCTCTTGAGAGTCCCATGGACTGCAAGAAGATCAAACCTCTCCATTCTTAAGATCGTGAAGCTGAGGCTCCAATACTTTGGCCACCTCATGAGAAGAGAAGACTCCCTGGAAAAGACCCTGATGTTGGGAAAGATGGAGGGCACAAGGAGAAGGGGACGACAGAGGACGAGATGGTTGGACAGTGTTCTTGAAGCTACCAGCATGAGTTTGACCAAACTGTGGGAGGCAGTGGAAGACAGAAGTGCCTGGCATGCTCTGGTCCATGGGGTCACGAAGAGTCGGACACGACTAAACAACAACAAATTATTAGGACGTGTGTGCACCGCACCAGCAGAATGTGTAGGTGACAGGAGGCATAGGGTTGACTTGGCTCAGAGCAATACATTCTGTTGCTGTTAAGGGGGATAGGGAGAAAAGGAGAGAGAGAGATGGAACTTGGCGTGAAGAGGATATACTATGGTAGGGCAAGGAGTCATCTTGGGAGAGGAGCTGAGAAGGCTTTGATAGTCTTTGGCCGCAGCCTGCGACAGGAAACATTAGGAGGGGAAAGGAGGAAATATAATTGGGACTGTAAGAGAGGAGTTTGAGCAGGAAGCTCAGTGGCAAGCACCAAAGAGTAGACTTAAGAAATAATAACTTCATGTAAATATGTTGACCTTTCTTTTTTCTGGTGATGGTTACTTTTTTAAAAAAAAAATCTCTCTTTTTGAATTGGAAAAGAAGTTCCCCTACATATTGCTGTGTAGGTTTTGAGAAATTGCAATGAGATGTAATTAAGAAAAGCAGATGTACACGATTAGGTACCTTAACATTTTTTGCTTTTAATGTTTCTATTAAACACACACATCATCACTGATTCTAACATGAAATGTGATACTGGCTAGTGTCGCCATGGTGTCCGAACTGTTTCCATGAACCCTATCCCCCCCCCCCAAGTTTTGTGAAGCGATTTTGTACCACTACCAGATTTCAAATCTGCAACTTGAGAATTTACTGGAATTTGCATCGCTTGATTTCATGCTGTTCGAATTACTGTAATTTAACACTATTACTACTTAACCAGATTCCAGTACTTTCCAGAGGGAAAAGTATTGAGTTTCTCTGGCAAATCATGATTGAATTAACAATTAGCACTCTGCTTGCTTGCTTTAATGAAAGATGACCTAAATTACATAATGAAATATGTAATAATATTTTAGAAGTTTTATCTATAAAAGAGTTGCTCTGCATATGTGTGTGTGTGTGTGTGTGTGTGTGTGTATGTGTTATATGAGATTTCTCAGCAAAGAAGCTTAAGTCAGCAAAACAAAGGCTACCATGATGCTTCATCATATATGAGAGACTGCAAAACAGTAAATGATACAGTTAGCTAATTCTGTGGAATAGCCAAGTCTAGTTTCCCGTCCTCCTGGCTTACCTTGCCACTTGAGTGGTACTGAGAAGCAATTTCAATTTCATGGACAAGGAAGAAGGCTAAAGCAGGGATAGAGAAGCTGTCATTCTCCAAATACTTTTGGAGCATAACTCCCACTTTCCCTCACCATTGTCCATGCTGTCTGCAGCCTATGGGAACTGAAGTCCAAAAACATCTGCAGAGCTTCATCCCTTTCCCTTTTCAGAGCTGAGTAATAGCTGAATCTCCTCTCCTGCATTCTGAGATTCCAGTTTCAGTATTCACTGTGGACCAATATTCACTGTGGACCTAGGTCTTGCCTGATTTAGCTATTTGCTCAGTTGTGTTCAGGAGACAGAGAACCAAGTAGCAAGTAACTCCAGAACTATTAAGCATGCTTTCCTCCAGGGGATTACCATCATGTCAGGGGGAACATGGGGAAATGCTTCCTGTCCCCACTGCCTCCATCATGTCACTGTTGCCTATCTCACAGCCCTTCACACGCTGCAGACTAAATTTCTGTAGTAGAGAAGATCAGGGTTCTAAATTGCGTGATGAGCCTGAGTATATAGCAATTCAGCCTCCAATGTGTGAAGCACTGTGGGGGCAAGAATAGCAATGTGATGTGACAGACCCCCACTCTTCCCTCCTCACACAATGGTAATTACATGAGGAGGGTGTGATTTGCATAGTAAAACTTCATTATCAGTGCCTGCACTAATAAGATCAAGTAGAAGTAGTAACCTATGGGGAGGGGGCAGAAATGGATGCAGCCATTGGTTTGATTAATTAAGGCCTGTCCATCTTGGTAAAAAGAGAATATTAAACTGGGGTTACATGGTCTTCTAACCGAAACCATGGTAAGAGAGCCACTAGTTTCCTTGTCTACCATTTGAGCTCCTGTAGTTTGGGGATTCTAGAATTAGCCTGTTAAAATTTATGGCATTTGACTTCACAGTCTGGTCCTAAAACTTTTTAATTCAGCAGGAAAATTCCTAACAAAGAGCATACCCACTGCTGTGCTAACTCAGCACCTGAAAGCAGGATGCTATATTAGTGCTGCAAGCAGATATGCCAATATAAATGTTTAGGATTAGGGTGTAAGTATTTTAATATATTTGTATAAGCTTAAATAATCATGTTAAGAAGATTACCATTGACCTTCTGTTATGTTTAATATAGCTTTAATCTGCTTTTATTTTAGACAGATGGACTCAGTGGCTACATTGAGTTTAATAAAATAAGAATTTACAAGAGTGCCTTGTATAATGCTGTCTTCTAAAACTGTTTTGTAACCTCACCTGTGTCCTCTAAATGTTCAGACTGTGGTTTATATATGCTGTTCTGCATGTAGAAATTTTAACAACCTATCTGGAGCATTAGCTAAAAATGAAAAACAAAGCATATTGTGGCAAAAACTTTCTAGTGGAATGGTTTTCCCAGTAGTGATGTATGGAAGTGGGAGCTGGACCATAAAGAAGGCTGATCGCCGAATAATTTATGCTTTTGAATTATGGTGCTGGAGAAGACTCTTGAGAGTCCCATGGACTGCAAGAAGATCAAACCTCCCCATTCTTAAGGAAATCAGCCCTGAGTGCTCACTGGAAGGACAGATCCTGAAGCTGAGACTCCAATACTTCGGTCACCTCATGAGAAGAGAAGACTCCCTGGAAAAGACCCTGATGTTGGCAAAGATGGAGGGCACAAGGAGAAGGGGATGGCAGAGGACGAGATGGTTGGACAGTGTTCTCAAAGCTACCAGCATGAGTTTGACCAAACTGCGGGAGGCAGTGGAAGACAAGAGTGCCTGGCGTGCTCTGGTCCATGGGGTCATGAAGAGTTGGACACAACTAAACGACTAAACAACAACAACATCAGATTCAGGGCCGTCTTAAGCATATGCACCGCCGGGTTACAAAGATCTGCCCAGCGCCCCCCAAATTTAGCTTAGCCCCCAAATTAACTTTTATTATGCTTATGCCACTGTTATCATTTGATAAATAGCGCTCACGCCAGCATGGCTCCAAAAGGAAGTTTTTGTGTGTTTTAAACCAGCTTTTCTAAAGAAGACAAAGAATACATTGGTAGTTGGTGTAAAGACTCTACGCATGCGCTTACGGTCATAGGGAGGTGTCTGAAGATGAGATGAGCGGGCATTGCGCACATGCATGGGAGAGCCTTTCATTGTGGGATCAACCTTATTTCTAGAGGAGCTGGGAGAGCCCTTGCAAGTGCGCATATATTAATTCTTCTTGGGAAGAATTTGCAACGTTTCACTCGGGGTCAGCAGCACCTTTGACATGACTGAGCTTGCGCTGCCTGCCTGTCGCCACTGTCAAAGGTGCTGCTCACCCCGCTGCCACATAGCAGCTCAATACAATATGCTTAGGCAGCTTAAGCAGTGGGTACCTGGCGCCCCCAAGAATTTGGTCCCTGGGTGCCCTGCACCCCTGGGTAAAGGCGGCCCTGATCAGATTTAAGAATGAAGAATGTTCTAATTGTGGCTCAAATAATCTCTAACCTAGTACAGAACTGAATGCACTGGGGTGATATATATTTATGTGTGTGTGTGTGTGTGTGTGTGTGTGTGTAAAAGGGTGGGAGAGTGTGAAATTTTATGATTGCAGTCTCATGTTTGCGGAGGCTGATGGGAGTTGGAATTTGGGGGACCACGTGTTTCCCCTACCTACTTGCTTTTGGCTGCACATCTAATCCTTATTATGGCTCATAAAGGTGAGCCTGGACGATGTATAAACATTTTTCCTTCCATCCCTTATGTTTACCATATTTAGACGGGTCACAAAACCATTGGTGCTCTAAGAATCAGAATAAAGGAGAACTATATGGAATTAGTTACCAAATGCAGAGTTTCCATAATTTAAATTAGGAGCAAAGAAAAAGATTTTGTAACTTAAGGATATCTTTTTTCAAGGGAAACAGAAGAGCCATTTTTTAAATGCACTTTTCCCTCCCTGCCCCCCCTTGTTATAAAGCTCCATGAGGCAGCCTGTTGGTAAAGAAATCCTTGTTCTGCTGGGCAAGTCATATAAGAGATGAAAGTAAATGGAACAATAATTGTACTTCACATGCTGAAAAGTGCTGTAGGCATAATAATACCGGATATAAGAGGTTTTGTTGTCACAACGGACCCCTTTCTCTTCAAATAGGATCATCAAAGTCCCATTTGCTCAATGGAACTTGACCCAATATGACACATGTAAAAAATACTATGTAGCAACTCTCAACCTTATCGAAAGACAATTTTACCAAGTGTCATGCTAAATGAGAATTTAAATGAAATATAGCAATAGCACCAGGTTACAAAACATGGCTTGTGAAGCAATTTTCAAGTTTGTTTTGGAATGGTTAATACGAATAAAAGAAAAAGAGGGCCCCAGAGGTTTATAAGCGGATGGCAAAATCGTTAGTGTGTGAAATTAGTATAATTAACTTTCTGGTGTTTGCTAGGAAATATTGATATATTGGCTGGTGGTGATTCTTGTTTGTGAGGATTTAATAATATAGATTCACTCATGATTGATAAAAGCAATAACTGTTGCAAATGTTCATATCAAAGGGAATACTTAAAAACAAATAATCACTATATAAGGTTCTTATATGATAGGGAATACGAGGCAGATGTTTCATCTTTAGCCTTCTGAAGGCCTCCTGCTCTGACAACTTGAGAGAGAGAGAGGCCAAATTAAATTGCTAAAAATAACTTTTCAGTCCTGACAGAAATACAAAGGTGCAAACTAGTTGGAGAATTAATTCAATATGAACCTTAGGGACCTGAGGCGAGCAAAGAAATAATTGAAGTTTGGGAGTGATGGGCATGCATATCCCCTTCATTAAATCAGAGCCCCAAACCTTCTTAATTTTAAAGAAGATAACGAGCTAAATTCTGCTATTAATAGGGTGAGGGGAAAGAGATGATCTTGTATCCTAGAAGTTCCCCTGGTGATATGGAGATCCTAGCTGCTTGCCATGTCACCCCTTCTCTTTATCAAAGGGCTGCTACTTAATGCATGTGCTTGATGTAAACTACACACTTGCACACCACCTCAATCTCTGCATAGTGCGAGATTCCAGGAGTTCTAGGCACTTACTCAGGGTTTGGTTTCTTCGGAAGGAGGCACAGCAGAGACTTTGGTGTCTTTAAGATGCAGTCATACCTCAGGTTACCGACGCTTCAGGTTGCGCGATTTCGGGTTGCGCACAGTGCCAAACCTGGAAATACTGGAACAGTTACTTCTGGGTTCCAGCGCATGCACAGAAGTGCTAAATTGTGCTTTGTGCATGCGCATAGGCACCGAATCACAACCTGCGTGTTGGCAGACGCACAGGTTGCGAATGCTGCGGGCTGCGAACGTGCCTCCCGCACGGATCACGTTAGCAACCCGAGCGTCCACTATATATGGTTCATTCACACACACACACAATGGTACCTCAGGTTAAGTACTTAATTCGTTCTGGAGGTCCGTACTTAACCTGAAACTGTTCTTAACCTGAAGCACCACTTTAGCTAATGGGGCCTCCCGCTGCTGCCGCGTGATTTCTGTTCTCACCCTGAAGCAAAGTTCTTAACCTGAAGCACTATTTCTGGGTTAGCGGAGACTGTAACCTGAAGCATATGTAACCTGAGGTACCACTGTATACAGCCTGAGTCTATGATGGAGGGGCTCACAGCATTTACCCCTAAAGAGGGGCTTGCTTCCCGTAGCCATAGCCTTGGATTCAAGCAGAAATCAAGCATTGCTCTGACTCTCTGCCTTCCCAGCCTGTTGCTTCCAGCTTCTAACTCATATCACTCTACTCTCAACTCTGGGTGGAATGGATGCAGTGTTAACTGGACTGTCAATTCGAGATCACCATACTAGAGTCTTACTGGGTGGGAACTCCAAGCAAAATAAATGAAAGATGGAAGAAAGCCTGCTTACCCCAGCTTCTGCATCTGTTGGCACTGTCAGTGGTGCCTGGTGCTCATAGGTACTGGTTGGGTGGAAGGCAAGTAGGTGGAGCCACAGCCAATGAGAGGCAAGGCCACCCCTTGATACAGCTGTAGGAAAGAAGGCAGGCAAATGGAGGCTGGCTGAGGGCAGACTGAGGTTGGCGGGGCAGTGCCCCATTTGCTCACCATCAGCTCACATTGAGGATACAATAACTATTAGTTCCTCTATCTTGGGTTAAACGTTTAACTTAATATAAGCTGTATATCCAAATAGGGATGCCCACAAAATTCTAAATAGAAGGAGAAATTTCTCCATCAGTTGTATGTGCTAAAAGATATGCTTTATGGTATAAAATAATGTCTGGAAACTGGCAGCTGCATTCTCTTAAGTGAGAAATGTGGTGGAGAATTATCCCAAATAAATTTCCTAAATATCCCATTAACCTTTTGAAAATACACTTGGGGAATATATAGAGAAATATCATATTACCATATTGTCGGCAGCAGAATATTCATCTTAAGTGTGTTAATCTTCCCCTCAGATACTAAATTTAAGTAATGCCCTTCCTTTCAAATCACTGGAAAGATTATTTGTCAACCTATTCAAGTTAATTTTAATCATTTGAGAAAGATCTCTTGGAATCAAAATGCCTAGATATGCTATGTCCCTGGGGCACCAGCAAAATCGCCAATTATTATACAATGTGGGTGATCTATAGTTAATCATGCACCCTGAGATTATTTTTATTAATCATGACATAAATGTTCCAGGTCTACTGATAAATAGCAATAAATCATCTGGGAAGCAAAGTTACTTCTAGCTGAAATTAAGGTGTGAGATGGGTATTAGAAAAAAAATCTGCAAGCTTGGCATTGAGATTTTCAGACAATTCGTTCTTTATTAACACTCTCCTATAATCTCTTTTGGCGGGTCATGGGTGGCGCTGTGGGTAAAACCTCAGTGCCTAGGACTTGCCGATCGTATGGTCGGCGGTTTGAATCCCCGCGGCAGGGTGAGTTCCCGTCTTTCGGTCCCAGCTCCTGCCCACCTGGCAGTTCGAAAGCACCCCTAAGTGCAAGTAGATAAATAGGTACCGCTTTATAGCGGGAAGGTAAACGGCGTTTCCGTGTGCTGCGCTGGTGCTGGCTCGCCAGAGCAGCTTCGTCACATTGGCCACGTGACCCGGAAGTGTCTGCGGACAGCGCTGGCTCCCGGCCTCTTAAGTGAGATGAACACACAACCCTAGAGTCGGACACGACTGGCCCGTACGGGGAGGGGTACCTTTACCTTTTTATAATCTCTTTTGCTTGTTGCTGTGCTTTGGCACCCAAATTACTGCTGCATTGGGCAACCTCTGAATTCTTAGACTTCATACAGAAGGTCTTGTAGTCGTTAGGCCTTTAATGCTTATATTTTTATATATTAAAATTTTTGTTTCTCCCGCAGTCATGAGAAGTTGCATCATGTAGTGACAGTGGCTATGTGAAACATCCCGCCAAAAAGCCCTGAGGCCCAGCCAAATACACTTTGCTGCTTGAGACAAAATGGCACCCCTTCCATTTCATGAACCAAGGTTGACTGGATTGTCTTCTAAATCTTCCTTTAACACTGAGGGCAGCAACCTATATTAGGTGGTGCAGGTGAGGCCCTATGGCACACATACCCCTGTCTGTCAATATCTGGTCTTCTGGCGGTTCCCTCACTGTGAGAAGTGAAGCTACAATGAACTAGGCAGAGGCCCTTCTCAGTAGTGGCGCCCGCCCTGTGGAATGCCCTCCCATCAAATGTCAAGGAAATAAACAACTATGGGACTTTTAGAAGACATCTGAAGGCAGCCCTGTTTAGGGAAGTTTTTAATGTTTGATGTTTTACCACATTTATTATTATTATTATTATTATTATTATTATTATTATGTTGGGAGCTGCCCAGAGTGGCTGGGGAAACCCAGCCAGATAGGCGGGGTATAAATTATAATTATTATTATTATTATTATTATTATTATTATTTCACCTCTGCTCTTTGCAAGGTATTCCACTTGCACAGTGGGGTTTCCCCACCTCCTCTCCCAATGTGCCCTTACATCCCACAAATTGGCTTGGGGTGGGGAAGGTTGGGAGAGCCCCCCAGAACAGCATGTGGGGGTGGAGAGGGGGTTCATTCCATCAAGCAAGCTGGAATACTTGTGCCGATGGAACATTAGTCATAGCAGGGAGTTGAATTCCACCCTAAATA